GTAGAGCAAATATGGCAGCGAGATGAAAGCTACAGTAATAGTTAGAAATATGTTTATTGTACTTTGTTCCTTTGAGTAGCTTCAAAACCACTCCGTCTAGTTATATCAAAACCACTAAAATGTTAAATCCAAACTAATTACTAATTACAAGAACAAAGTTTCTCAAAGCAAGTTACGTAAAATAGAAGTATTTTAAATAACAGCTTTTTGTACAATTAATACTGTAGGCGAAAGCAACATTAAATAATTTGTTTTCATTCGAGAAAACCATAATACAATCAAAGGTTAATAAAAAAAATTATTTTAAGTTTTAAATGCAGATTCGGTTTGAAAAAAAAATTACATCATACAAGTGTGGTAAAATTTGTCTGATAATTATATAGCCTTTTTCCATAAATCACGTTCACCTTCGAAAAGTTGTTATCACCTCTTATCACTTAGTTCTTATCAGTGTTTTAAAATGTTATCAATAGTATGGCTGCAGCTGTTATGTCACTCTGTACATAGAATTTGGGTTGTTTTCACCTACAACCTTACTTTCTCCATTGTAGCGAATTAACTGTAAACAATAATATAATATAATAGTTTAAAGTGACGTCTCGAAAGCAAATTGATAGATTAGGGACTGATAGGAATAATCCTGAATTCGTCGGAAAGACAATGTTTAGATCTAACATAATCCGTTGTCGCCGCTCGAGAGGTCACTGTAATTAATTTGAAAATCCACTCTGCTGATCGCTTTTGTCATCTGTTATTACTATTATTTATTATACGAAAATTGTCCGGACGAGGTGCCGTTATTTAAATTTAGACGTTTTCAATGAAAAAAAAGCTGTGCTAAGTTATCGCTATTACGTGACCACATTTCTCACTAGGTTGTAATATTTCATGCCGTCATCTGTACCGTCACTATTTGTCTTAGACACGACCTCTTGAGTTTTATTTGTACATTTTAGACTGAAAAAAGAAACCAAGGAAAAAAACATCTTGAAATATTTTATCGTTTTCGTAGAAAAGCATGTACGCGCCATTAGGATGGTTCTTATTTAGACTATATTTTGTATACTATGTAGTTCTCACCCTCTCAACATGTTAATTACTGTTCGAAAGAAAAGAATGCCAAATTTAAACAGAATTGAAGGATTACAATACATGTTGCAAACAAATTAGGATGAAAATTGATTTTTTTATAATGCCAAACTCTATCAAAACATGTTTTTCACATTTTTTGGGGTCCAAATACAAAAGAGGTCCATCCTTATGTTGATTGAAGTAAGCAATTTTTTCTTTCACGTGGCTAATAGAGCAATGTTAATTATTATGATAGACAGTTTATACAGTTGAGTAACACAATTTTCTTTCATATTCGGTTGCGTCCAGATGGAAATCTCCGATTAAGTGTAATTTCGTTTGGGACATACAAAAACAATTCTTTTTAAATGCGTTCCTCAAAACTACTTTTAAGTAACAACAAAATAATAATAATACTCTGTGGTCATTTACCGCCCACGCAATACAATAATAACCTCCCATTGTCGGTTTTACTGTAGACAAAACATACACAACATTTACTGTTATTATTATTTGTATTACAAGTACCGTCTACATGAACAATCCATTATGTTATAACAAAAAAAATTGTTTTGAGTTAAATACAGGAAACTACACACACTTTGGTCGATCTGAAAACTCTGCAAATTAGACAATCCGAGTTCGTTTTTAGTCAAAAACCTCCTCGAAAAATGTTTATTTTATTAGGAAAGAACAATTACACTCGATATCACGAAAAATCTCTGCCAGCTTCTTGTTATTATTTATTACAAAGTCACATTAAACAGTTTAATAGTAGTACATACATACAGTACCTATGTATTACTAGTTCTAAATCAACGGCCTACTCGATGCCATTGGTATTGCCTTATAATATACTGTACTTTTGCTATTTCTTATATTTTACTACTTGGTACCTATAAAACATAAAAGATTTCAGAAATTAGATGACCGAATTTTTGTATTGAAACCAGTATACCAATAACATGATTATTATGTGTACTAACTGATGCCCAAACAGTGATTTTTTTTTTTTATATTTACACTAAGCTATAAAGAAAATTGGTTTCCGTTTTACAAAATCCCTTGAAAATATTAGTGTTACACCCGTATGACGGCGTTTTGTGTAGGCAATGTTAATACATTAGTGCGGTCATGTCTAATCTATCTGTTTCATATTTTTTGTTCTAAAAAATAAAATAAAATACTAAATTACTTGATTCGTAAAAACTATTTTATATAATCAACCGCAATAGCCGGTTTAAAAATATATTTTAAAACTATAACAATACCCGTCTTTTAATAAGTTTTCTTACAGGCAGCGGTAACGTTCATGCTGTCTTGAAGATATATTACAAAGCTATCTATTATAACATAATTTTATTAAAACCGTACGTTGTACATTTTGTGTTCATCGCAGAATCGTTGTAGGTAAACAAATATACATTTATTTTGTACAAAATATAAACTCCCTATTTTTCACTCATAAATTTTGTTTCCCCATAAATAATATAACTTTGGAGAAAAAAAATACCGGAAGTAATTCCTTGTGCCGGATCCTTACAAGCCATTGCGTATACTTGAAATACAAAAATATATTATACATAAATTATGCATTTTGTGTGTTCTAGGTAAACGAATAAATAGTATAAAATACACAATAGGTCATGTCCTGCAAAGTCCTAAGTTGATTTATTATTAATAAAACAAAACTCCCTTAACTGTATATTAAGAAAAATGAATGTATACATGGCTCGCTGTCCGTTTATATTTTAGTAGGTACAGCTTTATAGAAAGATCTAAAATTATACTGGAATAATATTATACGGTTAGAAAACAAAATATTTGTATCAAATATATTTTAAAATCCCAAAAGGTATAATTTATCAATAGTTAATTATGTACACCGACAATAACCATTACTTATCTTGTCTCGACTAAAGTGCCAACTAAATCATACAACTTATATAAATTATATATTCTATCGCCTGGACACTAATATTAAATAATACTTGAAGCCAATAAAAAATTATTACTTCTGGGAAGTGCTTCACTACTCTACACTGATCTTCTAAAATTTTCATGAGATTAATTTTATTTTATTCAAAGTTTATTTCAAACAAAACTTAACAAAATGTTCAAGTCTATAGGTATAGATGAAAAATATATCTTCTAAGCAAAACTAAAACTGTGTTATTCATAATTTTGTCTGGGTTTAACATAATTAATTTCCGGTTGTAATTCTTACAAATACATATGAATACCTGACACATTTAGAAAATATATTTCATCCGAATTCGTTGCTGGTAAAATCCAAAAAAAAAAGAATATATATATATATATATAAACGTCAAAAGATTATTTTCACAAGGAATGAAGGAGATTTAGGAAAACCAAGAGCGATGACAAATCGACGTCGTAAAGCTGAACTGAACTAAACCGGTAAAATACATATCATCAAGGTTGCCAACATAATCTCTTTAAGGATAAAAAATTACAACTGTAAAATTTGAAGAAAGAGAAAACAAAATCGCCCTAAAGTCGTTGGTCTTTAGCAACGCAAATCGTATTACTTACATTTTAAGTATACAACATTAATAAACAAAACTTACATTATAATATAAGCTAAAAAACAATGGCCCTTAAATTAAACAATTAACACTGACTAAACTAAAACTGGTGTTTTCATAAAACAAATATGTATACATAACTTTACATAGAAACCTGAGGATTTTCGGCTTTATAATTAGGATAATAATTTTTAAATAATTATTTTATAATCTCAACTACAATACTTGAGATAGTAATTTTATAATCTCATAAGCAACTAGAGGTAGTAAAATAACACATTTTTAATTTGTTTTAATGGTATTTTCAACTTAAACACTTGTATTGATAATGGCGATAAATACTTATCATACATTTTGGTTTTCTATTTACATATTTAATAATTTCTACAATCATTCTTGAAAAAAATATATACCTAACAGAAAAACTAAAAACAAATGTAAAAATAAAATGCGAATAATTATTTAAATTGAACTATATAAAATATAAAAGGGTTAATTACACTTCGTAAGGACAAAAGATCATTTTTTATTTTGTTAAATATGAAAAAGATCATTTTAGAAAAACAGCACAACTATATTATAAAAGCTATTCAAAGTTAACGAACTCGTTAGGCGTCCTTTCAAGTTATTATTTCCGTACCTAGTTTCTTATTCAAAAATTTGCATTTGCTTTTTATCTTTCTTAGTCCTACAATTAGACTCAACAAAAATGGTTCATTTTCCTCGTGACTTTATAACTTTTATTCCTTCAAATGATTTGCATGGCATGAAATTCAAGATAATAAAGTTTTTATCGTTTATTCTTATAAATTTTATGCAGCACTAATAACGTAGGTATATAATCATACTTTTTGCATAAATTAACAATATTTAATCATTAATGTCGCTTAGTACTTAACTAATAACCGTCAGTCTGAACTGTAAATAATTTCAAATTATATCTTATACTATAACCACTACAAAACTAATCGTTAAGTGTAATTTCTTATGTTCCTTATGAACCTAGTTCGTCCATTGCTGTAAAATAATTGTATGATACTCATAAAGTATTGACAAATCAGTTTTATACGTTATTTTTATTTTGAAAAATAAAAACAAAACTTGGCTTGGCCTCAAAATGCCGAACTGCTTTTTTCAACAAAACACAGTTTTTTTTTCGAAGGTTTATTATTGCAGTAGGTCGATCTAGAACCTAAGTTGGGTTGGCTAAAATAAGTTTTGGAATTTTCTATTGTAGAATTTCCATATTGTTATAGAATATTCGTTTTTTTTTCTCTGAAATTCGATTACCATTTTTTTTTTATGATAACACCGATATTTCAATAGTTTTTTTTATTATAATGAAACACTAATAAAATATATTTTTTATATGGCTTTCAGGAGAACCGTGTCATCCATACGAACCGTTCAAATGTCCTGGAAATGGGGCTTGTATTTCAATCCAGTATCTGTGCGACGGTGCCCCGGATTGTCCTGATGGATACGACGAAGATGCGAGGCTTTGCACTGCAGGTAAACAGTGTTTTTTTTTTTATATACTTTAACAAAAGACACCATATACAATTACAAGCACAACTTACCCGCTTGGCTTGACTGTAGTTTGTTATAAAATCGAGTTGCAGTGACCGATTTAAACGATAAAACCAAAATAAACAGTTGGTATTTAAGTGCCCAACGGTTTTGCATTAATTACAAAAAAATAATAAATTATTTAAATATTTGCGATTTCCATTTTTTTTTAGTTATTTCCATACTTATAAACCCTTTACTGATAAATATACAATTATAAACACTTTTCTTGACTATATTTAATTAGCATTTCTTTTACGCGTTCATTACTTAACTCACCATCACAAAACACTGTAATTTTATTCAGCTTGATATGTGAGTTTTTATTTATATTAAAATTTATATATCCTTTATAAAATGGGTACTGTATACGTTTTTAACCTTAAGCCGTGGAAAGTTTCAACCGATTATAATTAAAACGAAAACATGCCGTGTACGTTTTTTAGATCTTTTCACATTTTCTTGTAAATTATTTTAATGTATTTACGTCGAAAGACAAAGGAAGACTAAGCATGTTTGTTAAAAGCAAACTTTCGTGCGCAAACTCTTTCATAATGTAAACTTTACACCGTTGTTGGAGCGTTTTGTAATTAAATGTATGAATATAATAAAATAAATAATGCAAAAAAAAAAACAAATAAGACTAGACTTTCTTTTGCAAGTGTAAAATCTTTGTGTGACACTTGTTTAATTATGGTCCATTTTTTACACACCATACATAAAGTTTTATTTAAACACATATTAAATAAGCCTTCTTTAAATAAACAGCTCTCCGCTTTAATTACTTATTCTATTCAATAAAATGCCCGTCAAATTGTATAAAACAGAATAATTTAAAATTATAAAAAAGTGGCGATTTTTTACCAACTAGTATCAAAGAACACAGAACACAATAGGAGAACAGTTGATGTTACTCACTGTATGTTAATTTTGCATTATTAAAAAAAATGTGTACACTACAATATGGCCTATGTTAAAACTAAAATCCTATTAAGGTTAAAAAAAAAATTAGCGTCGAGCGTAATTATCTTAATGGATATTCCATTTTATATTTTTTTAGCTATACACATAGTTTTTTATGCATGATACCGGTACACAGTGTGCATAATATTATGTAGGTGTTAGGTAGCATTCTGGAACAAAAGCAAATGTCCACCTACTTTCATTGAGTATGATATTTCATTATTTATTAAATTATAATATTGATAGTTTACAAGACTTATTTCATATAATATATATACATATATATATATATTTACAATAAAAACTGTATAGTTCATTTAAACAAAGTTGTGTTCTTAAATGTTCCTTAAACAAGTTCACATGATCATAAATTATCCAAACGAAAGTATTGATAAGTTTGAAATTCCAATTAAAAAAAAACCAATATTTTTAAAAATAATAATTATATATAAACAACTTAAAGCGATTGATACTGAAGAACTGAAGCTGTATAATTTGCTTGCAAACACACCAATTATTATATTTCTATAAGTAAATTACCTCCAAAACGATTGAGAGTTAATCCAAAATACTACTACTATTTTTTAGACTGTCGCATTGGTGTTTTTTTTTTCCTTAAGGGACCCCTGAAATGCCTTATTGTACAGAAAATGTTTATTTCTAAACTCTTTTGTTTATTTGTTTCCTTTTTTTTCTTGATTTCAGCTAAACGACCACCGGTCGAAGAGACCTCGAGTTTCCTGCAGTCTTTGTTGGCAAGTCACGGGCCAAACTATTTGGAAAAACTATTCGGCAGCAAGGCCAGAGATGCTTTGGAACCGTTGGGAGGCGTCGAAAAAGTGGCAATAACACTTTCAGGTTAGTATTATGATGTATAAGAACAACAATCGAATTAAGGTTTTATCGTGTCGCTTCAAAAAACACCAGCTCATGACAGGGTTTTTTTTACTTGTACTTTTAAATTGAATTACTAAAAAATAACTGTTTTCGTTGCGGTTCTTTTAGTTTGAGCTATCAGTCTTTTTATAACTAATAATAAACACACAGTCATCATAAGAGGTTATCTTGATGGCCACAAACATACCATTCTAGCTAATTATGAAAATGCAGCTTTAAGTACATAATCTCTTATACTTTTCTTAATTAAATATTACCTCAAAACCAATGATCGTCTAGATCACACTAAGACAACTACCAGCTTGACCGATTTATACCGATATCACATGTTATAGAGCAACAATACTTCGTACTTGACACATTGTTGTAATGTTACTGCCTTTTTTTTTTTTTTAGCATAGTCTAGTTTACTCCAGCTTAGTTCGTTTACACTTTGGGTGGGATTGAGTTGGGAAATATTTTACATGCTAGGCGATCGCTTCAAATTCGAGGCTGTACATTTGATGATGATGATAATACTAATAAGTGTTTTGTAATAAAATATATTGTTTTGTCTATTTTAGAATCGCAAACGATTGAAGATTTCGGGGCCGCCTTGCACTTGATGAGATCCGATTTGGAACACTTGCGTTCGGTGTTCATAGCCGTGGAAAACGGCGACATTGGCATGTTGAAGAGTCTGGGCATTAAAGATTCAGAGTTGGGCGATGTCAAGTTCTTCCTGGAGAAGCTGGTCAACACTGGATTCCTCGACTGAACCCGGCGCACAAAGATTGCACTTCACCTAACCGTTAATTATTGTTTTTTTACCAAAGCCCAATCAACATTACAACACTTATCGTGCCCCCAACTACTGTATGAACACCTCTATTAAAACCCAAAGGGCATACACTGAACGATACCCTTTCTCGAAATTTGTTTTCTTATGTTATTTTATCTATATTATAATATATCTACCCACCTTTAACTTCCGTTTACAGACCACCTACCTAAATATTTAGTTTTCTGTTTATATTCCAAACCGTATAATTGTTTATTTCATTTCAAACAGCAAAATACCTATAACAACAAGAGACAGACACCGCAATACTAAATACATATCATTGTAATGTGAATCGCAACTTTAAACATATCATTATTATAAAAAAAAATATAATAATATAGTCGACAAATCGTATCATATACATATCATGATGATGTAGTAATAATATTATTGTGTACCTAACCTAACTGATTTTTTGAACAACGTGTGCCTAATGAGCTATTATTATCATAAATCTACATATTATATTATTATAATAACAATATTATTATTATCGATGAAGTCTTTTTTTCTTTGATCTTGGCTGTTTTTGCTTAATATGTAGCTTTTATCCAATAATTACGTTTTACTTACTATAATATTAATTACATTCTCACATTTGAACGGCCCAACTCCTGATGTGTACGTGATGTAATACTATTGTATTTATATGTATACCATAATATAATACAATATTATAAAATACCATGATTTTTATCATGTTTTTACCATTTACATAGCTTTTTAAGCGTTTTACTATTACTTTTTTGTTTTTTTATCTCGTTTTGTCATTTGGATGTATAACACACACACACACACTATAGTACCTATTTTAAAAATTTGTTTGTATTTTTTTTTTTATTCTTACATTAATAATATGAATTACCCCATCATACACAAATCATGATACCTAAACGTTGTACAAGAGTAGAGTAAGCTCATTTGGCACATCATGATTTCGTTGGAACACCAATGGAAAAAACAAAACACTTTATGTATAACGATTATAAGTACAATGTATTATTTATTATCATTCAATCACTTATTTTACTATTATTACAATCGTGATACATCGTTTATATTATATTATATACGGTTATTTATTTATTTAAAACATTTTTCATTCAAAAACCAAAATTGTTGTACTCTATAGTGGAAATTTTGTCAAGCCCAAGTCGAGTCGGCCTATGTATATGTTATATTTTAAATTAAATCAATCGTAGGTTTTGTGTTGTATTACCTTTTTCAAGATAACGACCACACGACACACACACACACAAACCATATACACAAACCACGATTTTTTTCTTCTATTTTAAATATAATGTTTCAGTCGTCGACTCGACACGGTGAACCATTAATTATTTGTATTACTATATTAATATTATATTTATTATGAACAGTTTCTCATCTACGAGATCGATTTATTCTTTTAAAATACATAAAAAGTCTATATGCAAGTATATTATTATATTGTACGTTTTCATTCGTTTGATGATTATAAAATAAACAAAAAAAAAATTAATAAAAACCTAAAAAAGAGTTAAGCTTCCGAACCGCACAACATAATATCTTATCGTTTAAATAAAATATTAGGTCGATCATATTGTTTTATGGGGCCAACTAATTTGAGCACTCGACAGCCCAAACGCATATTAAAAGATAAACAGCATAAGATAACCTATATGTATGTCTACTTTAAAAAATAGTTAACCAATATTTACTTTGAGTAAATAAACAGAGTACTTATTTTACAAACGGCAAATACGTTTTCTGTTGTAATTGTACAATAATATAACAGTACCACTAATAGCAGTTATTCAGATGGTAGCCTGCAAAAAGTTATTGAGAAATATGTGTATTTACTTCAAACTAATTTATAGAAATATATAATAATAATAGTCATTAAACTTGACAGTTGAACCTCTTGGTATGTAATAAAACAAAGATATGAATAAAAACTAGTATTGTTAGCCCCCTCATTGTCGAAATGGATATAAAAACAATTTTGACTGGGTTCAATGAAGATTTTGAACTTAGTCTACTCTAAACTCTGGTTGAGCATCGGTAATAACATAATAGTGACCGCCGACATGCAAATATTATACATCATCCTGACCATACCATTTCATGTTGAATATAATCTGTGACATTAGTAGTTCTTAGTAGCAGTCTACTCTCTAAAAGAAATAATAATTATTACAGTCCGGTAAAAAATTACACAAACACTAACTTTCCCACCATTATGTTACCATGCAACCGCATAAATTATCTTACAATGAACAATTTTTTTGCTCTGCCCGTTATATAAGTATGTGAATAATTAATTTTGAAGTTTTTTTTTGTATTTTTTTTTGCCTCGTCATCTTGTTAATTTGGTTGGGTTAGATTTGTAGATTAGTAGTAGTCTGATTATTTTTTTTCTTAGAAACAATCAATATCGCTTGTTGTAATGACAAATAATTGCTGTAAGCACATAATATTATATAGTGTGTGTGTGCCACGACGATGATCTAACATACCGCCATTCTGTTTATACAATATGCACTTTTGTCACACCACTGTGATCGCTCTATATAATAATTACAAATAATATTATAATGATGAGTACATAGATTTTTGTTATGTTTGCTTGTTTACCATTTCATGACTGATGAATATTTAAAAAAAAAAAATGTTATACCAAAAGACAAGTGACAAACTGTATTTTAACTGAATGTATAACAAACCATGCTTAGTCTTGTGCTAAATATATATATTAAAATATGCATTATTACCAAACGTACAGATGGAGAAGCTGTAGGTAAACTCTATCTACATTTATTTTGTAATAATATACCTTTAAATAGATGTAGGTAGATTAAAAATAGACACAAAGGTGACAATTTTGGCTAAGACTAAGATTAAAACCAGTTCTTAATTTTAAAATGGAAATTATATTTATACCCATGCTTTTGGAATTTCGTCCATTTGCATTCCGAAATAAAACTAATGCATTTCCATTCCTCGTTGCTTAAAAGATAAACGTAATGCATTCATGATTGCATTCCTCTAAAAAGGAATGCAATTCACATTTCAACGAATGCTTTCCACTTCTTTCTTAAGACATTACACTGTATGGGCGTATGCACCTATCCAGAAAGTACATAAGCCTGTTGTGATCACATCATGTACATATTCCCACATACTATTATATAAGAAGGCCGTTTACCATTGTCACTATATGAACAAACGCAATTATTGTGCAAACGTAGGATTTCCACAAAGATCTACCACCGAAATCGGGATAATTATTTTAGCTATTAAATTGATATACACACATGTTCGTGGAATGAATGTTATTGCGACGGCAAACGACTTGTTGTCAATGCTATCTCTTTGTAAAAATCACAGATGTTTGCATAATTTATTCTGATTAGTACAATAAGGGGAACGTTTGTGACACATTCGTAGCCAAACAATTTAATCTAATTTAATAAATATTATAAAAGCAATGATTATTCGAAAATCAGCAAAATCGCATCCAGAGTCAACTGTTTGGATATATTTTATTAATATTTAAGCGCAGCATTAAGTTCAAACAATCAAAGTCATTATATCTAATATTATTGTTAACCGCTTTGTCGTTCAATCTCAAAAATGATTCGCTTAAATATTGTAGACGATTGAATTTGTTTACATTTATTAACAGTAATTTATATCGACTCTTTTAAGGTAAGTAAAACGAACAAACTAATTAGAACTCAGTAAAAAAACTGATGGCAAATCAAGTGCTGTTAATGGTTTGGACAATTATGGATTATTTAACGCGTTTATTGTGAACACACTCATTGGTATGACTGGACGTGCCTATGAATTATAATGATTCTTTGACCATATTATTATTGCTTTCTCCAGAGTATAATAATTATACCAACACACATGCATGTGAATGAACTATATGAGATAAAGTTCCAAAACTTTTCACAGCACTTCTACATGTCAAGAAGACCCTAAATAACAAAACCCATTAATCGGTTTCAGAGATCTGGTTGGATAAAGAAAAATGTAGCTAAAATTGACAATTTTTTTAATTGTAATAAATCTAAATAATTTATTTTTATTTGTTAAATTCATATTTTGTATTTTCTTGACAAGCTTTATCTATTGACTCGGAATCAACTTTCTATTTCTTATAGTTTAAGAGGAAATTAAAAATTAAGCGTTTATAAGATGTAACACACAGACTTGTTTCAAATTCAAATCATCATACCGCATTTGCACCTGTGCAATCCGATCTACCTGTATACTACCATATTATATGAAAGCTAAGATAAATAATATGTATCTTCTCGCTATTAGTCTGTAGCACTACCATTAATTACAGCAAGATCAGAACTCAGATGATCATGCGAAATGTGTGATCCAAATTATCAATTATCACCAGAGCAGTAAATACAAAATTGCAGAACATGATCTTTATGGAGATACTTTTTTTATACAGAACCAACGAGGAGAAACTGTTGATCACATGACTTCCCCTGGAAGTAAGGAGATACTGCATTTTATAAAGTTTGTTAATGAAAATGCAGTATCTCCTTAAAAATGAAAAATAAAGTAAAAATAATAACAAGTACAAAACAAAACTTTCAAAAATATTAACGTTGCTTATGACTTATAAGTTATAACCAACGCAAAAAAAAATATTGAAGGAAAGTATTAATTTGATTTTTGGATCTTTAAGATGGCAGAATATTACTCTATGGCCTATGCCCTACGGCGTAGACGGTCTGTGGCCGCCGCAACGTTATCGCGAAGGCGCAGGGCGGCATCGGTAACACGGACAGGATCGGCCGCGGCGGCCGCCGGTGCAGTACCGATCATGGAAACAGCGGCGCGCCCGGCGGCGTTTCTTCCATGAGCTTGCGGAAAACGCACCCCCGATCGAACGGCGCGGCGATTGGCAAACATGGCCGCGCGGCGGTATTACCGAGCACGTCTGAACAGCCGCAGCACTCGGCGGCCGCAGTGACCGTCGACGGGAAAACTTTCACCGCCGCCGTTGCGCACTACAGTGACCACTGCCTGCCGCGCCGTACGTGGTTTTTTTTTTTTTGTTTTTTTTTATACATACCGCGAGTGGTGCGTCCGTGGAATTTTTTTTTTTTTTTTATCACCACTCGATCACCGCCGTACCGTCATCCGGTTGTGTTTCTCGTCCACAACAATGTTCGAAGGTGTGCCGTGGCGACGTACCGGACCTTTGACGACGTTGCCGACGGACGGGACGACTCGTGTCACCGCGATAGTGTTGTTCGTTTCGACGGCATGCACCCGGTCGCCGCCCGCCTAAACCGCCACCGCCCCGGACTGTTCGCCAACAGAGGTTGAACACGCCGCCCTTAGTAGGATTTTGTTACCTTTATTAAAAAAAAAATAATAATAACATTAAATGTGAGTAATATCCATTATATATCCGTTATGAATGTAAATATATTATTATAATACCTAATACAACATTGTGTGTAGTAAAGATAACGACTATTTTCGATGATAACGCAAACGAATCCTCCCCAAAAAAGGCAGACTGAATTAAAATAATATGAACACATTTACAATGCAAATAACTCCGTAGATTGTTTCCAGTATATTACCTACCTTAAGTTTTTTTTTCATTTTTTTTTTTAGAATGTTCTTGAAGTGATCTAGACTTTACAAACTGAGCGCATAAACAAAACCGTCAACATGTGGAATATGATGTGCGATGTCATGCCGACCATCAACGAGGACAACATCAGTCAGCGTCATCAGTTGTCCGGTGAAGATAACCGAATCAACGAGTTCGTGGACACCCTAGTCGAAGAGCGCAATAAGCTTTTAGATACTCTCAGTAAAAGTCAAGTTAAACTTGACGAAACCGAAAAGCTATTGGCTGAAGTCGAAGGCGAAAAAAGGGCCTTACAAAGTCAGATTGATGCTACGTTTCCTGAGGTAAGTCTTATCTAAACAATATTATAAGTTTTCCTATTCCTACGTACCTACCCATCACCCATGTTTTTTTCCTAGACATTGTAAATGGTGTTAAATAGTATTCATAGTAGGCCGTCCTTTCAAGTAATTAAAGAAACCGTTATGTTTTTCAAGATCCATTAAACTCCTAATGATTGCATAATTTAATAAACAAGAAGTAAGCTGGACGGAACGCATTTTCGTCCTAGTTCGCTCAGGTCAAGTGCATTGGTTTGTTATGCATTTGAGCCTGAGACATTAGATAATGCAATGTTATTGTTATACATTACCTTTGCTTTCTTTATGGAGATACAAGGGCAGTATGACAAGTCCAGCATACTTCTTATTTGTTATACTATGAATGATTGTTTTGTTTAATTCAGCTTGGTAGTATCAATTTAAGGGTTATAGGTTATCAGTTACTTATTAATATACAATAAAAATAATTCACCTTAATCTCCTTATTTGTTTGTATAGTTAATACCTATAAAAAAATAAACAGCATTGACTATAATTTATCAAATACTGTAAATATTAATTATATATATATATATATATATATATATATATTATATTGAATAATTATGTTATGTAGTCAATGCTAGGTGAAATAACTTATCAGACTACCGTTAATTATTGGTTTTTTCATAACTGGCTTTTATGATTATCTGGTTAATTGTTTCTTAATTGGATTTTCTTTTTATGTAATTTTGATTTTTGCATTAGATAGGTTCATATTTTTGGGTTATACTTTAAATTTTATTGAAAATTAGAGCTATTGCAAGGTGAAGATAACAGCTTCTATTACAAAGCATACAATTACGAGACTATGTACTCGTCTTATTCCCTTTAGTACTGTATAGGTTGATACCATAAATATAATTAATGCATTCCAAGACATTAAGAAAAAAAAAGGTCTATTACGAATATTTACTATTAAAATTGGGGAAATTAATAAATTCAGAAGAGCGGTGTAGGTATATAATTTTTTTTTTCCCCAAAAATTGAGATTATTGGTGCAGGCTAAATTTAAATAATTTACTGTTAAATAAATAATACTATTGAAAGTGTAATATTAAGTTTAAAATGATGTGTTCTGTAACAATTCTATAGATATTTTCTTTATACAAGTAGAGATGTATGTCATGACAAACGACATAATATGATGTAAGTCCGACATACATAACTACGCTGTAGTAATTTAATATAATTTTGTAAATTTATGTATTTCTTATTTAATTAATGATTTAATGGAGTAAATCACATCTATATTTTTAAAATTAATTGAAAATGGTAAAAGTCAAAAGTAGTTTTAACCCTTTTAGTAATGTAATCATTAAGTATCCTTATATATTGCAGTTCTATTTATGAACTAAATAATCAAACTATTTCATTTATCGTACAATAAAACTAGTTGCCAAAAAAGAACAACCGACACACCCCAAAAAGTGAGTTTTTTGGTTAAGCCCAGGAAATCCTAAGTTTTTATAGGGGTTTATAGTTTTTGGGTTTATGCATACCCAAAAGAACTTAAGGGGATCAGTTTTTTTTTTTTAAATCCCGGTTTTTGCCAACTTTGATAAAACTAAAAGGGCTATTAATATAATGTTCTACAGAATTTTAAATAAAAGCGCTATTATTGTAAAACTAATGGTTTTATCTAATGTTTGTATTGTAGTGCTGAGTGTCCAGCTAACCAGTCTCTTTAGTGTTGACGATTGTTCAATTAGTGTATTCTACCTATACATTTATAGTACTTATATTTAATCAATGATAATTATCGGTCTAGTATGAAAATATGTTATTAGTACTAACAGAATGCAATAATTGAAGTAATTAATTACTTTACCGCAAAACCCCAATAGGGATTTTTCAATTAATAACAATAATAATATTAATGACTCACGGTTGAAAATTCAGTAATTTTTTAATTACAATTTTTTTTATAAATAGATAAAAATTGTATATATTGCTGTAATCTCACATTTTTCTTAAATCATTTAAGAAATAAAATATTGCTAAAATATTTTATTAGGATTTCACAGATACTTAGCACTACAATTACATTTTTGAGGATCGTAGCAAATTTCTGACATGTATTTTAAATTGAAGCTTGCAAAACACTTGTACAGTATAATTATATAATTTGCCCAAAGGTGCCCACGGGTGAAAATTCGGGGGGGGGACTCTGATTTTGTAATAGCTTTTGCGAATTTAGGATATAATTTTTTTAACTTGCAGAGAAGCTAAGGGGGAGTTTTCCTCCCCTTCTCCTCCCTGTGGGTGCCCTTGAATTTACCCATCCCCTTTCATAATATTCAATTGTTTACCAGCCCTTAATATTTCTGGTTATTCTCTGATAATATAGTCGACCTAATGTTATCAATCTCTTATCTAACAATTGTCAAAAATCGTGTACTACGAAGGTCTGAATATTATTTTTAGATGGTGAGAAGAGCAACCGCTGTTGGGTACTTGGTCGGAAGTTTAGCACTTGTTGCTTCGAATTCGGACAAACCCGAACATCACAATATGTCCAAATACAGTATTTATAATATATGTATGTATATATTATAGTATAGTGTATTGTACTACCATAATATACTAGCAATTTCTGTCCTCATTTTTCGATTTTCCAAATAGAAAATAATTCTAAAAATTACGGTTTTAATTAAAAATCAAAACGCACGATGCTCGCCAGGTTTTCGAGCATAAAGAGAGAGAAAGAGAAAATATAGTTGGTCGGCCAAATAGCTAATGAAAAACGAGGATTAAATGCGAGTCGTTTTAAAATAGGATCCAAAAGAATCCTGAAAGTCCGCCAAAACCAAAAGAGTAATCTCTGAAAAAAATCGCCGGTGACCAGACACACGCGCCTTATTTATGTAATCTATCTCACTTAAAGGCAAACTGAAAGGGTTTGTATATTAAGATGAAAAGGATAGGCAATGTTTGACAAAAATTCATCTAGTAGCCATTTTTGAATATGTCGACTAATTTTAAAGGTGAACACAATTTTTCTAAGTATACAACTTTTAAAGTTATGTTGATGGCAAATTTTTGATGAAAAAAACGATAATGGAAGTCATTTCCTGGTGTCTACACTGAACAGATTAAAAAAAAATTTCTTGTTATGGTAAGCTTACTATTTATATCTGTGGGGACTAAAAGGCAATGTTGTGAAATCAGTTCGGTAAGTGTTCACTTTAGAAAGTTACTTGGCGTTTTAGTGTTTATTCGTGTACGCGTTCCTCTCGAAAACAAATATTCTATTCAAAATAATAATAATAATATGCCGTTGCCGTTCAATGTCGATTGGCATTCGTGTGTGTGTGTGTGTGTTTTCCCCCAATTTGGAAAACTTTCCCAAAAGAGCTTTCTGGGCATTTGGCGGTGTTACACAATCTCGCCCAAAACTAGAACCGACGGTGTCTTTATATATTTATTTTTTTCTGTACACGTCGATTTGTTGTACCTAATTACGTCAACTCACGTGGGAAATAATAGTGTTTTTTTTTTCTACCTTGTTGTCTTTACACGGTGAACGTTGCACCTCTTCCAATAGCTGTTCTCTATTACATTATATGCGCGCACCCTTACGGATCGATAGGCCCGGCAGTTGACCCGGTGCCCTATTTCTCGGTCTCACACCCCAACTGGCTGCGTCGATTCGTCTCCCCACCCCCATTATGCCCTCTCTCATTATAGTTTTTTCCCGTTAAGTTTATTTTTTGCTTCTCGTTCTCTTAACGCCCCCCCCCCCTATTCCCTCTGGACAAGCGCGAGGGGGTCGCTGAAAGTTTACTTTTCAACGTCGGTCGAGTATAGGGGGGGGGGGTAGCGGTTAAACGTTTGTAATTGAGTTCTGCTTGATGAATAATATAATAATAATAATATAATCGTTTACACGAAGATTTACAATAATATACATTCAGCCGATTATACTATTTAACTATTAGTCAATGAAAATTGGGTTTCGTCGAGATTTGTTGGGTAACTTAAAACGATTGTTGAGTTAATCAGCCGAAATGAGCTTGTTAAAGAGTTACTTGGCATGTTAAAATGCCATAGATCATATTATACATTAGGTACTAGTTGAGTTCTGATTAAAAAATTATAATATTATCACATTTCGTGATAACCAAATGAGAACGTTGCAATTGAGGTAACCGCTTTGGTAACCCGAGTAACATTTCGTTAACTCAACAAATATAATTTAATAATAATAATGTCGTGGTGAAACCTACTTAATTTAACCAGATGTTAAATTTAAATGAATTGTTAACTAACATTATGTTAAGAGTGTATTTAATAATAGTTGGTGAAACCGGCTGAATATCTGCAAAGTAAAAAATTAGGTTTGTTTGGAATTATGTCTGTACATAATACATGGGATTATCAGTTTAACGTAAGACACTGGTGGTTTACTCGGAAGATTATCACAATTTTTTAGCTTTTACTTATATTTTTTGTACGTCAATCGTATAAAATTACCAAAAATTTACTTTTTTTTTAGTATTTTCCAGTTACAGTTGATAACGCTATAAAAAATACTAAAAAAAAAAAATATTTATTAATTTTATAATATTGTAAAATTACATAAACAAAAATGGTTTCAAAAAAAAAGAAAGAAATGCTACAAAATTGTAATTTTTTTAACATATATCTAGTGTTTTACCCTTAATAAATCACCCTGTATATAACATGTGTACATCATGTAAAGATTTAACAATTCAGTCTGTTTTTAATTATGTCTATTCACAAATAATTACAGTTATATCATTTAATAGAGGTTTTTTTGTACTTTTTACAAAATTAATTGGAACCCTTTAATTTTTATATAAAAAAAAAGTATATCTATTGTAGGTAAATAAAACTTTTCTTATAAAAAAATATCTATTTGCAAAAAAACGATCTACTGGAAATCATGACAGGTTGATAACATCATAATATGTTGTGTCATCTGTCAAATAATTATAGTTATTCGACAGCCAATAACAAGTAATACTTGTAATTAATCTACAAGTTACTGTTATTTAAAAGTATAGGTAAGGGTTAGACGTCCAATCTCAATTTTTTTTATCGCCCGTACTACTCATTCACCTGCTCTAGGTCTCTTACCTGAACATTTCAACGCTTCCAAATCGAGCAATTCTCTTTCAGAACTTGTTAACAACCAGTCATTATTTTTATCTGATCATTTCATATAATAGTTATATAAAAAAATAGCGATTTCTTTTTCATAGTAGTGTATCGTGTATTCAAATCGTGTATCTAATAAAAAAATTGATATTAGATAATATATAATTATAACAAAGAACTAGTTTGTCATTAAAATAAAAAAAAACAATTAATTAAAAAATAGTTATTTTCTTTGAAATATTGCAACGTAAATCCCCCTGTTGGTAAGTACACATTATATCTGCATTCCATGGAATCATACAAGTTCAAAAATTGTGCTAAAAAAAAAAGCGAAAAAAATCCTCCCCTTTTGAACAAAAATAGTTAATCAAATATTTCTGGTCATTTTTTCTGTCGTTCTTGGAGCTGTATATTTTATTAATTACATCCGAACATTTACAAGCGGTATAATTATTTTTCGGAAAGTTGTCTAATTAAAAATATCTTAAATTTGGTTTTATAAAGTACCTTCTGCAAACGATTCGATGTATCAAAACTATCTTATGGCTGGGGGTATGTCTTATGGTCACCAAAAGACATACTCATGTTCGACCATTCCTTCGAGGGAAATACTGAGACATTTTTCTAATTAATAGTCTGTGTTAACCGTATAGCCTAGTTAAGTGCAAATTATTTTCAGTATTCCAATTCAAAGTATGCTTTTGCGCGGATTGAGGTATTTTTTTCTATTTCTTTATGTTTTTTTTTCCATTTGGCCAATGAGACTTATTGAAACAGTTTTAGCACTATTTTTTTTCCTTTCCACAACAATAATGTTCGTTACGCGTATCGCTTCCCTCAACCGTGTCTTCTGCTAAAATATTCTATAAACTTTGAGGTTTAAGTGGCTCTATTTTTCACACAAGTATAGTATAGATAATTTGCGGGTCCGTTCAATATAAACTGTACCAGTGCTTCAAGGCTAACGAGACGAAACCAGATTTGCTTATATAGTTTAGTTGAATATTATTGTAAACAAATAAGGTTTCTATTCAAATTAACACGTCGAGTGTGTAAAATTAGCATAGAATTTTTTTATGTTAAACGGCGTAAAGCCTGAAGATCTACATGATCTACGTACTAGCTTCACGACACTATGGATCTGACATTGTGTTTAAATGTGAAAAATTGGAATTTGGCCAAACCGTGAATAACGCGCAAAACAGTTCTTAGACGAGGTATAAGAGACAATGGATGCCAATCAGTAAATGTTACAATTAAAGGTCAGAAAAAAATAAGTGCGCTGAAAAAATTCAGTGGATTTTTACCGACTCACTCACCTGTTATTTTTATTTGGAAATAATATTGAAACGCATTATTTGTATATATTTTTTTAACTATGTTGCCAAATAAATTTCCCCTTTTGTCGCCGCCGGCTCGTTATTAAAACTATTTCCTTAACGTGCGTTGTGCAATCGATGGCGAATAAATTGCCAATTAGGTACTCTATTCGGTCTTGGCTAATTTATCATTTGTAATTAGAGCCCTAAAACACCCTCCTAGAGTGGAACGAAAAGGCTTTGGCTTTTACTTAATTGAATCTCAATCTCCCCGTCCGTTGCATAAAACTGATTTCGTTGCGTTCATTATTATAAATTATTCTATTCATTAACGTTACAATAATAGAAAAGACATTTTACAGGCTTCACCTACACGTTTTTTAGTTAATCGAATTTTACATAATCGCATAAAATAAAATAGGCGACAGATTTCAAAAATATTTGTTTTGTTTTTTAAATTTAATCATAAATCTAACTAATTTTCTAAGTGCTAAATCAAAAATCGACCTTTTATAGCCCACATAGAGAAAAAGGTAAGGGAAAAACAAAAACTGACTTCTACGAAAATCATTTATTTTTTCAAACATTTGCCATCAAACTAGGAGAAAAATAATTATGTTCTCCTTTAAATTAGTCGACATATGCAATGTGGCTACTAGATGGATATTTGTCAAATATTACAGCTACCCTTTTCCCCTTAATAAGCAACCCATTTCCGTTCTCCATGACTTATTTTTTTTATAATTTCGCGGACCGATTGCGTTGTGAAAGTGATGTTTTTTTTTCGACTAATGTAGAATAGTTAAGTGGTGTAAAGCACAGGCCAATACAAACGTGAGATCTACTATTCACAATAACATGTTTGTTTTCTCGCCCTGTCTCTGCGTGTGTGTGTGTAACGAAATGAAAAAAGCAGCCAAGTTAAAAGTCGGCACAACTCGAATATTCTTTTATTGACATTCGCTTACTTTAATAAAATATATATATCTTCACTTGGCCCGTTACGGAAATGTCTAGTTTTGTATGGAACGCCACGCCGACTACTCGTTTACTTTCATTCGTTCACACCTTCTCTCTCTCTCTCTCTCTCTCTCTCTCTCATTTTCTTTTACTTTGTCAAAGATCCGAGTAAGGCGTTATTACACGCGTTTGCCTTCGGGCCGTTATGTATTTTATTTAGGTGGGAAAGTCATCGCCGGATGCGCTCGAAAGTAGTGTAAAAAGCAGCAGTATATGATAAAAGTAAAAGTCGCTGGTGTGGTCTGTTTGTTTAGCGCAGCGACATTCTTCGATAAGTCACGGCGCGCACTCAAAGGCCGTGTAAAAAAGCCATTGAACAGGAAAGGTTCGGGACTTAAGGGGAGGAAGGAAGGAGAGGGTAGGCGGGGAGGTAGTCCCGGGGCCAGAAAGGTAATACCCGACCAGAGATTATTATGAGGGCGCAGCACTGGTAATGAAATACATGGGGATTATTTATATTTTTCTTTTTCACCGGATGCGCAATAGTCGGTTTTCATTTCCCTTTTTTTTTTTTATTTATTTATTTAGACTTCCACGCGACACTTGTGCTTTTTTTAATTTGAGTGTGCGTATTCCCCTTCGGTATCTCCCGGCGGGATGTACTACGCAATTCACACTTGTCGTTCCATCGGCATTTGCATCGTAGCGTTTCTTCTCTAACACCGTGTGTCCTCCGCTTACCGTGGCCGAAACAAAAATTATTTTTCTAATGGAAAATTAAAGTTAAAAAAAAATAAAACAATGAACATCAATTTACTTTACCGGTCGAACGCGTTTGCTACGCTGATAAACGACGCGGCCACCACTCTGTTCGATACCTGTGACAATTCGCGTTACAATTTCCAACACAAGTCCAACGTCAACAACAACGCCAATACATGCGCTTGCATGTTACATCTGGTATTGCTCCAGGTACATAGTATTTCCTATTTACCTATTTTGTAAGACTTGATAAAATTATCAAGAATTTGGGGAAAATAAGTAAAAAAAATTATGTTTAAGAACATCTGGTAGTTTCCCAAATAACTATAGGGCGCCGCCACCTAAATTAAAATATGTATTTTCTAATAAAAATAAAATTATGTAATAAACATGTTGAATTTCTGCTACAATGAGCACTGAAATGTTAAAACATCCCTCGATTCGCAAGTATTCCATGATGGATATTGATGACTGTGGGGATAGGATAGAATATGCCGAAGAATGTTATAGTATTGATTAACCCCCCCCCCCCTAATTAAATGTTAGGTTTGAGACACCCAAATATCTGATTTTGGAACACTCATTTATTTTAGTCTGTATGTGTAAATCAATTGTATGATATTATACTGTTTACCTTCCAAAACTATTAGTCTCGTTAGCTAATACTAAATATTGTTTGGATACCGATTGATACTTGGTATACTTTGATATAACAGATAACACAAACCTTAAAATGAATAACAAAATAGTTGTTCAGTTCAACAAACAAAGTGTTAAGTTGAACACAGCAAATCTGTGATTTTTTTTTTTATTGGACAACAAAATTATAACACTAACAGTGTTAACACATATTCTGTCTACCGTAAAAGACTGATATTGTAGTAAACTTTTTATTGTTTTAGGTATCAAACATTAAGTATTTCAGTTATAAATTTTAACTACTAATTTTAAATATTTGGTAATTATTTAATATTGTAAACAAAAATATTTTCGAAAATGAAAACTACAAAATTGCAATTAATTTAAATGAAATTTAGGTTTCTCACATAAAATTGATCACCCTGTATCTCTTTCCTCTTTTTAACTAGTATAATTGAAGAGTGAATTTGTCAAACGTTCCAAGTGCCAAAATATAAAAATTGAACTTAAAAATGTTATTTGTATTTTATTCATTACCGGAAACACTTATTTTTGAGTTTTAAATATAATTGTTTTTTTTTTATAAATAACTATTCCTTACTTGAAAAATTTACAAAAGTGTTTCCGGTTATGAATAAAATACAAATCAAATTATAAAGTTCAATTTTTTGTCACTTAAAACGTTTGACAAATTCACTCTTCAATTATTTTTCCCTTTGATATTCTGAACTTAAAACATGGTTTTATAAAAATATTTCTTTTTCGTTTTCTAGGAAATTGCAGCTTTGAGAAAAGAACTGAGCCAAACTCGAGATCAGCTAGCATCTAGAGATGAAGAAATAGCTGAGCTGAAAGCCGAAAGGAGTAATACTCGAGTATGTGTGCATTAAAATAGTTTTTTATTTTTTTTTATTTTACATATTTTGTGTTTTTGTTTGGTTTCAGTTACTTTTGGAACATCTAGAAAGTTTAGTTTCAAGACATGAAAGGTCAATTAGATCCACAGTCATTAAGAGACAGACGAATACAAATCCCACAGCGTACACGGGTGTTTCTAGTGAAGTGGAAGTTCTCAAAGCGCTTAAAAGCCTCTTTGAACATCACAAAGCTCTTGATGAAAAAGTATGTGCATTATTAGTGTCTATATTCCTATATTAGCTGTTGTATACTTCATTATTATACTAGTTTAAATATGAATGGAAATATTTTATACACCTAAAACTTTTAACAACGTAAACTCATGAAGTTTATTTTTATTTTCATTTCTTATTATTATTAGGTAAGAGATAGACTGAGGTATGCACTTGAAGCTAATGCAAAACTCGAAGAAAAATTGGAAAGCACTATGCAAGAGGTAAACATTATTGTTTGTATTTTTATTGATTAGGTAAACTTTTTATTATTATTGTTTTATTGTTGTAGCTTGATGTACTCAAGTCTGGTGGTAAATCCGAAAATGATACCAAGGTTCAAGAAAATGGAAGCGCTGATAATTCTGACGGATCCACTCAACAGTTGACTACTATAAAAGTAATTTTGTTTTACTCTTTAGAGATATCATGGTAGTTAAGTTGTTTACTTTCGTATTTAGTAGAACATTCAGTAGACAATAGCAATGCGTAAAACTTAAAAATATTAGTTACGTTAAGGCTCAAAAATACCCAGTAAAATTGAGTAGGTATAATTAAAACAAGTTTAGCTGACATGATAAAAAATACTTTATGAAGTAAAAAAAAAAAATTCCATTGAATCCCTAATTAAAAACTGGTATATCTGAGCCTTAAATTATAGCATTTTATAATTGTCTAAAGGTTTTTTTTTTTTGTAATTGTATTTTATTAGAAGCTTTACATTTTTTTCTTTGATAATAAATTAATGCTTATAAGAGATCTTCGTGCAAATAAGTCTCTTTAACATAATTTAAAGCAGGTGCGGCCTTAATAAGTCCAAACCTCGATATGACAAAGTAAATTACGTTTCCCTCAAGTTTTGACTTATTAAAGGTTTACATTATGGGAGGGTGGATAAATGGCTAAACAATGTGTGCTCTTTAAGTATCAATACTTCATTTCGGCCACTGATTAAGAGTAATTCTGAAATTAATAAATATTCCCCTCTCTTAAAAACCAATGCCTTTTCTTTATCCATTCCACCGATTGTGTATCGGCAAGGGCTAAAGATTTTTTGTATTAATATTGTCTTTCAATCAACTAAATATATTAAATTGTATTTAATGTTTTGGAAAAATCGGATAGAAAATAATGTTATAAGTTGATAAAATATTTTTATAGATTTATTATTTTATACCAAAACTATCTATATAAATATTGTACTATTGTTTATTTTTATTTATCTTATTGAGAAAAATCTTTAAAATTATGCCAGCATGAGTATTTTTAAGCGTTTTATGTAAAGTTTTGGTTTGCATGTCAGAATAGAACACTGAACGGTCACGTTGATGAAACAATTGAAAATGCACCCGATAAAAATCTAGTCGACGCACGTGTGGAAAACTGTATGAATAACGGTATTGACGCTGAGGTTTGTGACAAAATAAAAAAAAAAACTGTCTGTCACTCTCTTGAGTTTCAAAACTGTGTTGAAATTGTGTAATGAATCTAATTTCGACAATATTTCCGTATTTAGAATTCTGAGTATGGAACTTGGAAAATGAACGAACTATCTAGTCGAGTGTCTGAACTGGAGGACTCGCTATCTAAAACGCAACGAGAGCTCCATAAATCGCAAGACAGTAGCAATAACTTGCACCATGAATTGAGAGAAAACATTGCAATTAAAGAAGAACAAGTAAGAAAAATAATATTCTTAATAAAATGTGTATTATCTCATTGTTTTTTACTTTTTTTAAACAGGAAGAACGTTTAAATTCCTTAGAAAAAAAATACATGAATCTGCAACGTGAGTGCACTTCAATACACGATTTGAACGATAAGTTAGAACAAGAATTGCAGCATAAAGAAGCGCAGTTAAAAGTTTGTTTTAGTTTTTTAATTATTTTCAATTTAACTGCGTAAAAAATTATTTTCATTCATTCTATTTTTTTAGTTACAAGAAGAAAAAACCCGTGCAACGCACGAAAAGTTAGAATTGTGTGAACAAAAGTTAGCACAATTCGCCACACTGCCAGAAATAGAACAAGAGCTAAAACAGCGAATGGAGGCCCTTACGCAGGTAAGGGCTCAGGTACGAGTTTCGTTCAACAGATCAAACTACTATTTAAATTTTTCTTTTTTAATATATTCTATTTTTTTTCTATATTTCTTACCCAACCTGTTGTCGAACTCGTATTGTTACTTAGTTTAGTCTTAATACTTGTTATTTATCCTTAAACATTGTTTTTTTTTTATATGTATTTATATATACTATTGTCGATGTTTATTTATTTTTAAAGCACAGTATTGACTTCACGCAATTTTATGTGATCAATCAATTTTTCTTAATTTATTTATATGGCACATTTTTTCAAATCACAATTGAGTTTTTTTTATGAGCTTGTAATTTTCAATAAGAATGAACCCATTCTAAGAGCCTTCTTTTTATTAATAATGTAAAAAAAAAAACAAATATTGACAAAATCGTATAAGATTGTAATGTTATAATTATTATTGTAAATGCCTTTTAATTGAAATATTTTAGAAATTGATAACGTGATAGATCCTAATAAAACATTTCCTAATTTTTATTAGTAGAATTTTCTAAAATAAAATGTTGCATTAATATTTATCACAAATTTATTTAACTTCTCAACATTTAAGTATTATGTAGAATTAAAGTAAAGTATTATTAGAATAATTATGAGGGAAATATTTTTTAAAAGAAAAACATAAATTACAATTATACATATATTTTATAAATTAATTCTGCTTTTAACTTAGTTCCATAGATTTATAGTTTAGAATAAAATCAAAATTTTGTTATCACAATGCACTTAATATTTAAGCACAAATAATTACTTGATTTTGTCATTTGAATGCCGATTTAAATATCTTTGTATAATGTTAATATTTCTTTCAAAAGCATTGCATTCTTAATTTTTATGCTAAATATACTATTACAGGCGCAAGAAAGACACGGTACAGCAGAAGATCGTATCCAAAGACTAGAGTCGCAAGTCGAAGAGAAAAATGCCGAAGTTTTAAGGGTTAATCAAAGGCTGAAAATGAATGAAGAACACAACACTAGATTATCGGCTACAGTTGATAAATTATTATCAGGTTGTATAGTATTAATTAACGTGTTAACATTGAAAAATACTTATACGTTTTGTCTTCAATTACATTACAGAATCAAATGAACGTTTACAAGTGCATTTGAAAGAACGTATGCACGCTCTAGAAGAAAAGAACTTGTTAACGCAAGAATTAGAAAAGTGTCGTAAGCTAGTCGAAGAATTGCAAAACGAAAAGGTGTGTTATTATGATTTCTTTTTTTTTTTATAGTGTTGTTAAATTAATTTGTGTTTCAGACTGAATTATTGAAAGAACTCGGTAAAGCTCGTATGGAAATTGATAATATTAAAAGACAAATGCTCCAGCAAGAGATATCTTTTAATATTCAACAGACTGATGCGCTTACAAGGTTATTATTATTTTTTTTTTGTTTATTTACTTAATAAAGTTACGTAAAATACATTTGAAACATTTTACAGGAGTTTATCGCCTGGTGGACCTGATCAGGGTGGGTTTGCTCATAGCTCTAGTCATCATTCAAACTTTGACACTCACTCAATAGCCCGAAGATCAATGAAATCTAGAATGTCCCCTATGGAATCCAACCACGCCAAGGTTATTGTCTCTATTCTTTTATTTTAAGTATTTTTAAAATCTGTGTATGTAATATATGTATACGTATATTCGTATTTAGGAATGGGAAAAACTACAACAAGCACACGTGCTGGCCAATGTGCAACAAGCGTTTGATGCTTCTAGCGATTGTGACATGGATGGCGGTGACGACGACCTAGACGACGATGGTGGCATGTACTGCGATGCCGGTGAACAATTGTCTCCGTCGGCTGCAGATGCGCAAACATTAGCGTTGATGCTACAAGAACAGTTGGACGCCATCAACACTGAGATCAGATTAATCCAAGCCGAAAAACAAAACACGGAAGCTAGAGCAGAGGAACTCGAATCGAGAGTTGGTAGCATAGAGCATGTTAATCTGTTATCTAGGAGTCGTAACTACGAACGACAGTCACCACCGCTTAGCGGCAGAGGTACACCTCAAAATGAATACCTGCATAAATATCATTCTGTAAGCAAAATTATTCAAACTCGGTTTTTGCAAGCATTAAATTTACCTTGTTTCTCCACATTGTTAGCTCCAGCTAAATGAAGACGACAATATGGGCCTATCGTCCACTCAAGATAACAATGGTGCGGCGAGCCCGTTAACAGCACGCTCTATGAGATTAGAGCGAGTCGCCCAAGCTCTAGCACACAGTCAAGAAGAATTGAGAAGGTTAGCTAGCTAGTTATACCTGGTATTTTATTTTGCTTAACATTCGTAAAATTATTAACCAAATAACTTATTATCTATTAGACGGGCTGGAATTAACAATGTACCGACTACAATGAGCATAATCAATTACAATCCTTCTACGCTCAGGTATAAATTATTAACACTATTAATACAATAATTGATTAGAACCCTTATGTGTCTAGAAAATCCAAATAGCGTTGTAAATAATTTTATATATTTTTCAATAACTTTACTCAACAGTAGTGTCTTGAGCACCCTGTGTAAAGTCCCACGATTATTTTTCTTAAATAACTTACACATTAGACACCATGCAGACTATGAAAAAATGTGCTCCGTAGTGGAGAACACGCTGAGTGTATCTGCACGGTGTCTATAACTATTATTTTACAAAAAAAATAGATATTTCACTATATAACATTACAATGTACTAACAAGGGGAGGCCATATCAATTAATGTACCTTTGGTAGGTTAACTTAAAGTGAAAATAAGAAGACCCCCTCTCTTTTTTCTCAGTAAGTCATACTTACAGATTTAAAATTTCATTAACTTTAAAGTTAATTTTATTCATAATTACGACTTATTGACAAAAAAAAAACTAAATACGTGTCTTATATATTATGGGGTGACTCCTTTGATATGACCTCCCCTTGTAAGTAGATCTTACCACCATAGTTTCTATTTATAATTATGTATACTAATTATTTTTAGCATATGTATAAAAATATGAAATCACGCTCTTCCTCAAGTGTTGTACATTAAAACCATATGTATAGTATTGTACATATGCCCGTTTAATGCTTATTAGATATAGTTTGTAGTAGAAGTTGCTTTGGGTTGTAATATAGGGGTGCCAGTGGCTTTTCCACGCCTCCATCACCGTTGTCCTCTCGTCATAGCAGTCAAGATTCCCTACACCACGGGCCGTCCATGATGGGCCAAGCGGGAACCAGTTTGTCAAGTATATCGAGCGCGTTCAGTATCTCCCAGATGCCATCGTACCATCACACATTGCCGTCATCAGCGTCTGCGGCTGCACAAAAAAAGAAAGGCATCAAATCATCTCTAGGACGGTTCTTTAGTAAAAAAGAAAAGGTGAAGTATTTTTTTTTTTTTTAATACTAATTTTTAAATATAGGTGAATAATAATTTATATTTTGGTGATTTCAGCAAGGAAAAGGTAAAGAAGGCATGAGTGGCATGTTAAGTCAAATGTCCACATCTGATATGTCTTTAGCCAGTTCTTATGCGGGGGACGACACGTCCAGTTTGTGTAGTGCAAGCTTAGGACAAAAAGGCGATTTCGACAGGCGAAAAAAGAAAAAGTACTATAAGGCTACTGATTTATTATTTTACATAGACTAATGACTGAATCACTATTTAGGCATGAACTCCTAGAAGAAGCAATGAAAGCGGGAACGCCGTTTGCATTGTGGAATGGTCCCACTATTGTCGCTTGGTTAGAACTATGGGTAGGAATGCCCGCATGGTATGTGGCCGCTTGCAGGGCCAATGTTAAATCGGGAGCTATAATGAGTGCGCTATCGGATACCGAAATACAAAGAGAGATTGGAATAAGGTAGTACGAGAGTTCCTAAATTTTTAAAGAAATCTACAAATAATTACTTTGTTTAATGTTTTTTATATTTTTTTTCAGTAATCCATTGCATCGTTTGAAATTGAGGTTAGCCATCCAAGAGATGGTATCGCTGACTAGTCCATCGGCACCGGCAAAATCCTTGCGTTCTACTCTAGCGTTTGGCGATATGAATCACGAATGGGTCGGTAACTATTGGTTACCATCGTTGGGATTGCCTCAATACCGTTCTACTTTCATGGAATGTCTGGTTGACGCCAGAATGCTTGACCACCTAACAAAACGGGATTTCAGGTCACAGTTAAAGATGCTCGACGGCTTTCATCGGTAAACAATCGTCGTCAACAGCATTGTATCATCAATGAATTTTTTATCATCTGTGTATTTTGATTATTTAGAACGAGTTTGCAGTTTGGTATTACGTGTCTTAAGCGAGTCAATTTTGACCGTAATCTTTTAGAAGAGAGACGTCGCATTGCTGAACATGAGACTGTGGACATATTAGTTTGGTCCAACGAGCGTGTAATCAAATGGATCACTACTATCGGCCTCAAAGTATGCTGTCAAATGTACATCATGGAGATGTTAATTAAATATTTAATTGTGTTATGTACCTTTTAGGAGTATGCTAATAATTTAATTGAATCTGGTGTGCACGGTGCCATAATAGCGCTCGACAAAAATTTTGACTCCAATACGCTAGCGATGGCTCTGCAAATACCTCCGCAAACCACACAGGTATGTTATAAAACCAATTTGTTTGATTTGTGAATAGTTAAGTAACAATCATTTTGCGTTTGGTTCAGGCTCGTCAAGTTCTGGATACCGAATTCAACAAGTTACTAACCATATCAACGGAACGGAGACTAGACAGTAGTTGTAGCGATCTCGGTGCTTCTTGATATTACCCGGCGGCCTCTCAGGATTGAAAATGACGAGAGGCGCCGAAATTGACTGTCTGTTTTTATTGCTGTACTGTTGTTACAACAGTACTCGGCTGTTATTATTCCATACATATTATAATGTGCTGAACATTTTTTTGTCCCTTTCATATTCTAAGTGGTATATTAAAGTAGAAATTGACCTTTTTTTATTATTTATTATTGTATAACAATTGTTTTTTTTAAATCATTGTTGAGGTAATGTTATTACATCGGTTACCACATCGGAGTATTACCAATCTAATCGGTTAATTTTAAAAAGAAAAACCCTTTTTACATTGTTTTTGTTCTTTTTTTTATTATGTTTTTCTGTGTTGTATAGTATTAATTATTTGATGATCAAACATTATAAATACCCCTAGGATAAAATGAATCTAATAAACGAGTAATGAGTAATGACAAATATTATGCACAATTTCTGTGAGATTAAGTACCAAAGTATTGTTTAACATAATATATATGTGTATACTATTAATATTAAGGAGTATTATTTATATATTACCGTAACAATAATGTATTAATTAGAGAAATGATTAATCATAATTAAGATTTTAATTTTACAATGTAATGTGACCTCGACTTGCATTCGCGTAAGTAACGGTGCAACGCACAATAAAAATAAAGTTTTTATTAAATCTTCCTTCACCGAGTTTGTTCAGTTTGTTTTAGAACTGAGTTACTATGATTATTACTAAGTAAGAATGTAACATCTGTCATATCTTTTATAGTTTTAGTTTATTCACTATTATTATTATTATTTTATTTATCTGTTTTGTTAGTGGCCAGTGTCCCATATATATGTATATATCTATATATATATTATTTTAGTATTATAATATAGGTCTTGAAACAGCCTGTCTCTATTACCCTTTTGACCGTTATTATGTTTATTATAAAATAAAATGGTGTAACTATGTTATAAACATTGTATAAAATTGTTTATGTATAAATTATAATTAAAAAATATAAAGATCATATATTCCTACTTTCTCTTAGGTTCTCGTCAGTTTGTTATTATTGTATATCGAAATAATCTGACACGTAGGCTGATTGACCGCATAAAATAAAAGTTATTGATTTTTTAACTGTGTTATATATTTTTTTTTTTTTTTTACAGAATATATAAAATATAATTAAATGTTTATCCAAATTATAGTTAACGTAATATTTAGAGATACGATTAATTTTTAATGGTATAACAAGTACATAATAATATGCTTACTCAATCAAATAGCTATCCAACATGATTACACTGTCGCCCTGTACTTGAGCTATTGTATTGTCTTAACAAAAATCACTAATACTATTACTGTTACTTGAAATTTTATCGTGAAATTATAAATGTACGCAAATGATTTTATTATTCAAATATCGAAAGTACTTTTAAGTTAATAAAATACATACTTAAAAATGAATTGGTCTTCCTGAAAATGTTCAATTCTGAAGGCAAGACATAGATTTAACATGTTACAATACAATTAAATGTTATATACTTGTGTCGAAACTTTTTTTTCAACGCTAACCTATATTCACCATGCATTCATTGCGTAATTTCGTCACTATACTGGTTTCATTTAATTTGCCCTAGGCTGTCTACGTACACTCAACCAGTCCTCAAAAGAAATGGGGCCATGTTAAAAAAAATACTGTTTATCCATCTAGACGAACCCGAAAAATATTATTTTATAGCTCGAACAAACCAAAATTAGGTTATAAAACCCCTAGACTACCGAGCTAGATACAAAAGTTGTAGCTTTTGACCGAACAAGACCCAATGTCTATATGCATTTAAATTATAAATAGGGCCAGTGAATTCAAAATTGTGTAGTCCTTTTCTAGAAAAACAATCACCGCAGTACCAACTGTAATTTGGAATCACTTTTGGATGTATCCAAGTCTTTATTTATTTGCCAACGTTTCACCAATTGCAGAGTTTGTCTTTAGAGCGATAGTAACAGTTTTACTGTCACTATATTATACAAAGTATAGTCATGAAAGAAAACAAAGACAAGGATACATCTAAAAGTTGAATCAAATTAATATTTATGTCCATGAAAGTTTTAACACATTCAAAAACCAAATACCAATAGTGCTACTTACTAGAGTTCAATCAAATTACTTAACTTAGAAGATTATTTATTTTTGATAAAATTCCCGTTGATTTTTACGCACTTGCAACAAAGATTATCTATTAAATTTTTTATCTTTGTATTTTCAAAGCAAAATTTAAACAATTATTATAACTCAACTTTTAAAATAATTCGAAAATGTTATAATGATATTAATGTAGTAATACTTTCTTATTGTTTGAACTTTGAGTTACAAAAATATAGTTATTGCCGATAAGAGACTTATACTTCCTGGACTATATTAGTTTTAATAACTGTGATACAGTTTAAATGTACATAATCTTATGTATATTAAATGTAGTTACAAAAAAAAAAACAAATTACAACAATTTCCAAGGAACTATCTTAAATATACATCAATTTGTTTTTTCGTGTTGTTGTATAATTGTTTTTTATATTAAATAGAACAGTTTTTAATTTAAGTACTTGTGGTTTCATAACCACATTTTTTAATATAATATTAATGAATAGAAACATAATTTTAATAACCAACAGTTGTCACTTCAATAATTTTTAGTTAAAAAAACCTAGTTTATTGTTTTTGGTACTAGCATCATTATCGTCTTAACCACCAATCGTCTGTGCCAGTTTTTTCATTTTGACTACCCTGACCACTTTTTAAGTTTCCAATTACTCCCATTACCGCTTTGTTTACAGCAGCTACTACCATATCAGAATTGATATTTTTGTCATTGCCGTAACTGCTGGCAACTGGTTGATGTGCACCACTCCCTCTGTTATACGATCTATCATAGCTGTCTTGATCATAATCCCAAATATCATCCTGCGACCAAGCGTGCACACGTGGAGTATGGTCCCTCCTTCTTTCTTTATATCTATCTCGACTTTCATAATCACTCCACTTGGGGGCCATTTCTTTTTTTGGAATAGCTTCTGTACACACTACATTACAATCACCTACTTTATGGTCTTTTCCTATAACTTTCTGAGCAGACATAGGATCGGTAAACGTTACAAATGCAAATCCTCGATGTGGTCTGGGTAAAAACAAATCCGATATTTCACCGAATTGTATAAAATAATTTTTTAATGCTTCTTCATCGACGTCTTCAGACACTTGACCTATAAATACTTTACGTGGCACTTTGTTCACATGTTTGTCTTTACTGTTTGGTATGCGTACATCACACCAGCGTCCTTCTATGTTATGCCTCTCGAGCATTACACGCACTTGAGATTTTTTATGCTTGAACCGTACAAATCCGTACCCTTTGGATTTTCCATTAGGGTCAGTTTTAATTTGTGTGTATTCTACTTGTCCAAATTTAGAAAAATATGATTTCAAATCATCTTCTGTCACTTTCCAAGGTAGACCGAGTACGACCAAATCCATATCGGAAACACTATTATCATCATCTTCTATTTTGTCCTTTTCTTCAACTTCTTCGTGCTTACGTTTAGCAGCTGATGGGGTTACATTACGAAAATTACACATATACACACGGTCTGACCAACCACCTTCGGGCGGAAAAAATTTCCCTTCGTTGAGACGCACAATACGTAATCTGTTTTCAACACGGTACTTCAAACCGATGACGCCAGGATATTGGCCTTCTAGGGTGCACAACGCCACACTGTTGTCTTCCTCAGTCGGTATATCAATCGGATCGCTGTTTTCATTTTCCGATACCTGTACGTACATTATTGCTAAATGACAACAAAAAAATGTAGGTATTATTATCACAGATTATATAATCTGTATAGTGATGACACATTACGGTGAACAAGTAAATTATAAAATATAATATGTTTGAAGAAACTCACCTAAATTACAGTATCAATATATTTAAGATAAGTTGAGAAAGCTTAAGTAATAATACTGTGAAGGATTTAAAAAACTTAACACGAACCTATAACCTATTACAATGAATAAAAGTGCGGTTTAGTAGTGTAGTGATAGGCAGAGCAAAAAAAAATCAACTATTATACTCAAGACTTAACACCGTAGTCCGCGCACAAGACACAACGGTTTATCAATTAATAGTTATTAAAATTATTATTTAGTATTTACTTCCGACGCCGAGCCGCCGACCTCGGTCCTTGCTCGGTTATCACAATAACCGGCAGCCATTGACGCCAACAAATTCTGAAGATAACTTGATAAATGTTCAAGTGGCAGCACTGTCGGCCTACTCCCCACTTGCTGGTACATACACCGGAAAAAAGTCTTTCCAAAAGACGGATACACGGGATACTTAAACGCGCTCCGTTCGTATCCCTCAGGCGGCAGGCCTCATCACGTTTCCATGATTTAAATATTTTAATCATGTTTGTCGCGTTCTGTCGTACTGTTCTAGTATAAATCATATAATAAAGAATGATAGAACGCCGACTCGACCTTTTTTTTATGTTACCTCACTAGCGCAGCGAGTGATTCTCTTTTGAACCAAAAATCGATTACTACAATCGATACACACAATCGATTGTTACCAACTATCGATAGTTTTTAATTAGTGATATCAATTTTATACTAAAATTTGATTAGGTCAGTCCTTGAATATGCTTTTATAGTACTACTAATATTATAACTTAAAATAAAAGGTTTATTTTAAACTATAACATGGTCTCCTTATCAATTCTGTAAAATCGACAAAATTGAATCGATCCAGAAACGATTGCTATATTTTTTACTTTTTAAAGTTTTAAGAAAATAAAGCCAATCGTTGAATCGACTGTAAAATACTATGTTGACAGAATTTATAAATTACATTTTTTGCGTGTAAAAGGAATTTAAATGATATATTTTTAAATATATCATATAAATAAATACCTATATCATAAATTGTATACATATAAAAGACTGTCTTGAAAAATAATGATTGGTTTCATTTAATGTACCAGATATTAATATATGATTTTGTACGCAATTTTACGTTTCTACACGACAAATTTTTCTCGCTCCAGTAAACCGAATTATAAATTCGTGTATATCAATTAAAAATGTTGGCTTTCTGAAATTTTAATTTGTGGAGTGCTCTCAATAAGCAAATTTAACTTAGATTATTTATTATTTACATTTTTTATTTATAGTCCTCTATTAATTTACAAGTTTTTTATACTTATTTTATTTTTCTCTATAATTGTAGTTGTAATTGTTAAATAATTTATTAAGTTTAATACATATTGTTGTACATATTTAAATAAATTATTGTAAAACTTGCTGTAAGCAAATTGTAAATTGCCTCATTAGCGGAAATTTATTACTATTATAAATAGGTACATTATTGTTATTATTATTAAAAAACATTAATTTTCAATTTAGCGTTGAGGACAATTTTATCAATTGGCGGTTAAAATGTCGTTTAATCTCGGTTTAAGATTAATCGGAGATTAAATAATAATGAATTTATCAATCAAATTTGATCCTAGCTTAAATAAACTGTTAACTTATAGATATTGGTAAATAGCATCTCCTAGGACGGTGCTTAATTAGACATACTTCCCAATGTTAGATTTTAATTTTTTAAATATGTGTGCATTTGTTGACAAATTTTCTAGGTTTCTAAGGAAAGGGATTTTCAATTTTCTCTTTTGAAGACCTCTAAAATTATTTTTTATTATTTTTGAAAATTCAGTGTTAATTTCCGAATTACATTTGAATTTATTTTAGGCATACAATTTTAAATCGAAAATCGATTTAGGTAACTTATTTATGATAATTTTAGAATTAGATTTCATCACATTTTAATTTTTCTATTATTTTAAATCTAATCACGACTTTATAAAAAACTACACAATTAATTTTGAACGAGTAAACGAGTCTTATATAGGTAATAACTATGTCAAATGGCTTTCGATTCCCTTAACACGCTATAAGTAACCCAGGTAATTATTATTGAAAGGTTTTAACAGTACAATATCATTAATTTATTACAGTATAAATTAAAATTAAAACAGTTGATCAAATTATATTTTTAAAAAAACAATGTTTTCACTTATCTAAACTTATTTTTAAATATCCGTAATTTAACATAAATATTTTTAGTCTTAATATTGTATTTTTTAATAATATATTAGTGTAGAAATGTATTTCAATGCATAAGTCTTATTAAAACGAATTCTTTATGCATTTTTTGCTCAGAAACAGATTTATATTTTATTTGAATCTTAACTGAGGTTTCTGAAAAAATTGACTCATTGCCTATTGTACATAACCAGGCGTGTCTTTTCCCAGGCGTATATGTTTTATTGGGATATTTATATTTGATAACCGACCAACAGCTAACGTCATGTATTCGTTAACTATGTAAAAACTAAAAAGTGACCGGATTAAGATGTCAATTGTAATTTTTTTAAATATTATATAATTTTTTTTTGTTAAAAATTGCATTTTGCCTTGAAATTATTGTATAATATATTGTTGATTATAGAACACAGACACCGTATACACAGGATATACTTAGGATAAGTAAAATATGCATGTTACAACAACAAAATTATACATTTAGTACAATATAATTTTTAATGAACACAATACAACATTAATTAGTTTTAAACACAGATCAATGATATAACAGAGAAAACAATATAACATATAACACAGTATTAACACAGATATACACAAAATATGAAAGAATTAATAAAAAATGTTTTAAAAAAAAACACGTAGGAGTGACAAAACAATAAAACAATATAACAGATAGGTTTTTTTGTTGATAAAACATGTAAAATTATTATGATAAATTACATATAATGTATAATATTTATTTTTGATGTTATGTTTATTAGGAGTAGAACTAGAAAAGGAAATTTCAGTTAGTCGAGACACCAGTGCAACCTAAGGACAACAAAAAAACAGCCGAAACAACAAAAACGGCAGACGAACCACCCTCAGAAATTTTGGTGTCCATACTAATTGTCATTAACTTTTAGATATTACTGTTTTAAAATAAATTGTTTTTTCTACGATTAATTTCAGTTCGTCCAAACTCCACCGCCGCCAACCGACTGGACAAATGTGGAATATGTAATTTGCTTGTTGAAAGTCAATAACATTAACAAATCCAACCTTTTTTTTTTTTAATTTATTATAGGTTATTAACACGCCGGCACCGCCAACTATACCGGTGGAGTTCTTGGTAGGACTGGCCGAAGATGAAGAACAGAAAACTGACCAAGTAACTGGAGAGGAAGTTTTTTCGGTTCCAATAACAACAACTGCAGCAGCCGTTGACTGCGAGAACCAGGCGTCGATAAGTACACTGTAAATGACTTATGCGGTATGCCCACCATAGTGTTACCGCAGAATAGATTGAATCAGATTGGTTTCCTTCCATTTTGGCTAAGAACGAGCTCGAGGGCCTTACACCTTTATTCTTTAGACATTGTGGTGTCCATACTAATTGTCAGACACAAAATTGTGATTAACTTCCAGATATTACTGTTTTTAAATAAATTGTTTTTTCTACGACTAATTTCAGTTCGTCCAAACTCCACCGCCGCCAACCGACTGGACAAATGTGGAATATGTAATTTGCTTGTTGAAAGTCAATAGCATTAATAAATCTAACCTTTTTTTTTTTTAATTTGTTATAGGTTATTAACACGCCGGCACCGCCAACTATGTCAATGGAGTTCTTGGTAGGACTGGCCGAAGATGAAGAACAGAAAACGGACCAAGTAACTGGAGATACTACTTCTAAACGCTATGGACAACTCCAACACTGAATAGAGAACTGTGTTTTTGTTACTTGATTACTGGTAAGGCGTTCCTGCTTCTGAACATTTATTTTTGCTATTCTATGAACAATTAAAATAACAGAAGTATCATATTACAGTGATGGATAAATACTATACTTGAAAATAACCTATGTGTATAATGTGTGTATCTATTTCTAATAATATTTTTGTACATACCTAAAATATAACATTTATTTAACCATGTATAAAATGCGTGTGTCAATTTTTAATAGAAGTGTTATTCGTAATTAACCTAGGAAAAACTTTAAGGTCTTAATTTCAGATGTTATGTTAAGAAAAACTTTTGGTCGATTAATGTTTGTAGTAACACTTAACGAGCCGGCACTTCTAGAACTACTTATTACCACAAGCTTCATTTTGGGCAGCCAAAGTAAAGTCACGCAGGTCTTCAGACTCGTCTATCGCTTCACCGTTCAATAACTTCAACACTTTAGTTTCCAACATCATTCGATCAAGTGTCTAGTCTACTGCATTATAAACGATAGTGAACTATTCTGATTCAATCTATTCTGCGGTAACACTATGGTGGCCATAGGTACCGCATAAGTCATTTTCAGTGTACTTACCGCGACGGCTGGTCCGAGCAGTTAGCGGCTGCTGCAGTTGTCGGACGCTGTTCCGAAGGTCGCCACGACGATTGCCCGAACGCCGGCGTAGAACTCCGATTATAGGCGTTTGCTAACTCAAGCTGCCTCGGCCATGCAACGGCGGTCTGGGGCATTGGCAATGGCGGGCACGCCGGATTGAACGCCGGTGGCGGAAACATCGGCGATTGCTCGTATGTTGGGACATGAAACAATGGTTGGTGCATCCTATCCGTCATGTTCGGCATCACCGGTGAGGCCTCATATAATGAAATCCGCGATGGCTGCTGAGGCATGTCCGTCATTTTCTAACAAAGCGTAAAAAAATACATCAATGTTAATATTATATATAACATGTACATACCTACCTACAATTTGTGGATAAGTACTTGTGAATACGGTTTATAATATTTAATCAGTAATATTAAATGATAATATGACACTGTCGACTGTAATTGAATTAGACTTTAGAATAATTTGTATATTTAGAGTTTGTTTATTGGATCGAATACATGTGTCGTCAATTGTCGCCAGGTATATTTTAGAATTCATGTTGTAACAATATATTGTTATTTGTTGTCACGATAAATAGGCGTGTTGATATTCAAAACAAACACATTTTGATCAGCCCATAGAAACGACGATTTTGTATTTGATTTTTTTTAAATTATAATAATTTGCTGTTATGCATAATTTATATTTAATTCAATACTAGCGTAGTTTACACGGCTGCTCTCGGGATAAATGTTAAGATCAATTGTATTTAATACTTAAGAAATGGCCGAAACATACGCCAAGAGATGACCTAACCCGAATGTATTCCTCGAAAATATATAACTACGTCTTAAACGTGTACGATAAAAACTTATAGTATACACACTTACCCAGTAGACATAAGGAAATTCGCGTTGCATATAATTATGTTCCATTTTTAGTTTTTACAGAACAAATAAATATAAATTCAAAAAAAATTCACAATAATACAATATACACAATAGATGACAATAAATAAATTATTTGTTCACAAAATATACATAAATTGATAAATTAAGGATAAAAAAAATATGAATATAGATAGATACATAAAAAGTTAATAATTATACTTTTTTATAGGGTCGAAATGGATATTGTCAATTGTCAAATTGTTTATTGTAAATTTATATATAAACGAAACAAACATTTTTATATAAGTAACACTATAAATGTAATTTCTCATAACAATAATACTTTTGTGATATTCTCTTCTGTAGTGTTAAAATTAATATTTTTGATAATTATCCCTTTTGAACGTAGAAGATTCAATAGTTCCAAGCTTGAGCTGAACCGGATTTGCCACAAAGAAGTCCAGAAAGCCATTGACAGTTATTTTTTTATTACAAATAATTAATAAAATAATTCTCGGTTACTAATTAATAGTTAAAATAGTTTTACTTGTTTTTTTATTTTATTACTCTGTTTTTATTGGGAACTACGAAAAAATCATCATGTTTTAATAAACAAAAGTATTGAATACCATTTAAATCCAAGGGAAAATATTTGACCTTTTTATAATTATGTATTTAATATAGCTATATAGAACATGCGAAAACCTTATTATAGCGCTTAATATATTATTTAATGTAAGTCGTATCTAATTAACAGATCCAGTACAATAGTGTCATGTGAGATAATATATAATTATAAAGAAAATATGTTGTTACATAAATGTTTAGTTATTTTTCGAATCGACATCAAAACATAATCATAAAATATAAAACATTTTGAACACTGTCAAATGAGTAATCATATCATTTTACTCCTCTCTCAAAGTACTTCTCTCTTAACAGTCGCATCGGTGGTAATTTATTCTAATTTCTATTCGTCTTCATCGGATGAAGTATCGTGGTTGAGCGATCAGAGCTGTATTGACATGTGGTGATAGTTGATATCACCACCTACTCCACCGCGGTGAAACGCTGGCAACGCGGTGGCGGTTAGTACCACCACCTACTGCGCCAGGTTCAGCGTTGGCACGCCGCGGCAGCCAGCAGCCATCTTCGGCCCGCCATCCGCTTGACCTCACCGACCTAGTCGACATGGACGGCGCCCTTTCCCGTGAAGACTTCCGTTTTGTTAACTTCTAATTATTTGATTTTGTTAACTATTTGTTGTAATCTGTGCGTTGATTTTACTGCTGATCAGATAGTTTTGTACATACTTAATACACGTGCGTTTATGTTATCGATAATTACAAGTTTTAGGCAGGAGTGTAGTATTATTAACTTTTCAACTCTTATAACTTAAACAGTTCGGAGGGGGGTAAAAACAAAACAAAATTGTGAGAAAATTAAATCAATGGTATAAAAACATTATGGGAAAAAAAATTCAATTATTAATTAAACCCAGTGAGATATTGTGTGGTTCACGATAAGTTGATCACCTTGTAGTAAGTGTAATTCCGAGTTATGATGAAGTCAACAGTCCATATTTTACATTTTCTATTATTAAATCTCCAGCTGACACTTTAAATCTACAATCAAATTTAGTAAGATTTATTACTCGGAGTCGACTTAATTGCCTACCACTAAACATTAATAAATGCAGTGTTATTACTTTTTCTCGTTCAAATAATACAATTACCTATATTTACACAATTTATAATTGTATGTATTAATACGCGTGTTACTTTAGTTAGAGACCTAGGAATTATAATTAATGATCGCACTGTGTTTTTTTCATTGCACGTTAATTGTATTATAAAAAAAGCTTTTAGGATGTTGGGTTTCATTATCAGGCACACGAGTAAATTTTAAAATATCAATGCATTATTAAATCTTTGTTCTTTTCATTAGGTAGACCTCATCAGTCGACAGTCATTTTGACTCTTGAGTTTAGTTAAGTTGTATGGTCACCGAGATATTTGTTATACAAACATATTCGAGACACATTTCTGAAGACAATTTGATAAACGTTCAAGTGGCAGCACTGTCGGCCGCATTTTATGTTACACCTCTTTTAAATAATTTTGATGACGATAGCAACTGCTGCTGCGATTTATAAACAATAACATTTCAATTTGAAAAGAATGCCAGAACCGCTAGAATATAGAAATACTACTGCTAAACGCCATGGACAACTCATACACTGAATAGAGAACTGTGTTATTTGTTACTTGATTACTGGTAAGTAATTAGACTGCAAGCTTTATCATACTTACTATATTTTACTTAGTAGAGGCTAATGATTACGTTTGCTGTTTAGATTTAAATTTAATCATTAAATCAAATTGTTTAGACGTTTATGATGCAGTAGACTAGATGCTCGATCGAAGATGTTGGAAACTAAAGTGTTGAAGTTATTGAATGGTGAAGCAATAGACGAGTCTGAAGACCTGTGTGACTTTACTTTGGCTGCCCAAAATGAAGCTTGTGGTAATAAGTAGTTCTAGAAGTGTGGGCTCGTTAAGTGTTACTACAAATATTAATTGACCAAAAGTTTATCTTAATGTAACATTTGAAATTAAGACCTTTAAGTTTTTCCTAGGTTAATTACGAATAACACTTATAAAAAATTTCTATGCTACACTAATTAAATAATATTATATTACTTAGAATAAATATATTCTCATAAGAAGTAGAATTTTACCATAAAATCTGTGGGGAGTGTTCTTGAACATTTATTTTTGTTTTTCTATGAGAAATTGAAATAACAGTGGTATCATATTACAGTAATGGATAAATTCTATAATTGAAAATAACTGTTTGTTTTAGTGGCTAAAGGCGTAACACCCATTGGGCCTTCTGATTACGTACCCATAATAAAGAGTACCGTTTCGTACATTGTATTAGTGGTTCTGGTTAACAGCGATGATGAAGTCCTTATGATGCAAGAAGCCAAGAGCTCCTGTGCTGGCCAATGGTACTTACCCGCTGGCCACGTTGAACCTGGAGAAGATTTACATGTTAGTGCATTCATAACGAAAATAAGTCCTTCTAGGTTAAAACATTTAAATGATGAATATTTCTTTTTAGGAAGCAGTAAAAAGAGAATGCTTAGAAGAGACGGGACTAGAGATGGAACTCAACACTTTACTGAGTGTCGAAGCTGCATCTAAAGCATGGTTTCGTTTTGTTTTGACTGGGACTGTAACTGGCGGTCGTTTAAAAACTCCAGCACAAGCCGACAGCGAATCTCTACAAGCCAAATGGATCAAGGATATTTCTGAAGTATTAAAATGTTAACAACTGTAATTGACATGAATAGAATTTTAAAAAATAATTTTTGTTTTAGGTAAGCTTACGGGCTAAAGATATAGTACCTATAATAGAACGTGGCCGAGCTTATAATCTACACATAAGGAACAAAGTACGACACCAATGGCACCCTAGTGTCTTACCTACAATAAAAGCTCATAAAAAACTTTTGTTACGCCTTCTTATATGCGCCAAACAAAAAACTGAGTAAATTTTGATAATCAATTTTAAATAGTTATTATAATAACGGTGATTACTTGGTTTTTTTAGTAATAAACTGCATGTACTTGTATCTGAAAAAACTGAAGCACATTTACCAATGTGCGAAATCAATCACAATCGGAACTTGCACTCGACACTACGCAAATTCATGACTGTAAGTAGAAGTTTTAACTGTTAATTCGGTGTATGGTAATTCAATGTAATATTTGATTGTAGGAAATATTTGGTGCCGACGTAGCTGCCCACAAGCCTCATGGTGTGTTAAGTATCGAACACTGTGGAAAACCAGAAGGTACAAATGACGGGTTTTGTGTGTCATTATTAATTACATTTCAATCACCTTTAGAGGATGTTTTCCCTATAAGTAAATATAACTGGACAGCGGTATCCTCAGATTGTGCAAACTCGATTAAATCGAGAACTGGCCGCAACATGACCGTCCCTTTAAAAGTAATATGCTAGATAAACGTCTTAAATTATGCCATGAACTATTATTATTATTATTATACAATTGCGCTCAACATCACAGATGATGCTTTGTTATTATTATTTTTTATATTACGATAATTATTTTAGTATTGTTATACTAGTAAAATATTTTATATTAGAACAAATACAACATTTTTATAATAAAAACATATTTTTATTATTTGTGTTTTAAAATATACATAAAATACTTATTATTACAAACAACTGTCATTAAACTTGTCCCCCTCTTAGTTTTCTTCCTTTTTTGCTGAATTTCTTCAATTTTTTAACTGGTGGAGCCTCTGCTCTAGGTTTTTTAACAACAGGCCCGTTCTTTGCAGCATCCGCCTTTCTTTTCATTTTCTTCTCGGCAAATGTTTTCTTCAATCCCTTCATCTTTCTGGTTTGCAGTTTATTGACATCCTGTTTGGTCATGTGCAGGCGGCCTAATTTGGAACCAAAGCCATCGCGACGAATACCCTTGATTTTCTTGCCCTAAATAACCAAAGTGTACATTAGCATTAATAATGGTCAATGTAACATGTAATAAGTGTTAACTTCAATAAAAGCAAATTTTACTTTGGTCGAAAGTCGTTTGCAAGCAGTTTTAAACAGATCTGCACTAGCCATGTGATTTCTTCTAATGACAAAATCAACAGACGGTCCAACTTCTTTCAGTTCAACACGAGGTGTTTTTATACTAGTTTTAGTTAAAGAAGACCTATGACAAATACATTACATGCAAATATTAACATAATAATATAATGTTTTGAATAAAAAATTAATAAATTACTTACCTATATGAGCGCATTAGAATTTTATTGTCAACGGCTGTAAAAGACATAACTAGTTCAATACCATTAGGCCTAATTTGTTTTAATGGCTGTTTTTGAAACATATCAACGAATAAGTTCCGTAAGCGCTTTAGCTGTTGGTCACTATCAAATTGATCACCCATAAATACCAAGACTGGTTTCACACCGGCCGTTATTTCAGATAAACCTTTGAATTCTCCGCAACCTTTATAAGACTCGATGCCCAGTTCAAACATATCCAATACGTGCTGATCATAAGTGCGGCCTACAATCAAAATATAATTGAATTTGTTAATTTAAAATGTATTCAATTTGTTTAATAATGCTTACCTAATACTAAATTATTTGGTCTTTTTTTATTATGAGATGAAAAGAAGAACAAGGACGAATCGTGTTTCTGCAGTAATTTTTCAATCTGTACTGTATCGTCAAACGGCAAAATGTCATTTTTTTGTGTTAACATCACTGCATCGGGTTTCTTGAGTTTTAACTGTAACGCAACATTTCTATTTACATTTTGAATCCAACTATGGCCAACTTTAAATTACTAACCAAATCAACCATGCAATTTTTGGAAGTTATTGAAACTTTGCGACCTGGTATAAACACACATTGTTTGGGGTTTTCTACTACTTTGGGTTCTTTCTTCAACAAAACTCTTTTACCTCTCTTGGTCCTCGGTTTTCTGTGTACACACAATAAATAGTAAGTTGTAAAACGCAAAAGTAAAATGGCTTATACTAAATACTTACGCTACTCGTTGAATTACACCCATTGTAAACAGATAAGCTGATATTTATGCAAAACAAAAGGAGTTCAATAATAATAACAATTATTTTTAATACTTTATATGTACGTACTTCGATTGTTGCAAAATTGTTATTAGAAAAAAAAAACTTAAGTTGATTTATACTTGTGTCTTTTACCCTCGTGGGTACAAGTGCGATGCTTATTGTTTATGTAGGCTGATACGAGCAATGTTGATAATTGATAAGTTATGATAATAAGCAGTGATGCCAACGCAACTACAACACATTTTCATAACTCGGTTTATTCAAAATTTAGCTGAACCTTATAATTTTGTTCAAAGGTACCTTATAAATATGCCCCAAAAAAATATTATGTAGTGCAAGTTGGATTAATCCACCTTGATGTTGAATTTACAACAAGGGTTATCGATCGTTGACAAATCGGAATCATTATATATTATGGGTAATATCAATAAATAATATTACTGCACTTTTATAGAAAAAAAAAGGCAATGAAAAATATTATAAATATTGGTGTAAAATATAAATGATAATAATTGTATGTAATAGTCAATAGATATTTTAATTACTTCACTCGCCTACCTACCAAATTTGTAGATTAAAATATTATTCATAAATCACACAATAATCCAATGTTGGAGTAATAACGTTGACATGCCTAGGGCCTACGAACATTTTGTGTTTTATTTTTTATTTTATTATAATGATATACATTTGCCAACAAAAAATGTCGTAAAAAAGTTTTGTATAGTTATAAAACAATATTGTAAGTCTAATTGGCTACAGAATCAGTTACAAGAATTTTATATGTAATAATGAAAAAAAAAGTGCCTACGATAGTGTTAATCGCCGGGCCTGGATAACGCTATACGCTGGAATGGTAATTATATTTAATAATAATGCACGAAGAAAACATAAAACTGAATACAAGCAAAAAAAAAAAGTATGCACTTAGACATGCAACGACGGGCGCATGAAAACGTTCTTCATGTAATTGTTGTAGATTTTCTTGTACTGTTTCAAACTGACCGTCTTCCTGTCGCCCGCCGAGTTGATCATGTAATTCGCGTACATCTCCGTGTAGTCGACGCTGGTCTCGAAGTACACCGTTTTGCTGTCGCCGCCATCCAAGTCTTTCCAAGAGCTGATGACCCTGGGCACGGACTGGATGTGTGCGACCACCTTCTGGTACACCGAGCTCATGTTGACGTCTGCGTCCGAGTCGCACTCTTCGACGAAGGCGCCGTAATCCTTATCCAACTGTTTCCTACGCACGTATAAAGACATGTAAAAAAACACGTTTTTTTACTATTTTTTAGAAATGCATAAAAAGTTTTATTTTTTACTATTTAGTCGTATTAAAGGTACTCAATAATTTCAAAAACACACCTTGATTCGAGAACGAAATCGGTCAACGCTTCGTCTGACATATTATCGGCGGCATCGCCTTGGACCATCTGCAGCTGTTGCCCCGCCGAATAACTGGTAGTGACCAGGTGCTTGCGGAACCACTGATACGTCTCGGGCTTGAGCACGGCGTCCAGACGGGAACCGGGCACGGCTAGGGTGCCGGCGAAGAAAGTCTTGCACACCTTCAGCTTGATTTGGTCGCCCAGCCAATAGTCTACCGTCCGGTAGTCGGTCAGATCGTCGCAGTAAAGGCCGTCGGCGTCGCTGTCGGCGGCCACGGCCGTGTCGCGCGGGTGTACTTCCACGCTGGCACATATGAACGCGTTTTGGGCGATCCGCACGTCCGCCATTTGCCGGAATTTCCTGAACGCGGTCAGCCGGTCGATTTCCGGCACGGTCGTTCGGCACGAAAGCTCGCAGTCCGCGTCGCAACTCGCGTCCAGCTGGCAATCGTACGACTCGATCAGATCGCCGTCCATCAACACAGAGTTGGGCGCCGCTGGGCAACAACAACAACAACAGCATGTATTATGAGTTATACATGATCTACGGTGTGTAATGTTTATTATAACAACACCCCTATTTACTAACTCGTCGAGGGGTAAAAATTATCACAAAAAAAAAACTACCACCACCCCTCAAATAGTGAGCGTTACATACGTTAATGGGTTCGTTACAGACAATTTTTTGTATAAAATCTTAGTTTTAAGTTCTTAGTTCAATGTGCATATTTGTTAGTACAGCAACGAACATATTTTTTATTGGTAATTAATTTGTTTACCACATTATCACAGCGTTCATAATGTTTTTAAATATTTTTTCTGACCTAAACATAATATACAACCAAACAGAATCTATTTTGTTTAATCTATAAGGTATAGTTTTGTTATGTTTCAAGAAAACATCTAGTTTAACTAGAAAGTTTAAACGGTTATTAAATCATTGTGATAACGTTAAATTAAAATTTTATCAAAAATTGCCTACAATTTTTAAAAAAAAAATACAAACTTAAATTAAAGTAGATTAGATTCCCTATAGTAATTTCTAGTCATTTTAAGTAATTAGGTATACAAGTTATGTTGAGTAATTCAATAATGTGCGATAGCTGTTGCCAGTTATCACTTACTCGTTAGATCGACGTTCAACATTTTCTTTACATCAAACATCGGAGAAAATTTGAGTTTAAAAAGACAACATTTATAAATTATTAACTGTTATAATTGAAATGTGGAAGCAAAAAACTAGGAATTTAATATGTTCAGGACAAAATGTTTTAACGACGAGAAAAACTATTGGCATATAACATGGATTTAACTTGTTCTTCATTATACATACATGCCTACTGAATTGCATAAACAGTGGCAGACCATCGATGGATACTGAATATCCACCGATTGATGAGATTCCCTGTATAACTGTAAGGTTTATTGATAATATATTATCTATAATCAACAGACAATTGTCTGATCGTCTAGGAGAATGAGGTTTTTGATATTTAATAAAAAAAGTTTGTCATATTTTAGCTGTTGTAAGCAGTATACTTGGGATCGGCGTAACCTATATATTTTACACCATAATGAAAAATCTAGTAAATTGCAGCTTGTACTACAATTTTAATATCTCAAATTTTTTTAGGATTCGCATCAGTCATGAATATCGTTTCATAATAAACGCATATAATAAGTCCATATAAGTTTGTGTTGTGTTATTTTAAGAATAAGTATACAACACATACCATCAATCAAATATATTATGACAAATAAATACTATATAATGGATTTTAATGGTTACACTATGCGGCTATAGTTCAATGACTGTAGTCTGTAGATAATATTTTATAATACATTTAAATTAACCGCCAATATAAAATTAATGTACAGTGACAAACTATTGTGTACAATCATTTTCCCCCCTTGATTTTGTGGCTGCACTGGGTGTTTTTAAGCTCAAATTACCGTACATCTTCAGCTGCAGCATCGTGGTTTCGAATGTTTGTTGTTATCTTACTTCGGACAACATGCCGCGCAAGACTGAAGACGGGTATTCCTTATCTATAGCTAGTGGCTACTGGCTATACAACAATATAAACATAATGTCAACAATAAATGTATTTTTAAATTACCTATAACTATTTTTACTTTATAGTTTGTATAACCATTGTCATTTGTCTATTTATTGTTACCTACCTACTTGTTTATTGTAAATTTCCATCAATGGAATCCCAATGTTGTGTGTTGGGCTGTACTGATAGCAAGGATGAAAAGATAAAGCTTCACAGGTTATATCAGCTATTCATTTTCAATTTGAATTTTCGAATACTTATCCGTAATTAATTGTTTCAGGTTTCCTTTTGGTGATCACTTATTGTTGCCCATTTGGATTATGGCCACAAACCGTACGAACTGGATGCCTAATGCCAACAGTAGGATGTGTGACAAACATTTCACTATCGACGACTACGTGTCGGGCAACAGGAATAATCGACTCAAACCAAACGCTTGTCCTATAATTACACCATCAACCTCTGTATGTCGATTGTGAAAAATATTAAATGAATTGTAAAATGATAAAAATTGTTTCTGGTATTGTTATATTTTTTATTTCATTATTTTCAGACTGTGTATTCAAATACATTACACGTTGATGATTCTGCTAGCGACAACCATTTTTCAGACGGCAAATCATATGACTCGTCCGATTGCGATTCGCCAAATACTAGTGACCTAATTATTTCAGACGATTCAAGTTTATTTAGTGATAGTAGTATGGTAAGTATGCCGTTTTATTTTCCACGATATATCAAAACCAAGCATTATGATTTTCACATTACTAAATCGTTTGTTAAATTTGTCTAGAGGTTTTTTCCGGTCGTATGTACGTTCTAAAAGTATGCAATTCATTTTAATATTGTTTTAGGATGTATGTTCTGTATTAGGAGATAGTAATGACGTGGAACACTCGGATGATGAAAAAAAAAATACCATAAAACCCGAGCAGGAAGAAGATGCCATATCTATATCTTCTTATATTACTAATTATGATGATGTAAGTTTATTCATAGTAAACTCTAGTAACTATAATAGCCAGACCAGGAATTATAAATTTAAAATTATAATACTCAAAACTTATTGATTTTCTCCATATTGATGTAATTTTTTGAGCTATAAATATTTCTTTCCTATGTTAAACATTCTTTAGAACTTCAACCCAGTATTTATAATAATTACTATAATAGTATAATAACATTTAAACTTTTTATGTTTTTGTTAGACTGATCGTATTCCAGTTCAAAAATGTGCTGTTACTTTGTGTAACCAAAAAGCAAGGAATCAATTTGACAAACTGTTTTACATTAACTTTCCGGTAGAAAATGAAACACTTAGTGATTCTTGGTGGACTTTGTGTGGTCAGCAAACAGATTTTGATCGTACTGCCAAAATTTGCTCGATTCATTTTGATGCAGCTGATTTTGTTAATAAAACTATACAAAAAGATGGACAAATTTATAGGCAAACTAGTCTAAAAAACGATTCTGTAGTACCAAGTTTGTATTTGTCGGCAGAAGACTATTACCGATTTTCTAAAAAACGGAAACGTAAGGCTGACAAAATTGATGGTATGAAAATTATTTATATGATTATAAACTGATTGTGATAATACATTTTTTTATTTTTTTTAAACTAGAATCAAATGTAAAGAAAATGTCCATTGAAAACTACAAGTGTCCAGTAACAAATTGTACAAAAACATCTTTAGATGAAAATATTAATTTTTTTACGTAAGAAAATTTAAATTAATTTAAATTTTGAAAATTTTTTTAGTATAATTTTGTAAATTGGTTTTTATAGATTCCCTACGGGTGACCAATTAAAACTTAAATTTTGGCTGAAGAGTCTTAAAATGCCTGGTTGGAAACCACTCGATACCGATCGTATTTGTTCGGACCATTTTGAAAGTGACCAAATAATAAAAACGCACAATGTGTATCAGTTGACTTCAAATGCGAAACCAGTGTTTAAGCCAAAAGTATGTGTTTAATAATAATTAATGGTAATTTAAAATTCTATTTTTTTTATTATTATTTCATTTGCAGAAACCCTTTGTTATGCCTACAATTAAAAACAATAATACTACAAATAAAAAAAAATCTGACAAGAGGGTAATCAAACAGCCTGGTATTAAAGTGTCGTACCAAAGAATTTCACCAGACTGTATAGTGGTAAATGAAGTAGATCTTACACAGGACGGGTGTGAAGTAAACTCCAATAAATGTACAACTTCATCAGCACATGCAGATAAATTGGAAAAAAACGAAACATTAAGTAAATCTATGCCTTAAATACAATTTTAATATTTTCTTTTGAAATATTTTACAAAGTTGTTTAGCATGTTCTCTTAGTTATCACTATGAACCTCTTGATGCACAAGTTTTTTTTTTAATTTAAAAACTAAAAGGAGATTTTATGCAGGGTTTGAAAATAAAAATATTTTTAATAATGTTATATTTTACGGTAAATATATATATTTTTTATGGCATCATATGTATGACATCAAAGTATAAAGAGGTTAAAATTACAGTTTTAATAATAACTACTAATTGTTATCGATTAAAAACATTTAATCTTGGCAAAAGTAATTATAGCACTAGATAAAAAAAAAAAAAAATGTATTCAAGTATAAAATTAAAAACAAAATTATGATTACAGTAACAAATGATAATGCAGAGGAAAATGTAATAGATTTATTAGAAGATAGTGTTGGTGAAGGTGAAGGTGATCCTAAGAAATCTTATGTTAACGATACTGTCCAGTCTTTTTTGGACTCTTTTGCAAAATCTATTTTACCATCAGGTTTTGTTTTATATTTTCTGTCCTATAATGTGATAATTCTGTTAAATTGTAATTGTGTATAAACTATGTGTATACTAACGGCGTAACGTTCCCCGTGTTTAAATGATGCAATGTAATTTCAAAGTTCTTCCAGATATTTCGTTTTGGATAATGTTAGGAATCTTGTGACGTGAATTGTTATTACTGTATATCCAATTATGAATAGTGCATTTGGCCTATGGTTGAATACTGAGTACAGAATTTTTCTGTTGTTATCGACATTATTTTTATTAATAGACTTCAAAAATTCACCGTTCGAATGCAAAGAAAAAACTCTAGAAAACGTTGACGTAGATTCGTTTGAAAATCATAAGGATAATCTCGATGCTGTTGTAGAAATCTTAATAAAAGCAGCTAAAGAATCCGAAAGTAATATTACCCAAGGTAGATTGTCTTCTAATGCATGTACTCATTACTAGGGTAAGTCACATCAGCGAGGTTACCAAAGTCTAATACATTTTTTTTATGTAAATATTGTACAAAAATTAAAATACCCATATTTTGCTGTTTGCAATGTCATTGGGTCGTTATTGTAGAAAAATGTACTTGGAAATTAATACAAAAATGTTTGGTACATGTACATTAAATGGTAAGTTAGTAATTATTAAGAAGTGTGTTGTGTGTTTTATGATTTTTGCAAATGGTAAAATACGGTTTTCAAATTTGGTGATTTCATTAATGTGACCTCCCTTATTGTCTTTTCTTCAATTTTTTTTTTTAACCACGTCATTATTCATCTAAAGAATATCTATTTTCAGAAGTATCTGAAAACGAAGATTTATCGTCAAATAATGTAATAGGTTTGGAACACTTACTTTCGAGTACTCAAAATGATAATAATAGTATAGAACTGTTAGCTAACCTGTCAATGACTTCAATAGAAAATCAATTATTAGAAACCGATTATTTTCAAGGTATCATTTAAAGTTATAATTGTAACACATTTTTTTAAAAAACTCTTGCATACATGAAACTGTTAAAAAGTATTAACGGAGGTCATTAACAAATCATTATTGAAGTTTAATATTAAAATAAGAAGACGTTTCCTTTAATGCAGTTCATTGGATACTTATTCATGTTCTCATCTTCTTGTGCTGCTGTACGGTACGCCATAACGACAATCTTTCACACCCAATAAATGTGTTTAATGCATATCAAAGTTAATTATTTAATCATATAAAACCAGTCGTTTAACTTCCATTCTATTATTTCACTGTTTATATAAAATAAACAATTTTTTTCATTACACCTAACCATAGGCACAAATAGGGTGGGGGTAGCTCCACTTAACTTATCTCAACCCCTCTGAAAAAATGTTGTTTTTGTATACATATATAGGTAGGTAAAAATTCATTAGAAATGTATAATACAATCACAAATGCAGCAAAAACAGCCCAGTGGACGATTACCCTTTTGTCCTCTTGTCCAGTCAGCCACTTCTATCTATTGGAAGTAGATTTAAAACTTTAAAGGCATAATAGAGTGTATTTAGACTTACGATTTTTTAAATATTTTGTTGAATACAAGTGTTAGGTTAATAATAAAAATATAATATTAAGTTACTTCCTTATAGGTAAAATTAAGATTAAATACAACAAAAACAATACAAACAACTGAACAAACATGTATATGCTTGTTATTTGTATTGCCTACTTTACTACATATTATATACCTATATCAATAAGTATTAATATGTGTGTAATAATGATACAAGACATTATTTTTCAAAAACATAATTTTCATTTTACATATTGGGTAATACATAGTTTTCCAACTTGCAAAAAGTTATTTTTCACAGCGCAAATTTTTTCTCAACATCACAAACAACACTTGGTAGCGTTTTAGAATATACTCTTATTTGTAGAATTAAAATTGCTTAATGCTTATTACAAAATTTCTCAGATTTTATTTTATTTATTTCTTATGTGTCAATCATTAAAATCATCCTAATACTTATTTTACAAAATTAAAATAGGTAAGTTTAAAAAAATGTGCAAGACTTTAGTAAATAACATTAAAGCTAAAAACACATGTTTCTATTTTTTATACTTTTATCGTATGATTACGGTTTTTATACTTTCAATAGGATTATAGTCTGTTAAAAAATGATGGACTTGTCTTTCTTAATTGTTTTATACTTATTTGATTATTATTGCTGTTTGTTTTGTATAGAAGAAGATAAGGACCAAACTGGGAGTGAAAATAAAACCAGCATTTTATTAGAAATCATACGAGATTTAGCGCCAGAGAAATATACAAAAGAAGATACTTGTGTCAATGATGAAACACAAGAACTAGTACCAGAGATAAGTGTTACAGAAGGTAAATTTTTATTTTGTTCATAGAATGACCAGTGGGTTAAACCACAGTTGATGCTTACTTAGTCAAGGAGTTTTCTTAACGCATTTGCTGCTCCGGGAGGAGTCGTTAATCAGTTGCCGGAGTGGGTGATAGGACTCCATTTTTCACTTGATGGTATCGAATGGCTAAACAGTGAGCGGCGCTACACTCGTAGGCCAAACTTCTCGGCCACTCATTTTAAATCTGTATTAGTATTTTAGTTTAAAAAGCATTTATTGTGACTTATCTAAAATGTATGTAAGTTGACTTTTTTGTTTGGTAGATAAAGAAGAGTTGAGCAGTAGAAATATAAACTACTTAGAATATATTTACACGGATACTCCCTTAGTATTAATCCAAGAATGTGTAGTGGACGATACTGTTGATAATGAAACACAAGAGCTAGTGTTGGAGAAATGCACTGAAGAGACTACTGTAAATTGTAAATCGCAAGAGTTAGCGTCAGACAAATATGTAGAAGATATTACCGGCAACGATGAAACACAAGTGTTAATGCTGGAAAAAGGCGCTTTAGAAGGTAAATTTATAAATAGGAGCATACAAATAAAGTTATTTTAAAATTATGTTATGAAACATTGACGATGGAAGTAAGATGGTTTATTGAAATACTCAAGAAGTTATCAACTAGGCTGTATAATGTGTTTATGTAAAACAAATTAAAAATTACTTATCTCGGGTATTTTTACTATTTATAGATACGGAAAAGACCGAGTATAGTAAAAGCAATAACCAGTTTGAGTATATTCATACAGATACACCTTTAGAGTTCATACAAGAATGTGTAGTAGAGACTTCTATCGATGATGAAACAGAAGTATTTGTAGCAGGAAAATGTATTATACAAGGTAAATTCTTATTTAAAACAAATTATGTCGTTTACAATTTATCAGTCATTTATGATTATGGTAAAGTTCTTATTTGAGTGGATCAAAATATATGGTTGAAATGTTTAAGAATAGTATGTTAAAGAATAGTTTAGTCGTAAAGAACTATTCTTGACAATGTAATGAGTCTTCTTTTAAGTATGTGGTTCATTCACACTGGTAGAGTGTTTGAATAAGGGTAAGACAATGTAAGAATTAAAATCGTCAATCGAGATTGTTTAAAAGAAATTAATTACAACGGTAAAATAATTAATAAAATAAAACTGTGGTATTCAGAAGGTAACTTCTAAAATAAAAGCTAAGAAAATAATTATTAAATATTTACTGTTTTATAGACAAAGAAGAGAATGAGTTGGTCAATAATGAAAGCCATTTAGGGTATGTTCACACAAATACACCTTTAAAGTTTGTACAAGAATGTGAAGTAGAAACTGCTGTAAATAAGAAAACACCATTGCTATTACCAGAAAAACATACAGACAAGACTACTACTGAAAATACTGAAAAAGAAGCGAAAGTATCTGAAAATTGTACAACAGATACTTTAATAAATGCAGAAACACAAGAAGTAGTACTTGAAAACAGTAATATACAAGGTAACTTCTGCTCATACAGGGCATCTAAAATAAAACTAAGAAAATTATTATTAAATATTTACTATTTTAGGCAATAAAGGTATAATTATTAAAGAGATGTCAAATTATAATTTTAAAAATACTGTAACAGATAATAAAAACAATCAAGATAATGTTAACTTGTGCGCGTCAAATGATAAAAACACTGAAAAGATGACAATTACACATAGTAAGAAAAAGTTAAGGAATACAAAATCGAGGTTACAAGGAAAAAAAGGCAAAAATGGTATATAATAAGTCATTAAACTACACAAATATGGTTTTTAAATTAATATAGGAAAACCTGCCTAAATTATTATAAAAATATTAACACATTTCTATTTTGACAAAAGAGTAATAAAACCTTGATATATTTTAGGCTATTTATTTAATACGTTTACTGTTTTATAGACAAAGAAGAGAATGAGTTGGTCAATAATAAAAGCCATTTAGAGTATGTTCACACAAATACACCTTTAAAGTTTATACAAGAATGTGAAGTAGAAACTATTGTAAATAAGAAAACACCATTGCTATTACCAGAAAAACATACAGATGAGACTACTACTGAAAATACTGAAAGTCAAGTGATAGTATCTGAAAAATGTACAATAGATACTTCAAATAATTCAGAAATACAGGATGTAGTACTTGAAAACAGTATTATACAAGGTAACTTCTGCTCATGCATCTAAATTAAAACTAAGAAAATTATTATTGAATATTTACTATTTATATGCAACGATAGTATAATTATTAAAGAGACGTTAAATTATGTTTTAGAAAATACTGTAAAAGATAATAAAATCAATCAAGATAATGTTAACTTGCCCGTGTCAAATGATAAAAACACTGAACAGTCTCCAGTTACACATAATAAGAAAAGGTTAAGGAGTACAAAGTCGAGGTTACCAGAAAACCATACAGATGAGACTACTACTACTGAAAATACGGAAAATCAAGAAATAGTACATGAAAACAGTCTTACACAAGGTAACTTCTGCTCATACAGGCAGGTGTAGAGCTAGAAATACAATTTGAAGAGGGGGAAAGACAAGTTGCTCTGAGTAAAATAAAAAATGAATTCTAAAAAATAATCGTAGTATATAAGCAAGTATTTAACATTTACAAGTTTTTATAAAAAGTATAATTTTATGACAAAATTAAAGCATCTTCGTTTTTCCAAATCTGGTAAATATTTCATCGATGTCAATGGAGATATACCGATGGATATTCAGTACAGCAAGATCTGTGTGACGTTCTTATCCCAAATTTGCACAAAGCCATGTGTGAGAATAGAGAATAAATGCTCTACTGTAGCTCCATTTACAGGAAGTATAGCGATTACTTGCAATAGATTATTAATATTTGGGAATATCAGACGATGATGGCACTGAATATTAATAGCTACACTATTTTCTTGTTTGGAAATATCAATAGATAACGATGATGGTCCATTTATTAGATTTTCAGACACAAATTTTGGCATTTTACTAAAAGATGTATATATTTTTTTAACGGACGTATTGGGACGTATTGATTTGCTAAATTTCTCCTCTGAGTTGTACTACATTAAAAAGAAAGAGAGATTGAGATGTATAAAATATGTCTCAAACCTTTTGTTAGGAGCGTGCATATCTGTAACTGAGTAATTCAGGAAAAATGACTCAGGAACACATAAGATGAACAGGATAAAATCCGCCAAGAAGTGGCTCTGGACTTGGGAAATAAATTATTTTAAAAGAAATTTGATTATTAGTAATAATTTTTTGCGTATAAAAATCACACCTGTCATTAGTCTTGTGGTGATCACTCCATTTCCATTTTGGCCACCACTTGTTGTTATATTTGTAAATCTTTGATATCACTTATACCAACACATCTAGGAATATTTCTAAAAAAAAATAAGTCATTCTGAGCAAAATAATAAAAAAATATATACACAGGAAAAAATATGTAGGACTCAAATTTTGCAACGGTCGGCTAAAATGGAAATCGGGTGAATGCTGAGCTCACCACAAGACCAGCGGCAGGCTAATAACTGTCTATTTTATTTAATCTTATATGTAACTATTGTTTATAATCAAGGATTGGACTTTAGGACTTATAGCACTAGAAAAACATTAAAATTTCAGACCATATATAAGCACGTAGCTTATATATATACTCACCTTTGTTTACGTCGTAGCTGTTTATAGGTAATGAAAGTATTATTATTAAAGGGATGTCAAATTATGTTTTAGAAAATAAATGTACTGTAGAAGTTGACAAAAACAATAGAGATAATGTTAATTTGTATTCACCAAATGATAAAAACAATGAACTGCTGCCAATTACACGTAGTAAGAAAAGGTTAAGGAATACAAAATCGAGGTTACAAGGGAAAAAAGGCAAAAATGGTATATAATAAGTCATTAAACTACACAAATATGGTTTTTAAATTAATATAGGAAAACCTGCCTAAATTATTATAAAAATATTAACACATTTCTATTTTGACAAAGAGTAATAAAACCTTGATATATTTTAGGCTATTTATTTAATACGTTTACTGTTTTATAGACAAAGAAGAGAATGAGTTGGTCAATAATAAAAGCCATTTAGAGTATGTTCACACAGATACACCTTTAAAGTTTATACAAGAATGTGAAGTAGAAACTATTGTAAATAAGAAAACACCATTGCTATTACCAGAAAAACATACAGACGAGACTACTACTGAAAATACTGAAAGTCAAGTGAAAGTATCTGAAAAATGTACAACAGAGACTTCATTAAATGCAGAAACACAAGAAGTAGTACTTGAAAACAGTTTTATACAAGGTAACTTCTGCTCATGCATCTGAATTAAAACTAAGAAAACTGTTATTAAATATTAAGTATTTATATGCAACGATAGTATAGTTATTAAAGAGATGTCAAATTATGTTTTAGAAAATACCGTAAAAGATAATAAAAACAACCAAGATAACGTTAATTTGTGCACGTCAAATGATAAAAACACTGAACAGCTGCCAATTACACGTAATAAGAAAAGTTTAAGGAATACAAAATCAAAGTCACTAGGGAAAAGAGTCAAAAGCGGTATGTAATAATTGATCAAGCTCCATAAATATTGTACTTAAATTATATAATTTTACATTAATATAGGAATACCCGAATGTACACATTTAGTTCATGACCAGGAGTTGCCTGATTTCATGAAAGAATCGTTGTTGTTGTTAGACAAGGACTACGATTTATATGTTTCCGACTCTGAGCCTTGCGCTTCTATAGATGGAGTTCCCGAAGACGAGTATGCAAATGCGATTACTTACATAAAAACTATTCCCAGAGTGCTGAGTTCATACGATGTACCCAACAAAAGCCGAAAGCAATTTTTCGTAACCACCATCAGCGTAGACTACATATACAAAGGATATTCAGAGGAATACTCAAAAAATGGAAAATCGCCTCCATACACTAAACAGCAATTTGTACAAATTTACAATCAGTATACGAAATCGTTTGTACACAACGTGTAATTTTAATTAATGCCTAATTTTTTTTAAAATGTATAACCTATTATTTTTGATTTTTAAAAAAAAAACGTAACCAATTTATATTTTTGCTTCGTTTGTTATGGACTTCTTTTTATTTTTAATGTATAACTTGTTTTTGATATTTGAAAAAAAATGTTCTCATGTATATTTAAGCTTGATTTGTTATGTATTTTTTTATGTATAATTTTTATTTTTATTTTTGAAGAAATATACTTTGTAATTAATAATTATTTACGTAACTACTATTATAATTACTTTTGTTTTGTTGCCAGATCTCAACATTATTTTGTACAGCTTAACAATTTAAATACAAGTATGTAGATGATTGTATCGTAGTTTTGCAGTTATAAATGTAACTTTTTCTCTATGTATAAGTAAAAACTAATTAAAGTGTGTTGGCTCAGAAGTTGTATGTAGTTGATTGACAACGGGAAGTAAAACAAATTATACTTAACAAATATTAAAAAGAATTTATACCCAGTGGCTTGTGATATTAATAATTTGTCTAAAAGAAAATTTAAGTATAGCAGAGAACATGTAAAATGTTTTCTAACCGAGTTAGCCTTTGTCTAATTGATAAACCATATTAATTTTCACTATTTTGCAAAGTTAAATTTAAAAAAAATGGTAATTTTTCGGTGGGGGTTAAAGTTAAAAAAATTAACCATATGTTATGCTATACAGTTTTTTAACAAAAGTAACTAACAAGTAATAACCATTTGAATAATAATTTAAACAGTGCCGTATGTGATTTAGTATATAAAATATCATGTCTTGTATAATTCAGGTTTCTGGAATCCGTTGTTTTAGATTGTTAAAAAAAAATATATTCTTTAAGGGTTCTCTATAATTAAATAGATATATTAAATAATCAAACACTTTTAACAAATTCATAAATAACTAAAATCTCAAGTGAGCAGTCCAATTTCTTTTAAACACACTTTGGCCGCATCTAATTTTGCTAATTTTTTCGTTTGACATCTCGACGAACAGTATTTAACACCGTTCACAATTGCCTATAAAGAAAAATTGCACACATCTGTAATTGTTATCGTGATCAATATAATTGTATTTTTTAAACATACGGCCATGACAAATGATTTTCTATGACTAGGTCCCGACTCGTCGACAGTGTCAAACTTCGGAACGTCCCATTTACGCTTTGCACAAAATTCATTGAGCAAAGACACTGGATGTTTTTCTAAAACAATTAAATAATTTAGAGATTAGAATGTAAAAAAAAAAAAACAATTGTCACGTGACATTAATATTACCTTCAAGTGAAAGCACGGGTGCTGCACTTTTTTTTGGGAATCTTTTACTAGCGCGGTATGCTTGAGCCGTCCGATTTTCTTCTTCGGCGCTAACAAGCCCTAAATACAAATTTACTCGGTTGAAAATGAATACAAAAATCAAAACCAACCGACCGTGTCTCAATACCTTTTTTATCCATTTTGACATCTAATAAAAGTGGTTCCAGCGATCCGGATTGATTTTTTCCCAGACCTTCTCCGGGTTTCCAGCCCATTTTCTGTAATAAATGCATTCCCATACCGCTATTTACTGGAGCAGTATTTTTTAGTTGATCCTATAAAAAACAGACAGACGTAGTAAACAAAACGTTTTTATTTTTTGGCTGTACAATTTTATATTGTAATGTAATCAATGTAAAACAACGGCGGTTTCACGAAAAATACGTTTCGACATTTATCAATTGTTGTAAGGTCGAGACGACATTGTGCTCGAATATTTTGCTCGTATTCATTCGTTCATAATTTTACAAAAGTAAATTTATGACGTTTTTAACTTCTTTTTGAACATTTAATAATTTACATACTCGGCTACATACTGTGAACATATACAAACTAGTGTATACATTGACATATGTAGGAAAATTACCAGGGGCCGCAACAGACAAATCCGTGATTGCGAAGTAGACAATCCAATGTTTGATTGAGATGCCGTCGAAATAGCGCTTAAATATGTTAAAAGACAACTAAAATGGCCTGTAACAGATTTTCATTTGGCTTTCGTACACTTTGCGACATAGGATTATTGGTTCTATGCAAAATGGGCTATAATGGGTATATATGGGTTGTACACACATAACGCCCACAATGCATAGGAAGGCAATAAATGTACATGATAGATAAGTAATGTGCTAAGAATTCAAAATTAACTCATATTATCGTACCTAGATTTTATAATATTTATACATTAATGTTGGAAATCATGTTTTTATTTTTTAAAGAGGTGTACAGTTATTCACTCCATTCGTCTCTCTACCTCATTATCTCATCCAGTCATTTCTTCGTCGTTCTCTACCTCTCCGGCAATATATTGAATTTGTTTTTGCAATTTAACATTCCAACCTTGTCAGTTGTTTCAACGTGCCCTCATCATCTCTCAATTGGTTCTAGTAAATGTATTAAACCTGATGTTTGCAAATGGTCAAAAGCCAAAAGAAAATCTACGCCAAACGATAAAATTAACTGTACAAAAACAAAATCACACCGGTGTCCGGTGGTAACCATATTCAAAACAATACATTACATTTATAGATTTCAAACACAATAGGACAACAACGTTTTAATACTTTGAACCATAATACCTTTTTTACCCACGGTTGATAACCTGTAGCTAGTTCAGCTGGGGTGAGAATTTTCGCTCCTGTATGCCCAGTGAACTGGCCAGTTTCATAGGAGAGCATCGAATAGCCACTGTTAGCCTAGAATAAAAAGTAACGATCGATAGGGTTGATTCTTAAAAAAATTATATATTCAATATTTAATCATTACATAAAGATTTTTAGAAATTGGTGTAGGTTCACAGATTGCAGGATACTGTTGAGGCACAATGGGTGCCGAGTCATTTTTCGGACTAGTAACAGCAGTTTGAATTGAACTGGTTTGTTGAACTGGTTCAACCTAAATATATTACATAAAAATATTGTCATCATACAACATAACGGTAAACCAATAATTAGATATAACATTACCGTAACAACTTTGAGTGGAACAAGCTGATTAGGAGTTTTATTAGGTTTTGCGATTTCACTGGGTCGAGAAATTTTGTTTAATTTAGCCGATTCTTCAGCACCTATTGGCATCCACTCGTTAACGGCCAAACTATGAGTCTGACCACTTGACACAGGGAACTGCAGCCTCAACATGTCTTGTCCAACCGTTTTCTCTTGGAATGACTTTACGGGCAACTGTGTTGAATTCTGTGTTCAATTACATACATAATAATTTGTAATCACACGTGTCAAATAGATACATATATTAATAATAATGTGTAAGTGATATTTATTTACCCTGATATTTAACACTATGTTGGGCCTATCTTTTACTAAGAACGGATGGTGGAAGGGCTGTTTGGTCTCGTCCTCGGACATTGAAGACGACGATTCATTTTCATGGTCTTTTTCTTTTTTCGATAGTTTTCGACAAAAATCTACAGTAAATAAGAATATTTAAAATACATATAAAATTCTCAGATATATATTTTTATCTTACTGTTGTCAAACAGATACACTACTATGATATTATGTGCAGCAGAAACCAAACATGTTAATTTTTTACAAATTAAAATAAGTCACTAATCTTTAGTATACTTTTATTACCTGTCAATTCATCAACTGATTTTGTAGGTATATTGGCTAAAGTTTCTTTCTTTACACTGCCTACGGGCAACATGCCTTGTTGAACTAGCGATAAAGCATTTTTTCGTGCTATTTTAAATAATTTTTTTTTGTCAATTTTTTCACTGAAAAAAAAAATACATTTAAAAAAAAAACAATTCTAATAAATTATTAGTAAAATTATAATTCAATAATATTTAAATATATAACAAAAAAATAAGCTAGAACAATTAAAAAAATAGTCTGAATGTAAAATAATAACAATTATTACCATGATGGAGATCTATGTCTTTTCGATTTACTGGAGAGATCTTTAGATCGAGATCGCCTTCTAGTTTTTTCATACTCCCTGGATCTACTGAACCGAGATATCTTTTCTTTTGTGTCGTAGTCAGGTGTTCTTGAACGTTTTGTTGATTTACTTGCTTCGAATTTATCTTGTGATCTACTACGGTTTTCTTTTTTACCCCTTGAATTGGAACTGTTTTTATCTCGCGATCTAGATCGGTGTTGGTGATTTCTATGACTATCATGTTTCGATGAGGAGTTCCCATTAAAGTCATTATGAACATGATCATTCTTGTGACTCAATACAGGACTCCTTGATCTAGAAATACAAGATGAGCATTAGGTAGGCTCTATCATTATACAGCTATATGTTGGCAGCGTAATTATAAAAATGTATAGAGATAATCTAAATGTTACTAGATTAAAAGGATTTTCTTGAGAACAATTCTTATACCACCGATAGTCCATATTAAATATTTACAAAGATAAATAATATACTTTACCTTTTTCTGTTACGTGAATGAGATCTATCTCTCTTAGGCCGTTTTGAACTTCTTGATCTGTCCCTACTTCGAGATCTTTTTTTTTTTTTAGATTTATGAGATTTGTGTTTTCCTGAAAATATTAATTACAATGTAAATGAAATCTGTAAAACTATGATTATAACAAGTAAAAACATATTATATTTCGAATCATGTTTTTAGAATCTTTGGTCGTAATAAGTTTTATCTTTTTTATCATGCTTCAACTTTTGCCAAATTTATATTTAATGTATTTAATGTATTTACTATTGGCACAAAGATATAGATTTGTAATACAAGTATAGTATTACCAATTAACAAACCTTTTTTAATTTTTATATTAATATCCATTCCACATGAGCTAGATTGTACTTCTTCGTATTTTTCAGCTTCCAATATCTCCGTTTCATGAACCTTGTTTAATAGATCGTGATATACTCTACTACCTTTTAAATCTTTAATGACAATTTTACTATTGTTGTTTATAGTTGCTGAATTTGTATCTGTAATCAAATTAAAACATTTATATTGATGAATATATTTAATGTAAGTGTAGTAATTAAAGGTATAAAGGTTGTCACTATGTAATAAATAAATTGATTTTTAAACAAACTTACTTGAAACGTTCGTTGTATCATCTTTTATATCAACTGTCGTTTGTTTCGTGGACGGTTCTTCTACGGAGCTGTTTTTCTGTGGTATACATAAATTGTTTTGGAATTCTTCACTCTCTTCATTAGCTGTAACGACAATTGTTTCTAATACTGCGTCTAACGTAACTGGCATACCAGATTTTACCTCCTCCAGTTTGTCTTTGTCAATTTTTAGTTCAACGCTGTCTTCGGAGCACTTTGAGTGCGATCGTTTTTTACTCTTTTTAGATTTTTTCGACTTTTTTTTGTGCTTTTTGTGTTTTTTCGACTTCTTGTGTTTTTTATGCATTTTCGGTAACTTTGCACACGACACAGATAAAATACTTTCAGTTTCCGATACATGCGGCACTTCGACATCCAGAGATTTGAACAGTTCATTGACAATGGTATCTGAGGTCTTTTCCATATTGAAATATTTCAAATAGTAATCGTTTAAAACTCACATGATGAGTAAGAATAAAATATACAAGGTATAAATAATATTAGTGCCTACATTTTAAATGAACAACTTATCATTTGTTTTCACTTTTTGATAACAATGTTGTTTGGGATTAACACAGAAATTCAAGGGCACAATATTATATTAGTATAACATATTACATAATATATTTTAACTGGATAATTATTACCCGTGGCTTAAATATAAATATTAATGAACGCAAAATAAATCTCGGTCAGTGTTCATACCACAGTTTTGTTTTATTATATAAAATCACAAAAAATGTAATCTTTTGTTATTATCACAGACAGACAAAATAGTAATTACATATATATATATTTATTGGTTTACACAATCATTAAAACTTTATAGTTTACACTTTACACATAACACAATGAATTAGTTACAGGGACATTAACACATTTACTGACTGATTTTTATGCAACCCGCCCTAAATTAAATTAATAACATGTGTATCAGTGATTATATTATTACTGTAGTGCTCATTAGAGCCTAATTTATGATTTATGGTTATTATTTCAACTTATGGGTGTATACTCTGTATATGTATTTCTAATTTGACTTATTATAAAAACCCAGTTTTAAATCATGTCAGTCAAAGAAGAACACCCATTACATATAGCTGTAGACAATACACCAACACCTGAACCTAGTATTAGTAAATTACCTGATACAGAAGAAGAGACTAAGTAAGTTGATGTACCAAATTTGTATTCAAACATGAAATTCTTAAGCTAGTTGTATATTATTAATAATTAATGAAAATGTCTACCAATTTGTATGGACTGCCTAAAGTATTTGAAAATAGCTTAGCCCCTAAGAGCCAACTTCAGTGCTTTAACAAAATAGTTTGTGCTAGTAGCTGGTAAACATGTTTGAATAGAGATGAGAATATAAAAATTATATATATTTTTACTATGGCATTAAAAATAAAGTTTTATTCTAGGAAACTAGAACCTGTCGTTGAAGAAAGGCCGATTTTCCAATGTCGTAATTGTGGAATGACTGAACAATACGATTGTTTTGGGAATCGTGTGCCATTTAATCGTAATGTGAAAACTATAGCCGATGTTTACATAGCAAGAGATCCATTTTCTCCTCGTAGCCAGAGACAGTATTTAATTTTAGGGTCTGTATGTTCAATGTGTGATAAAGATGTATGTTTAAAACCCGAATGTAGTATATTTTATTCGAAATACTTTTGTTCTAATTGTGCTCGAACACATATTAAAAATTTCCCAACAAAAATTCAAGAAAAAATTAAAACAGCTAATCGCATTTAGTTTATTTATACGGTGACACTGTTTTTCTACACTGACTGATTTATGTAATTATTTTAAGTTAATTTTCAGTTTTTTTAAATAAAAAAATTTGTGTTATTGAAATGTACAAATGTTTTGGTTTGTAATAAATGCAATAATTAAACAAATTACTCTTGTGCTTTTTTATTAGTTTGATTACAAAACTTGATAATAGTAAGATTATTTTACTGATAACTTTTATATTGTAAAGAACAATGTAGTGATCAATAAAAACAATAACTGTAGCAGTTAATTAGATTTATTAAAAGGGCCTAGCTTTTAGGAAATTTTCTCAAAAAATACTCGACCAAATTGAATGATTATTTTTGTGTCTTAAAGAACAAAATTTCATCTCTGCTGTCTCGGTGGAAAGAAAAAATGAAGAAGAAAAACTCTGAAGTATAACTGTCAGTTATATCATGCTAAAAAGTATAAGAATTTGCAGACACACACATCAACTTAAAAAAGTGAATAATAAACTTCATAAATATTTATTAATATGAATGGGTGCAGAATCAATCAGAGATTCCAAAAAATGTGTCTTTCAGTGCCAAGTCACCTAATTAAATTACAAATAATGTCATTCTTCGTCGATTTGAGCACTGAATAGATTAGTCTAATTCACATAATATTCCAATCTGTGATTTGAATTTGTAATAGTTTTTTGAATTTATTAAAAAGCGGGGAAGGAATTTATTGTTTAACCAGGTGTTGCCAACCTAAGTTCTATATAAAATCGTTGGACTTTTTACTACCCGTGTATGTACACAATAGATTTAATTGTACTCCAAACGTTGGCTACACTGATAAACGACGTTAAAAGATAAAATCGTGTAAAATAAAAACAAAGTTTGAATTTTATTTCGCATTATCTTTTAATTGTGTAACGGTTTTTAGTTTTTACATTGGCCATAATAAGTTATTAGTATAATTTACTGGCTGTTTTTAGTGTACTACTACAGTTGATGAATTGTATTATCTACTTTTAAGTTCTTAAGACGAGATTATTGCAATTCACATCGATTATTGTTGGACTAAAATTTCGCAAGTAAGTCTATACAAATGAATTCGGTCGATACACATATCGAAACTGATAAAAATATACTAAATGTTGTAGACATGTCGAACGGTTTTATTGATATTCCTGATCCACGATCGCCGACTGCAGATTTTTCCAGAACTCCATTACGGGTAAACAACTTGATTATTACTAGGTTTTATTTTATGTACTACTTACGTCTGATTGTTATTTTATTTGACAAAATACATTTTACAGGTAAGATCAGTATTTGATAAAGAACTTAATATCATATCGCCCGTCACGGTCGACTCATTTATCGAAATGCCACCAAGTGATCCAGTAACGTCTACGCCAACTCAACAGAACGACTTGGCCGACACTGACGATTCTTTTCACTCTGCGGTCGGGGAAAGTGACACGGACCCTTTGCTAAATGGCCTTATCACCCCAGACGTTAAAGACAAGACTAAATCACTAAGAAAAGCATTAGGGTGCATCCAAAATCGGCTGTCTGAAACACCCAAGTCCGACTTGCGACGTAAGCTGTGGCGCAACATGGAAGAGGAACGAGTAAAAAAAGGTGTGAATATTGGAGCTGAAAACACACCACCTTTACCGTTTAATGATATCACTGCATCAGCACCTCCTAAATTATACCGGCACAGGAAATATACATAAGTTTTAAACGATCAGTCATACATGATTATAATTTTATGCTGTATTTAATTATTGCTTTTTTTTTTTTTTAATTATTAATTGGGTAATCCTGTTTTATTTGAGTTTATTTTTTTGCACATTGCACACAGCGATTTACTTTTACTGGATTGTCTTTTTTTAAATTTTAATTGTCATTTAATAATATACCATACCTATATTGTGACCAAGTAGTATAAAGCAGCAATATTACCTATTTTATGTATTTTATGGTAATGCCAATTTAATAGTAATAATACACGAGAATTTTGAAATAACTCAATTACTCCTATAGGATAACCTAAGGATAAATTTTAATTTTGAGTTCAGTAAATTAGACCTTCCATTTTATTTGTTGATGTGATATATTTATAAAATAACTGTTGGTATGGAAAAATATACAATTTGTATTCCAATCTTGGTTGTTTTTTTTTCAAATGCATAACCAAAAAATTATTATTTATAACTATAATATGTCAAAACTCTAATGTAAAATAATTACATAAAAACAATGTATCGTGATTTGTGTAACACAGGATTGTAAATGGTCGACATTTATTTTGATACAAATCTATAAAATTACATATTGGTATAACTTTATGCATGTTTATTACAAACTTAGGCTCTAGTATTTCAGTAGTAAGGAATAATTCAATTTATTTTTTAATAAAGAAATCAGATTTGGTATGGCTTTAAAACATAATATTACACAATACCATAGGGCATAGTTGATGTTTAAAAAGTATATATTTATACAAATAAATGTTTGCGCAATATGACTGCATTATTGAATTGAGATACACAGTAGTTTGAGTAAAAATAAAATTATTTACAAAAACACGTTTTGAAACAGACGTTGTTTAAATAATAACATAAAAATCAAGACGACTGTTGGACATTTATATGAAACTTACAAGACGGCATTGTATTGATTTCAACTGTGACTATACTTGCAATTCCAAAGTTTTCCAATGCTCCTCTTATTAGACCACAAGTAAACGTAGCATACTGAAAAAAAGACAATTTTGTTCATGGTTTTGTATACTTTATGTCATAACAATTTAACGCTCACCTTGGGTGCAGCCTTAAGATATTGTGTTCCGTTGGAAAGCTTGCTGAAAAATCTGAACTCATTGTCTTGCAACACATACACTCCTTGATGATTAGTTCTCAAATTGTCGACTTGTTTTTTGTACACACAAGACCAAAAATCTGTGCATATAAATTTTAATATTTCTAGTTCTTCTTTGTACCTTGATAGCTCTTTGGTTATTCTAGAAGGCAATTTATGACAATATTCAAATAAAAATTAAGAGAAATCGTTAAGTTCAAAAATACCTACGTTGAATAATACATACCGTTCAATTAAGCGCCAACCGCAAGAGTAACCAAGATGTTCCAACACTGATAAATCTTCGTCCTATAAAAAATATTCAATATTAATGTCAATACTGAAAAAACTGGTAAATTGAAATTACCTCGGTCTCCGATTCCTTTGATACCATGTACGAAACTATTTCTGCGTGTAACATATCGAAAAGCACATCTTCTGCAGACATTGTAGATGTTATAGGCTAATCAGTAATTATTATGAGGTTAATTTTATTTTGAAATAAAACTGGTTACCAGGATTAAATACAATTTTTAAAATAATAAGTAAGTAAATACAAGTCTTAAGTTGCTATATTGTACTTTGAAATGTAATCTTTAAAATTAAAGTTGGTGGGGTTTTTTGATAAGCAGGAAGTGTTTATCACAGAATAACCAGAAGGGAAACTTTAAAAAATAAAAAGGTACAAAATGTCTGACAGTTATCAATCACGACCTAGTTTCCCTTCTGGTTATTCCGTGTGTTATCATAATTCACATCAAATAGTCAAAAATCTGATGTGTAAATTTATTCAAAAATAATTATTAATTGTACAATAATTATTATTGTTGAACAATTAAGTTAATTCATATTGTTTATTGGGTCAAGGCCTTTATCGTTTACTTTAACTGAATAAAAATAAAAATTGTATGAATATTATTAATATTTAGAATATTGCTTAAAATTTTTTTTGTTCAATTTTTAATACACATGCACTTATTTTTAGAGTACTTACATGTGTTGTATTTCAAATAAATACGTTTTAAGAATGTAAAGATTCGATTTTATAGACTTTTATACCTAGTAGTTATTTTTAGTTGCAAAGTGCCATATATTTCATTTTTAAAGTTGATATTTGTCTAGTTGTACTTAAATTTTACTAAAACAGTAACGTTTCTATAGGTTAAAGAAATTAAAATAACGTTTTTATATTTTGAAATTTAAATTGTAAACTATAGGATTTTCTTTATTTTGCATATTCTCTACCAGCTATTTGTGTCATACCTTAATAAACTCAACACGACCTATAACCTCTTTCTTTCTCACATGATTTTTAATTATCATCTGCTGATGTCCACTCATATTATCCAATTTTGGTTGGTTATCGTCCATTATGCTTCTTTATTCTAGATTAATTTTATTACTCCAGTTGAATTTTGTTTTTTTAAGGATCGAAGTTTACAACATATTTTGTATACCACAAGTCAATTGATTTCATAATTGTTTATTAAATTTTAACACAACACCTAACTATTGTGTAATATTTTTACATAAACAAATTTACTAACACTAAATTATTAAGTTACAACAACTATTTAACATAAACACTAAATTTCTCGATTTACAATAAATCTGAATGTAAATTACACTCTAAACAATATATAAATGTTTTCATACTTGTAAAACTTTTAATTAAATAATAATAACCTATGGTATATCAGATCATAGTATAATCTGGTTTAAGATTTTAAAACAAACTTTATTTTATTTTTTTAATGTGTTTATTAAATATATTTTTAATTTTAAATACAATTATACAAAATGAAAAAAAAGATTTAATTGTTTATAAAATTGTATAAATAAAAAAATAAATTATTATCAAAATAGTTTTAATATCTTTGGTGATATTATAGTAAAAAGTATCTTTTGGTCTTTTAGTTAAAGCAACTTAAAATAAACATACAATATATAATAGTTTGTCAATAAATTATTACAAATTAAAGTATCTTTCAATATTAAAATGAATACATTATTTTTTAAAAAAATTTTGAATACAAAAAATAGATAGTGTACAAATATGCAAACTGTTGTCTTATAAAATAGTAATATAATATACAATATTATAATTTTTTTTTATTGAATAAAAAAAAACAGTAATAACTAAAAATGTTGTTCATAATATATCAAAATATTAGTTAAAAAGTAATAAACAAAATATAATGCTATTTTAATATTAAAAATAAAACATACGAAAAAAAAAAAATGATTGTATTTTATAATGTCAAATTAATTTTGAACACAGTAATGGACGGAAACAGTTACACTGTGTCGATGTGCACATAGTCTAATATTAATTTGTATTTCATAATGTCAAATTAACTTTGACCACGAAATGGACGGAAACAGTTACACTGTGTCGATGCACGTAGTCAAATATTAAATTTACTTAAAGAGATTTTTTCGCTTAAAAAAAATTAAATCTTGAACACATTTTTAAAATATTCACACGGGGGCAGTGGACACAGTACTGTGTGGTGTAGTCGGACGCGATCCAGCCAGAGAATGTGTAGTAGAAGCATTTAACGACGCCATGGTTCCAATCTTCAAAAAAAAAGGGCAAAACAAATAAGAATATAATATTAAATAATTATGTAATACTTTTAAACTTTTAAAAACCAGCTAAATTTGTTACTTTGATTCAAACATCTTATACGATATATATTACGTGGGTTAATCAAGGAAGGTTTGATTCGCAAATTAGCTGCCGTTTTTAATAATTTTTGTGTCGTTTACTTACTCTGAGATGAGCTAAATCTTCTAATTTTGTCAGGTCGAAAAGCTCCAAGTACAAAGAATAGACAAGCAACCAGCCATAAACGTTTATCACCGTGAACACTGCACCCAATATGATCATTGTGATATTGTACCCGAATATGGGATCGTTTGCAATCGAGGAAAAGGTCCAAGCGATGAAACGAAATATGACAAATGCCGCAAACGAAAACAGCCACGGCACTATGCGTTTCTCGTGTTCCTGAAAATAAAAAATCTAGTTTAATACACAATTTTATGTTAGAGATTGATAAATTCTAACTGTCCTAATTTTATAGTAGGATTGCTAAAAAAAAGTTTATAAACTTAGTTATGATCTAGGGCATCACACATAGCTACACCAATTTTGATGCCGTTATTACTTTTTTATAATTGATCCCATAATACTAACTTTGTTTATCGAATTTAAATAATAGTTCAGCTACGCAATAGATACAAGAAAATTTGGTGAGGATTGAGAATTACAAAAATTGAAACGTTTATTAGCATAGTTGTAAATGCTAGTAAATGCCTATACGGGTGACGTAACAGCTAGTTAAAACTAATGACATACAAGTATGTAACTTACTTTTCTCAGAGCCGATATCAAAATCAAACTTGTAACGAAAATCACTGCGGCTGCGACGAATGAAAATAATGAAAACAGTATCAGCAAATTCCTTACTGAAACATAAAAGTCATTGAATAATTATTACACGGATTCGCAAGACGATTCAGTTTGTACACTATTCATCATACCCCATGCACTGCCAACGTACACAAACTGATAGCTCATAACATAGTAACCGTAATGAGTTGACCCGGGCACGGCCATGGCTAAACAATATGTATCAAATGCAGACGTGGCAAGTGTAAATATGCTCAAAAACTGAAAATAGAAACATACATATTGAATTTAATCGTTTTCGGATGAATTTAAAGTTAAAACCGAAAGGATTAAATACCAGAGAATAAAAAGCAATGATAAGTGCACCACGTTGAGTATCGAGGAAGTAGGCGTCTTTGAGTATCGGACGTTGGTACCACGGGACGCGTAATGATTTCATTGACCGCGTAGAACGTAAGTTGGATGATCGTAGGGTCAGGTGGCTGGCGTGTATAGAATACACAGATGGTGTTCCCATACTGGGCGTTTTGCTTCGTGCATACATTTTTAAACGGTAAAATAAATATATTAATAAAATATAAATGTAGATGTAGAAATAATTCAACCGAATCGATTTTTGTCCAAACAGTAATTGTTCAACGATTATGCATTATTATTTAAAATATAATAGTAAGTAATAATAATTATTCCGCAATTTAGTAATTTTGAATTTGAAAAAAATACACCCGAACTAGGAATGTTTATTGTGAATAATATTGTCATTTGTAATTTCGTTTAGTAAACACACCCAAGATGATAACAAATATTGATAACAACATTGACATGGAGAAAACATTTTTCTTGGGACAAAAAGTCTTAACGGTTTTTTTATGTTAAAAATTCAAAAACTGCCGTATAGTAGTAGGCCTATGTATAATTTTGTAATTTCGATAAACGTGAATTAAAAACACCGACAATTTGTGTAAATTGTATTGTATATATAATATATGATTATTAATGGTGTTAGTTGTGCTGCCAGCATGGCATACTATTAAGGAGTAAATAGTAATCATCCATCTCACATTAACTTTTAAACATAAATTATTATATTTAAATGACGATTGTTATAGCATGTAATACAACAATTGATATGTTCTCTAAAAATTTGAAATGCTTTAGCCATCAACACAAACAACTTGTGACCTATGTTATACAACTCGTGGATTTGCCTACTTGAAATCGCTGCACGCTTATCAACTAAAAACTTAGATAAAGCTAAAGATTCTGCCATCAGTTTGACTTTAATAAAATTGTAGATGGAGAATTTAAATTTCATCGCTGAGCTGTTCCAATCGGCATCATCTGCACGCACGTTGGCGGCCAATGTAGAAAAAAACAAAAAAGTTGAAAAAAAATATGTTGGCTACACTGGAAGAAGTCAATTTGAATTTTAGTTTTTAATTTCCTGAAAGTCACTTTTCTATGGCTAAATTTAACAAACAATATTATTTAGAATGGTTTACATTTACAATGTTAGTCAATTTGGACACGTCTTGTGAATCAAATAAGTTTCTTATTATTTAGTAGGTATGTAGAAAGATATTTTAGTCGTATAGACATAGATGTTATAGCTTCATTTGATCGCTTTTAGGAAAATTATTGTCTCTACTAGTTTGCATATTATTAAAAAAATAGTGATATTTTATTATATTTTTTTGTTTAGCTTTTGCTTCGTGTATTTAAACTGTAAAATTGAATGATAATTTCAAATGTGTGTACGGCCACTAAATAATGTGACTTTATTTTCATAAATCAAATTAATAAGAGCTGTTAAAAATATAACATATTGTTATTTACTATTTTAACTGATTGTCACTTATAGCAACAAATTATTATTATTTTTTTTTTAATGGATGATAATTCATGACAAAGCGTTTAACTTAGATTCTAACTTCTGTATGATTTTCCCAATGGTTATCCAAACGGGAATCATCATATTGTATTAATTACATTTTTTTTTTAAGAATCTTATACCAGCAACATATTATGAAAAATTATTATTTCTTCATAACATTATTATCTAGTACTTAACCAACTATCTTGATTATTCAATTTAGGCAGGCTCGGCTTTTTCTTAAGACAAGTAAGATTTACTTATGTTTTTTTTACTCCTCGATTGAGCTAATTATAATCTTTTAAGTTGTTTACTAGTTTGTTTAATCTTTTTGCTTCTTGTGAGTTTTAATATGAATAATTCAAGTAATAATCCTAAACAAGATAATCCCGTTAAAGAAGGTATATCACCATTAACGATATTTAGAGTAAGCAGCGGGTACCTACTCCAAATTGATTAATTGACAAAAATAATAATTGTACATCAGTATCATGTTTTAATGCGGAATTTATAGTATTTCGATTTACAAACATAATCGCAGTGATTTTTGCGTTTCGTTTTACAATTATTATTGTATTTGATTTTTCTTAAACTTAATTTTATTTCCGTGCAGTAGTGTGATACATATATAAATATATAATATTTTGGAATATAATGCGCGTACATATTATAATAAGTATTATTATATAAATATTAACAACGTGTAAGTTACTTCTTATTTTTTTCCAATTATTTTTTTGATTTAGTGCAACTTTTTTTTTTTTTTCTGTGTCTCACTATATTGTTATCGTTGAAATAATAATATACATTTAAATAGGTATATTATTACATAGTATACATTTAAAGTGTTATATTATTACATAATGTACATTTAAAGTGTTTCCCTCGACAATTGTCAGAGCGATCCTTCTGGCCGTACACGTTATACAATTATTCTAATACAACGCAAACAATATTATTATTATTTGTTGTGTAATTATATGTATATTATATATATATATATATAACTATTCAACTGAACAACAATATTATGTCGCTTAACAAGTTATCGTATAATAATATATTATAATAAACGGGCGCACATAAAAAAAAGAAACAAATTAAATAAAAAACACAAAATCGTTTGATCACAATATTTTTTCCTTTTCGCCCCCATACAAACGTGCGTTTGCTTTTAGCTCCCCATAAATCTAAACTCTGTTTTTTCCGTACTTAACACTATATATCACTCCGAGGAGCGTTCTGCTTTTTTTTCTCGACCGAACAGGAGGCTAAAATGGGAGCGAAAGGGCTTACATAATATAATAAAATGGTACGAGTCACGGCGACGGTGACACAATAGACATCCAGTGGTAAAACGATAAAAAGTCGGTAAAGAGGTTACCTATTTTTTTTTTTACATAGATAATTGTGCAAATAATACGTTTTTACAAACGATACATAATATCGTCGCTTAAGACGCAACACCTCAAATCAGATTTTTCTCAATTTTACAGGACTGAAGAAAAAATATCAGTTTCAATAACATTGCCAACCGCGTTATCAATTATTCGATTATAACGTTATCTACTGACACTGAGTCCGCCAGTGGATTCGCCGCGCAAATTGAAAATACATTTTACAGTGTGGCCAACGTGATTTGGCCAGTGGTGCATCCTAAGCGACGATATTATGTCGAAACCGAAAAACAGAAAAGTAGTTTTCGACTTATGCCATTTTACCACGGACGTGATTTGCTCGTGATAAATATAATTTATGTGTACATACATATGCATGTTTTTTTTTTTTATAAAATATTTAAACATTTATATAACGTTACAGGTAAACATATTATATTACAGTAATAAAAATAATATATAATATCGTATGATAATCATAGGCGTAGTTCGCGCATTAGGTACGAAAAGGACGAAGGCATGTATGTACGACATAGTAATAATAATAATAATTATACATTATAATATTATTAATTATAAACACAATTAGGTAACGTGGTGTAGGTAAAAAGTCGGGTGTGAATGATGACGACAACTACCGTCCAGCGCTGTTGTAAAAAAAAGCTACGGTCGACAAAAGTATAGAAAAAAATTTTAAGGCCAGAATGTGTATTCGTGGCGATTATTATGTGTTCAGAAATTGTAGTAATTATATACACTGTTAATGGAAATCGTTGTATGTATAAATACGATATATAGATACGATTGTTGCTGGTACAATGAAAAATAATTATATTACATTTTCAAAATATAGACCTGAAAATTTAGATCTGGGAGGAAAGCTTTATCGGTCCTAAGGCGGAAACCGACGGCGGTGGGCTTTTAGCATACTAAACGACAATCCGAGATTGTACTTTATTTTTTTTTTTTTGGTCGGGTCAAAAGATGCCCTATTTTTATATATATATATATTTTCCCCCCGTTTTTATATAATACAATATTGTTATTATAATAATAATATATTCGTTTCTCAAACTGTTCACGTGCCCGTCGAATCGGCGAACGAGTAAGAGATGTTATATTATTATTTTTTTTTTTTTATAAATATATTTTCCCCAACAACGGAATAACATCAATATGATTTACAATAATATAATATATATAATATATAACTCTGTATATTTCATAACAACACAGCATTACTATATATATATTTCATTTTATAATATATATATATATATATACTAACGGGTCGTTTTTTATTTAGTGGCTAAAAATCTAAATTTTACAACGGATGTATAATATATATATTTATCGTTAACGTGTAATAAACCGTTATAATTATCTAAATCCTTATAAAATGATTATGTTCAACGATTTTGCATTTATGTATAGGTACACGAGTGCGCCTTCGACTAACAATAAAAAAAAACCGTAAAATATTTATAAAACAAATATAAACAATAATAATTAATTATAATCGTGTAAGGTAATAAATAATATTTTTTACACGCGTTAAGTATTAGATTTTTTTAAAGAGATCATATAAAATATTAGTGCTAACGAATAGTACACGTTTTGTTGGTTGAAACATTATAACAATTAATTTAAGCGCGAGAAGAAATTGGTCGTAGGCACTGTTAATGCGTTTATTTATTTATATGTATTATACGAAACCGTTTGAGTATATAAATAAAAAAAAACATCAAAGAGCGATTATTTAACAGTATATTATTACGGGTATTGCAATGTATATCATAGTATATGGGTATTGGGTACGGCAATAATATATTCTAGTATCGATCCGACGGGGTTAAACATGAGCTCAGCACTTAAGTACACAATCTTACACGGTGTTATGTCAGACGTCAGTGCTGAGTTGTCTCGACCTAGACCTAATAGCTTAGAGCGCAAAAGTAAAATATCCAATATTTATCAATACAAGTCAATAGACAGCATTTTTTTCTTCTTAGGGACGGGTCAAGTAAGAGCGGTTAACGGTGGTAACAATATGGTCACGTCTTAGGAGACTTACATATGAAGGGAGGGGAGGTGGTGGGGGGGGGAGGGGATCACAGAGTCGAAGGTGGTGAGCGTGCGAGAAGCTGATGATGTTTAATGTAGTATTATTTTTTTTATAATTCGGCGTCGCGGATTGTATTAATATTATAATAATTATTATTATAATATCAACGTTGACCGATCACCAACAGCGGTCGTGTCTGCGAGTTGGACTGCCGACGGTTGCAAGGCCGGTCGTCATCGTATCTCATCTCATAGTCCGAAGGCAAAGCTATATAAAAAAAAAAACAGAGACAATACGCACCGTTGAGTAATGATAATAATAATAACAATATAAAGAAATGAACTAAGATCTCGCGAGACCGTGTACTAGCTTGTATGCGACAGTGAAGCGGACAGAAGGACTAAAACCAGTATGACCAGTATGAAAGAAAAACAAATCTCCATTGTTGGACACAGTTGGTACAGTAAATATGATAAAATAGGTTTTCGTTCTTTATCTTAAAATATTATGGTTTATACCAAGTTATACCAATTGAAGAATAACACTATAGGATGACTTGGGAACCTATGACAGCTTGCCAAAAGAGATAATTGAAGGTACCATTTTCCGCCATATTTGTGGGAATTACTACCTCATCACATGTTTATAACACTTATAAAGATTAAAAGTTAAGCTGATAGCACAGAATCACAGATATATTATATATATATATATATATATATATATATATATTTTACTTACACATAAATCCCACAAAAATGGCCGACGTCGATTTACATTGTTTTTCTTTTAACTAGGCAGACTGACTATAGTCCTTCTGTTTGTGTTACATTAAAACTACTATAGGCATCCCCCTCAACAATCACTCTTAGAACACACCATGATACCATAATCCATTTACATACAATATACATGTATATATTTGTTAAAAAAAATTCAATTTTTGGTGGCCATTTGTTTTGGTCTTATTTTTAAAAATTATTTCAATCAAACATTTATAGTAGGACCCGTACGTTCAAATACAAATAACAAAATATTCTCAACATTAGTATTTTTTATTAATTTTCATCACTTTTTAAATTTTGGTTCTCGGTATATTAAAACATGTGATATATCAGTGATTGTTATATTTAAAGCACATTAATATGAAAATATTTTATTATAGAAGCATAATAAGATAGCGTATCAGAAGGAGGCGGCGATGGCCATCTTAACGAGCCGCATAAGCCAAATTCCGTTGTGTAAATACAGATTTATTTAGATTAAAAATATTTCACCTACTGCCCATCTCTCTGCTATTGCATTATTCAAACAAAAGGGTGGACGGTAATATGCCCGAAGCGAATAAAACTGGCTGTACGGAATGTTTTGCTCTTTACCCCTCTCCCACCTACCTATAAAAAAATTGGCCACTGTTTGTAATAATATTATGGTAATTCAAATTCATTTTCATATTTTCCAGAGCGAAGTCGACCACATTCGAATAGTAAACCCCACCAAATCACGGTTGTCGATATTGAATCCGATCAGATATCCAAAAAGAGAAGATATCCGTCTAGATGGACAGAGAGTTAACCCGAGGCACGTTAGTAAAACATAAATAAATGTTTCCCATAAAACGATGTACATAAAGATTACAGTGTTTGTTAAATTATTTGAGAGTTTAATTTGGCATTGATGTAACACGGCGCGATAGGTAGGCAAATTAGGTACACCTGTTAGTCGGAGCGCTGTGCGACCCTGTTGTTGCTCTGCTATCTGGTAAAATTAATGATCATTCATTCTGTTCATAATAACAATAACAATTAATTATAATATATTTTAATGGATCACGGTTTTCTTTACCGCTTTGGCGTAAGCACTACAGTTTACACCTAATCTTGACAGATATTGTTGCTATCAAATAATAATAATAATACCATCAACCGTGTGACTACAAACGGAGTAGTGCGCTAGAGTTTTATTATGAGTTAAATGAAAACTTTTCCAAAGCGAAAAGCGTGGAAAATCTTCGTTAAACAATCTGCACGTGCACACAGTTTTAATAAACTCTCGACGATATCGGAGTCAACGAGAGAAAAATTAAAATCAAATAACTTAGAGAAGTTTAAAAGTAAAACAAAACAAAACTCAACCAAGAACAATAAAAACATAATATTAAATTTAAATAGTTATACATTTGATCAAGTTTGTAAATACACAGCAGAATAGGATAAAAAAGAAATTGATATTTCATACAAAGAACATTTTCAAGCTGTTTAGCTTTTCAATGGGCTTTTTATTTAGTTTAGTTTTGTTTTTAGAGTTACTTTACAACACAAAACACAAAATGTTTGGTTCAACGACAGTTTTCAATATAAAATGAATTATTGATTAAATTAATAGTAAATAAGTATTCTTTGATAATTACTCATTGTATTCTGTTAAGTGACCATTGAAAATGTCATTGCTCTTATAAGTTATGAGTTTCGATTTAAGACTTTTAAAGAAGTATTGTTTAAAGCTGATTACGCCCAGCAATCAAAATACTTACTTAGATATCTAAAAATATTAAAAAACATTATATTAAAAACATTTTGTTTTTCGTATCGTTTCAAAATTTATGTTTGGGCTAAGCATTAATTTTTCATTGATTTTTGCCATAAGCCAGCCAACCATGTTGTGTAAGAGGTTGAATAAATATAAAAGTATATTTTTTTTGTGTACTACACAAAGGATTCCATAAAAAAATTGTACTAAATTGAAAGATAGATAGACAGAGATGACATTGAAAGTATGCTGAGTTTAGATAAAGCGTCCAACTTCGTTCATGCGATACACTACCGTTGTCTTAGAAATAACAAGAGGCCGAGGAGAGTGAATGAAACAATAGGGCATTTTGTAGTGTAGTCTAGTGTGCTTTTTGAATAAACGTTCCACGAGAACCCCTTTGGACAAAGAGGTTGTTAGCATACTGATGTGCTTGGCGCGATAGTAGTATTTCATTCGAATATCAAATCCCCATCTAATACAAAATATAGCAGTAGCTTATGCGGTTAGCTTTGGGATAGGTACTGACCAATTGTAGAAAGATATAAATGCTTTTTTCCATAACAATTGTTATATATGCGTTAACGAGCATCATCCCTTGTGTTTAAAACATTTTTAAAATTGAGTTTAAAACAGATAGATGATATGTTTTTATAGGCGTATTTCATAATTTGCATAAAAAATAAATATTTAAACTCGTTTTTCAAAATGTTGCCAACTGATTTCCAACAATTTTTTTCTTGAAAATTTAATACAATACAGATTTTTTTTGCAACTTTTGTAGCTTAAGTAATTATTTCATAGGAAAAAAGGTGCTGTTTAGTAAAATATCGAGCACCTCTTATAAATAAACATGAGATACTCACAAGGGCTTAAGAAAGGTCGTCGAGACATAGAGAAGCGATGCGTCATGTATCGCTCACCCGATTGTCACACCTCTTGCAGGAACTTGACGGGGCATATGCCCTGTTTGTTCTCCGCATTTCTGATCACCACCATACCGTCTAGTTCTTCGCCAATTTGGATCACGATCTGCGAAGACACAAGATTACAAGTCAATCATAATGGTTAATAATTAAAATAAATCTTTTGCGGGGGCACTAATGTCGTGAGACGGACAATGTAATTGCATACAACTCGGGCATAAAGGAAAAGGGGGGTACTAAAGGGATGGAAGCTCAGTGGGCACTTAAGTTAAGAAATTAAATTTTTATTTAGCAAATATATATAAAATCAAAATTCTGGTAAAAAGTATTTGATCATAATATTAAAAAAATATAAGCTTGTTTTGTACCAAAACTGTAGTTGACTGTTTGTAAATATTTTAATTCTTTTGAGCCCGAATTATTTACTTAGAATATTCTGGACTGCTTAAACCGTCTGGTTGTTCGTCGGATAATTTAATAGGATTTGACTTAAGTCTTGATCGTTTATCACATCGTTTACGGTTTACTGAATTTTAACGAGGCTTATCTCTTTTGACCCAATTCAATTCTAGTAGCGAACATGATTTGGGTGATTTTTTGTTTATTAATAGAATTTCCACTTGATGTATGTACATTAAAAAAAAAAATTAAACGAAGAAACTAATTTGCCTATAGTCATTGGATAGCATGTCCGATAAAATGTAATTTATACGTCGCTACCGAAGAAATAAGGACGCCATTAATAATACACTAATCAATAATGCCACTTCCTGGTAATAACATAATTCTCAAGCTTTATTAACTGTTATTAAAACAGCTGCTGCTGCAGTACTGTTTTAATAGTTCTTATCTTAATTTGTCGACAATCGATAGTACATTTATTTTTCGAGTCAAAATATGATTAATTTTTAAGTGTTCATAAATTTAAATACTAAAATACAATAAAGTTAAAATAAAGTAAATACGGTATAATAATAAAATGTCAGGAAATTAAAGTCAACATATTGTCTAATATAGCTGTATATGTAATCACCATTAAAAGTAGAAGTTTATCCAATAATAATAAATCAAATATTTAATAATATAAAAGATAATACCACACAATTACAATAATAATAAAAAAGCTTGTACAATGAATATATGAATTATTACTACTGAAGTCTGAAAGTATTAAATCACTTTCAAATATACAGATATCGATACAAGCATTGTAATGACAATATAATGTGCTTGAAAATATTTTTATAAGTTTTAGTATTAGGTACATACATTTAGGGTTAAATAGCCTGTCTATTATAATTTAATATCATTACCTATAAGTCTGTTTTTTTGTATCCACAAGAAAAAAAGTTTGACAAAAAATTGTTGAGAAAACTGTTAACGTTATAGCCCTATTCTAAATCTACCTCCGGTCTAATTCAACCTTAAGCCCATAGCCATTAACGTTATTGGCTTGTCCTTTAGATTGTCGGTTAAACCGTTTCTGTGTATAGGTATAAACTTATACATTATGCACTAATCAAACCTAACCGTAGCAAACCCTGCGGTCGATATCCGCTTTTCCTCTTCAACTACAAAAACTATACAACTGACGGAATGCAATAAACAAGCAAACCGTAGTTATAGTCTTGTACAACGGCGTTATTATACAGTTTGGGTACGTTTTTTTTTTAAACTTAATTTGAATACAAACTGCTTCTTTTATCTACTATTAACTGTTTGAGGTGCTTTAATTTTGTACTTATCTCTGTAAAATGTTTGATTTAAAAACGTTCCTACAGTTATCTTTGTTACAAATCGGTACGATCTTATCCTATATGATATGTAAAATATGATATACATATAATAAGGTCGTACGAACCAAACACCTTGTAAATACCAAGTTACAAAAACATTATTTGTAATTATAAGCTCTGTACAAACAACGACGGTAGTTTTTATGGAAAATTATTCGATACGTCGCACTAGTACATTTAAAGCCACATCTGCAAGTTCGAGTAAGTAAAATCTACATAATTGTCTTTGACCGACGATAGTTAATATTTGATACTAATCAATTTTAATCATTCGCAGGTTAAGCAGCTTTAAGAGGTGACAAAATGGCCATGTTGAACTTGTGGTATATATTGTTATTTTTTTGTATAATGCAATTTATCTACGGGTCGTACGGTAACGAGGAGAAAGAAATCGAAAATTGCAAAAACTTGTTGTTAAACTTACAGCATTTGGCTACCGGTTACAGCTACCAACCTAACCGATACGAGCGTGAAAGTTTAAAGGATCAGTCCCTCGGCCAATTGCAAAAAAGTGTAGCCAATTTGTACGACGAACTAGAGTGCGGATACCTTTTCAGCGCACAGTTGTATTTGAAATTGACGGGCTACGCTGTTTTCGGCAAATACAAACACGTTTACATGCCGCAGACACTTGAGGATTTCTCGTTCGATCAAGAAGCGACCATGATGATCGATTCGTTGTTGGATCCGAAACACGACGAGGTAAACGATCTATGGTTACTTTATATATACGCCCGTCATATAAGGGATTTCTTTGGGCGTCTTAGGGGCGTTGGCGGTCCGGTAAATATTAAAATGTTTAATGAAAAAAAATGGTTGCATGATTTCGTGCTGAACATAATAAACAAACGCGTCAAACGGTGTGAATGTTACAACTCTTTCAATATAATATCCGAAAAATGCGAGCACTGTTCATTTGTACACGAACAACTGGAAAAGAAACAATTCTGTTGTTCGCTTGTAAAAAAAGATGAAACTTTCGGTGAAAACTATAACGCTGTGATGGATGCAATAAGAAAGAACAAACAATTACTAAATGAAAACTTCAAGGAAAACCGGGATAAGAAACTATTGGAGTTCTCGATGACCGAAACGATTTCGTACGAGTTGTTGCTCTTTAAAGACGAGAGAATATGCAAAATGTTTTTTGGCGAATTTTTGGCAGCAAATCCCCATCCTGTCGACTTAAGGTTTCCAGGCGAGTTGTCGGAAATTAGACTTCTGGGAGAGTACCAGCGTCGGGTAATTGGCACGTTGAAAATAATAATGTTGCAAATAACGTTGTCGTTTATAGATTATATTAGCAATTCCAAAGATTCTCTAGAAGCATACAAAAAGTTTAAAGATGGAATCGTAGCCGAGTTTATGGAACTAATGGTGTTGAACGACGACATGGCATTCAACAAAATCTCTGAATCATTCCAATCGGTTTTTGAGCCTAAGAGCAATAGTAATGAACATGCTGATCTTAATAATAGAGATTTTCAAGGTACCATGTCACATATTAAGAGCTACATTACATGGTTCATTGAGTATATTATTAGAAAAAATAATTTACCCAATATCAGAGTGACGGTGACCGATAGTGACCAGTGCAAAACCTTAAGTGACGTTCTTAATGTAGGCATAAGATTTGTTGAGAAAATTAAAAACGATATTGGAAAACATTCAATCAGGTTGGTGCAGTCGTTTTTGAAAATGATCGACGAAAAGTTGTTACCGCGTTCCAGGAAGGCACGTCTTTATAACGTATAGTATATAATTTTTCGTATTACAATTAAGGAATTTTTTGTTTATACTTATTGTATCCATATTTTTTATTTCGGCTGTGGGAAAATTAAATTAATTAATACAGACAAATATACGTACAAAAAAATATATCATTCTATTTAATATAATTCCGCAAAGGAACTTTGTAGGTTAAGCATCACAAAAAAACACTTGTGTCTTTCAACAGCTTTCTTACCAAAACAACTAGACAAATATGAAAACACAAAAACGATTTTTCGATACATCGATTATTTATATATTAGGAGGTATAATTCGGCCATACATTTTTTATGAGACTAAAAGCCCACTACAAGATAACAACCTATCCAATAACAGTAATATGGCTTTTGTAGTGGTTCGGATAAACGCAGACTAGCAAATTACAGCAACCATATCATTATAGTTGACTTGATCGTTAGCCAAACGCTGTAAATTTAATTTAGGCAATGGTTGTTTTTTCGATTTTAAATTCATATTATTCACTTGGATCATGTTGTACGGTTGAAATGCAAAGATGTATGTAATAACCATGCTCTATTGGTGCGCTATTATTTGCCAAAACGTACAAATTGTTTCAATATTTGTTTTTAAAGAACATCGCTGAAATTGTTTTTATCATCAATAACAATACATATAAAATAACAACAAATATTATATAGAACTTGGTCTATGGTTAATTCTACCTCTACAACATTTTTAATTCTAGTTTTGTTCATGATAAATAAAACACAAAATCAACAAAAAATTGTGTAACACAACATATTATAAGAATATTACAAATAGTCATAACAAATAAAAGCCAGTTCAGTGGTGTCGGGGAATAGTGGGGGTAGAGCATAGTGAGGATAGGGAACAGTGGGGTCTGAGCATAGCGAGGATGGGGAGGTTACAGGTTCACAGGAATTATGACAACTGAAAGGGATAAAATCATTTTCAAATGAACGCTTTGGTGCAATGGTAGAAATAAAAATATCGGTACAAGCATTAATATAACAAATGAATGCGTTAAATCTTTTATGAATTGAAATAATATGTGGACAGTTTTAGGATGTATCCATTTGTTTTCTTGATGCTATTTTGTGATATACATATAATAAAGTCGTACGAACCAAGCACACATTGTCAATACTAGGTTTCAAAAATATCATTTGAAAATATAAGCTCTGTACAAACAACGACGGTAGTTTTTATGGAAAATTATTCGATACGTCGCACTAGTACATTTAAAGCCACATCTGCAAGTTCGAGTAAGTAAAATCTACTAATCGTTGATGATAGTTAATAATTGATAATAATCAATTTTAATCATTCGCAGGTTGAGCAGCTGTAAGAGGTGACAAAATGGCCGTGTTGAAATTGTGGTATGTATTGTTATTTTTTCGTTTAATGCAATTTATCTACGGGTCGTACGGTAACGAGGAGAAAGAAATCGAAAATTGCAAAAACTTGTTGTTAAACTTACAGCATTTGGCTACCGGTTACAGCTACCAACCTAACCGATACGAGCGTGAAAGTTTAAAGGATCAGTCGCTCGGCCAATTGCAAAAAAGTGTAGCCAACTTGTACGACGAACTGGAGTGTGGATACTATTACAGCGCTCAGTTGCATTTGAAATTGACGGGCTACGCTGTTTTCCGCAAAGACAAAACCATTTACGAGCCGAAGGAACTTGAGGATTTCACGTTCGATCAAGAAGCGACCATGATGATCTATTCGTTGTTGGATCCGAAACACGACGAGGTAAACGATCTATGGTTAATTTATATATACGCCCGTCTAATAAAAGAATTCTATAGGCGTCTTAGGGCTGTATTGCTTATTGCGGTAAATGCTAACGTGTATAAGAAAAACAAACGTTTGCATTATTTCGTGCTGAACGTAATAAACAAACGCGTCAAACGGTGTAAATTGGACAACTCTTTCAATATAAAATCCGAAAAATGTGAGCACCGTTCATTTGTACACGAACTACTGGAAAAGAAACAATTCTGTTGTTCGCTTGTAAAAAAAGATACAACAAAAACTCTCGTTGAAAACTGTGACGCCGTGATGAATGCAATAAAAAGGAACAAACAATTACTACATGAAAACTTCAAGGAAAACCGGGATAAGAAACTATTGGAGTTCTCGATGACCGAAACGATTTCGTACGAGTTGTTGCTCTTTAAAGACGAGAGAATATGCAAAATGTTTTTTGGCGAATTTTTGGCAGCAAATCCCCATCCTGTCGATTTAAGTTTTCCAGTTAAATTGTCGGATATTAGATCCCTCGGAAAGTACCAGCGTCGGGTAATTGGCACGTTGAAAATAATAATGCTGCAAATAACATTGTCGTTTATAGATTATGTTATCAATTCCTTAGATTCTTTAGAAGCATACAAAAAGTTTAAAGATGACTCTTTAGAAGCATGCTTTAATTTCAAATATACTATCTTAGGCGAGTTTAAAGACTTAATGGTGTTAAACCACGACCTGACATTCAACGAAATCTCTGAATCATTCCAATTCATTTTTGAGCATAAGAGCAATAGTGATGAACACGCTGATCCTAATATTACAGATTATCAAGGTTCCTTGTCACATATGAAGAGAAAAATTACAAGGCTCATTAAGTATATTACTAGAAAAAATAAATTACCCAATATCAGAGTGACGGTGACCGATAGTGAGCAGTGCAAAACCTTAAGTGACGTTCACAATGTAGGCATAAGATTTGTTGAGAAAATTAAAAGCCATATTGGAAAACATTCAATCAGGTTGGTGCAATCGTTTTTGAAAATGATCGACGAAAAGAATCTACCGCGTTCCAAGAAGGAACGTTCTTATGAAGTATAATATATATTATATAATCGTATTACAATAAGGGATTTTTTAATTTTTATTCATATTGCACCTATATTTTTTATTTCGGTTGTGGGAAAATTTAACTAATTAATACTAATAAATAAACATACAAAAAAATGTATCATTCTATATAGTATATAAGTCCACCCAGGAGCGTTGTGGGTCAAGTGTTACAAAAAAACACTTTTAACAGATTTCTTGTCAAAACAACTAGACAAATATGAAAACACAAAAACAATTTTTCGATACATCGATTATTTATATGTTAGGAGGTATAATTCGTCCGCACATTTATTTAGTTTTAGGGTCTTTAACTATTATACTTTAATAAACTTGAGTATACTTTGAAGGCCCGACACTGCCATATCCTGAGACCGTTTGTTGCTTGTGGAACGGGGAAAAAAATCAATTAAATTATTATTTGAACATCTAAATTAATTTTGAAAAGTGTAACCCACCCCTATATTGCTTAGCACCGTTTATTTCTATGTTAATATTATGCAAAGGCCAAAGGACTCGTATCAATTGGAACGGCCTAATAAGATTATGTGAGTGGTTTATTGGCCGCGTTTGGTGTGACCGAAGCACTTATAATATGGCAAGAGGACGACCGTCGCTATAATATTGCTTTCGGGGAAGAGAAAACTCTTTTTGTAATTGATTACTATAGAGTGTTCTGTTGGCGTTTATGATAATGGTTTGGCGCAGTTCATCGACAACACCGTGGCCAGTGTATATCTGCTGCGAACCGATTTGTATACTAATTACTTTTCCCAGAGTGGTTTACGAGCTTTAATTGTGTTAAAGCGGCGGCCTTATCCCGCTGGGAACAATATATCAAACAAATAGTGTTTTGTTGTAAATGCACAAAAAGGCGAATAACGTCTGCAAAGCGAAACAAATTCTTCCGTTTGAATCGAGAAAACGTTCATTTATTTCTAATATGTTTAGACAACATTAAAATTAAACTCGCACACTTATTAACATGTACAATTTAACTTTATTGAAAAACCTATTTTCATTTTGTCATCGACAATGTCATTTCACCCGCATAATAATAATTATTATGTATAGTAGGTAATGTTTCAAAAGCCAGTTGCTAATATGAAAACTATTGGATGCTATTAAAACAAGTTTTGTTTTTTTCTTATTTCAAATACACAGTCTATACCTTTAGGCATAAAAAGTTGGGAAAGACGATTTTCAGCAGTTTAAAATATATCTCGTGGGTGCAGACAAAATAAATTAAAAATACATCATTGTAAAAACAATATCTTCTGAGAGTTAAAATTAACGCACCCCGCCAATTGTCATACTGTTTTACATTATAATATGCCGTCCAATATGCCTGACAGCACCGTCTGCCAGTTTCGACATTAGATTAGAGTAATTAATAGTCAATAGTCAGAGTAATATTATTATCCTAGGAAGCATAAGTAGTGTCGGGTGAACGTACCTGATCCCTTAATAATGTTAGTCCATTGTCGCCGTCGGACACTTGTAAATTATGCGTGACCTGCAAAGGTCTCTCGCCGGGTTGTACTTTGGTCACGTAGTTGTATGGGAAATAACCGACGCGGCCGAAACACTTGCCTTTCCACCAGGCCGGGTCCGAAGTGTCTATAACGGTCACTTTGTACCCAGCTCTGAAACAAAATTCATAATTATTATTGCAGTAGAGATTAGAGAAAAATCAGGACATTATTATATTATGATTTTGTCTTAAACGATGTTGGAACAAAATTGTAGGTCAAATTTTTAACCGTTGACGAAGTCTATATACCCTTAATATTGTATAAATATACATTTTAAATTTATTTTCTCAGCTGTTCCTGTTAAAGCACAAAACGAGACTCGACTCGACCTCCTCTTAAACGTGTAAAATGTTTTTATTAAAATTTATTATAAAATTCATCAGACCGGTAGCGTAGGCAAATTTCGAACATCCTAAGAATACCGGGAAGACCGAAGTACTTACTCAGGTCGTTTATTTATGAGATGTTTACGGAATTTTTCTAGGAATTTAATATACTTCACACGCCGTCTAATAAACAGCGCAATACGGATCCTTTGAATTATGTTGGAAGAAAAAAAATGCCATAATGGAATTTTCATCTGAAAATATAGTGTTTGAACGCCAAAACCCAGATGTTCAATGGCTTTACTTGGCAATAGGTAAGATAATAATTTATGAGACTCCAAGTCGAGTACAGAGATTTTAAAAGGCAACTTAACCTATATTTTACAATTGAACAAAAGAACAAGTGGAATAAACTACTGTATGAGTACATAAAATATATTATCGACTGTATTAACTCTAAAAATATTTATTAAATTTGTGAAAAGTAATAAATACTATGTTAAAGAATTAAAAACATTAAATTGGATTAGTCAGGTTAATTAATTTGTATAACTTTTACAGCAATAGACCTCTTCGACAAAAACATTCATATAAAAATAATAATTTTTCAGGGGCGTGCAGTTTATTGTCTTTGTAAGGCTATTAAATGTTTGTATCATTATTTGTATGAATGAGTGGTCATTAAAACAAGTAAACAATAGTGGTATCGACAACGGTATTACCCGGTTGAACTGAGTGCCGCTGATTTAATTAGGTGTTATTTATACCGTTGAAATAAATAATAATAACTATTGAAAGGTTATTTATGCAATTATATTTACACTTCAATGATTTGCGAACAAAATACAAGCGCTGTTTGCATATTATTTGACCTAACCTATTGTGTTTCATAATAAAAACGTTATAAAAAAAAAAACAGTAGGAAACGATTCCGATTTGATTTAATAATAATTTCCACTCGAAACGTCATAAAAGCAATGGCTGCAATTATTAAGATAGCCTATATAGGACTTAGGGCTAACACGGGTGCGGTTTTATATGAATATTCATGAAAAATAAAAAAAAATGAAATCCCCACGGATAATAGACCATCGTCGTACACGTAGTGCGTGCTCGTGCGTTTTTACTTTAATTAAACAACTTAAAACTCGAGTTTAACAATACTGTTTTAAAATTGTAAAAATTATAAAATTAGATTATGCATGCTTGCCTGCCCATATATATACATATATATCCAGCCCATACTCATATAAATATAACTCCGCTTTTGTACATGATAGATATTTTTATCCTAGAATTTTTTTTTTAAAACCCTATTGGAACAGTTTAAATCAGAATTACATACTTATTCTAATGGAAATGTCATAAATTAATATTTGTTTACGTTTTCGCCACTTATTATTGTTATATAGGGTGTTCCAGCATGAAAGGTAAGTAATAGGTGATTGGACAAGAGATAAGAAATGAATGATAAGAGATAAATGATAAGAAATAGATGATAAATGATAAGAGATTAGAAGTAAATAATTAGAAACAAGAGATAAGATATTAGTGATAAGAGATAAATGATAAGATAGTGACACGAGAAAATCAATACTTTAAGTTAGGGGCCGAAAGGGTCTGAAAATGATCTGGCTCATATTTTAAGGTGAGCTGTTTGAAATGAATAACAGGGAATAATTTTAGGATTTATTATAATATATATCAATATCATATTTTAGTCAATATCGTTAAGAAGACCCTACATTAGCATTTATTAAGCCGCACTTAATAGGCAATCAAATAAAACATAACATTAGGCTTAAATTTGTAAACTCGTATATTAACACGGCAAAGCGGTATCTATTTTGATATTTATTTATTTTTTCCAAATTGTATAATGCATACAGGCCATAATAATATGTTTCTACTAATAACAGTGCCCAAGAAAACTTTTGAAGAAGTTGAATTCTTTATAGCGTTTACACGGGCGTCGACGGTGGCGCGTTTTTAAAATTACTTTTAGTTAACCAATTATTATTTCTTTTTGGAAAATTGTAATTTTCAAAGTTTCTCAATCAGTTTCAAGGTGATGCCGAGTGGATGTTTAAGACAGGCGGCGGCGGAGAAGAAGAAGATTTAATTGGTTTTATTACAACACTCACTTCAAGTCGAGTTCGTCTTCTCGGCGAGCTTTGAAGTTGTACAGCACCACGTATAAATTGTTCGGTAACAGCCTGTGTGGTTTCTGCGTGGGAGGAAAAACAAAAAAACACAATTAGCATGGCTAAAGGCGGTATCACAGCTATGTCGTCTGTCGTGTCGTGCGATTTAAGAAGTGGGCGTGGCCACTTAAGGTTACTAATGGTAACTATTTAATACCAATTTGGTAATTATCGACCGTGGTTACCTAATCAGTGAATGCCATAGAGTACTCGCGAAATAAATTAAAATTTGATAAAATAATTTCTTATAAATATACCGTATACGGCCCCATCAATGACAAACCGGCACTTAATGCAGATAGTGATAGTAATAAGTATGTTCAAATTGATAATTGATAAAAAATCAATTGACCGCGGTTACCATACTTTAACCACCCATACCACACGATACAAAAGTTGAGCTCAGCTCAACTCTAACAATAACCCGGTAGGTCATGGTTACTCAATGATACCGTGATTACAACGGCCAATCAGAAGGCGATATAAGGCACACGACACAACGGACGACGTAGCTGTGATACCGCCTTAAGTATTAAAGGTAAGTATGGTTGTTTGAAGAAGTGTTGTTATTCGTGTGTTTGAAGTCAAGAAGAACGAAGACACGTGCTGAGATACAGATATAGACAGAGACAGCGACTATATATGTATGTATTAATACTGTACTTGTGGATATCTCACCGGCGACGGGCAAGGAGAAGTGCTGGCCGACGACAATGACTTGTCGTTGTCGTCGGGCAATTCGACAGAGCTCATCCTTATGTTCCTGGTGGTCAGCAAACGCCGGTTATGGACCGGACTGGACGGCGCTGTAAACACGGTGGAAAATACATGGTGAGTCCAGACTTGAGCACATATACGAGCTATCGGTGTTTAATGTAGGTAGGTAGGTACATGTACAATAATATTATAATAATAATAATATAAAAATCAACCACAAAAACAACGACAACGACGACAGAGAAACAGTTACATGACGCGATGAACAACAGTATATTATTATAATGTACAACGATGGACGATGCAAATTTTTACGGGTTAACAACATAATATATTAACAATTACAACGACGATAATAATTGTATAGCACTTTGGTGGTGGTTGTACAGTATGTACCTAAATGTACCTAATGTATCTTAATAACACATTATGTACACATATTATACTATAGTGTAAATGACCCTACGAGAAACTCGAGGTACATGTTTTTCAGCCCTTAGTGCAAAAGTATATTGGTAGAGTCGAGATTGCCTTGCCCCTAAAAAAAAGTGTGTTGTTTATTTTTTATTTTATTACATATTAATACTCCCACAGTCGTTGAACGGTTGTAATAAAAACCAAAAAGAATAATAATACAACAGTAATAACAAAAATAATAACGGAAAAATGATAAATTTATAAAAACAAAAGTATTTTGAAAACATGTTTGTTTGTACTCATGCCCATGTCGAGCTCACACAGATGCTCTATTTCCGACTACTACTTGCAATACCATAAAATAATAATATATATTCTACTGCGCTACTTCCATTCCAATTTTTACAAAACTATCTCTCTCTCTCTTGCTTTCATTTAAATAAATATATGTATATATATCTAATTGGTTTTCAAGTACCTACGGATAATTATTATCACAAGCGAAGCGTTTGAATAATTTGCTTTTATACACATTATTATAAATGTATACATATTATGTTTCGTATCTAACGTTCTCGGTATCCTACAGGTAACAATACTTAAAATATATTAAACAATAAACGAATGCATAACACTATACAATGCCGACCTACGCGTGATTGTTCGGTATCATCATGTATGTACATATTATATACTAAACGAAAATCACTAGGTATGGTTTTTATCCCTTGTTATTACTATCTATATTAACTGCTGCAAATAACAATAATAAAAAAAAAATAATAATAATAATACAGTTTCTGCAGCTCAAATATGAGCAGAAAGCCATTGTCCGAACAAGCATGCAGTAAAATATTCAACTCGTTTATCTCGCCCATTTTTGTTTTTTTTTCGTTACTCTCATGCTGTCACAATCCAAACCTTACAAACAAAACCACCCCGGTATTTTTTTTTCCCGACTCTTCGGTAAAACATAAAAAAAAAAAATCAATAATAATATAATTTAATAACAATTAATATGCTACCACGACCAGTATAATATAATATATTCGCTATACCGCTTACTCTTGGCCAACACACACACACAAACAAACGCGCGTATACAACTCTACCCCTCCAAAACCAAATATCAATTTACACGACCAACGTACAACAATAACAATACCATGCAGCGTCTTATCAATCAACTCGTTATCAAGTATCAAATAAATGGGCATTTTGCCTGTTTGGATTAAACTACAGGCGAAAAAAAAAACATTTAATTAACGGTACGCACGCTCTTGAGACGCTGTTTTGGGCAAAGCCCAATTCACACCTGCACGGCGTGACGTGACATGACGTGACGTGACGTGACAAACCGGTGCGAATTGGGCTCAATGACCCGCTCTTTTAACGGGGTCGACAATAAACATGTGTTTAGTGACGTTTAGGACGCGAAAAGAGGAGGAGTGGGAGAGGAGTGTGGGGTGTGGGCGTGTGAGGGTTTTCCAAAGTCGGTGCAGGGTTGTCCGGTGAACGATGGGGCGATGGTAATACGTACATTGCAATCTGGACGAGGACGACGGGTTGGAATGGCATTCCATCTGTTGGCCGCCCATACGTCGCCGTTGCGCTTGCTCTGCCGTGTCCGACGAGTCCAGGGAGAAGCTCTTCATGCGCGAGTTGAGTTTCGGCCGCCGCGGACTGTGCGGAGCTGTAAATGTTCACACACGGGCGGGCAACCCGTGGTCAGAGAGACGGGAGGGAAACACGGTCATCAGGTTGACCACGAGCAAACGGCCGGGCGAGAGAACCGGATCCCGCTTCATCCTACTTCCGGTTCGTGTATCCCGTAACATCATTTTAGATAATTTAAAATAACGGACGGTTCGGGGGTCTTAGAAGCTTATCGCCTGAGCAATGAGTAATGGCAGAGGACTTCTAGCATTTGCATATTTTTGTTTTGCGCAACCGTAAAAAAAGAACAACCATAAAGAAATTTGTTTTATGTCCATGACAAAGCCGAATCTGTACATTTTGCATATTTAGGTCTTTTTTCGCTTCTTGAGACATTTTTAAGTTATACATGCTTTTTCGAACTTTTTCTTAAAAAATAATTTATCAAAACAATAATCAGTAAAATGTTTTTAAAATATTGGTCATTTTTTTAAGGTCAGAAGAATGAACATCAAATTATAAAAATAAAAAAATAAATTAATCAATATACCTGTCTTTAATAAATTTTACATTAATTACAGTATAATTAAGTCAATAAATAGTAAATGTTTCATTAAATCAATGTTTTTATTCACTTATTGGTCGTGGACTCATAGTATAGCATATACATATAGTTTAATTTAGTCAGTAATAGTTTTTCTCATTTTAAATGTTTTTTAAGTAAATTGTTTGTTTAACTAAATCGCTAAAAAAATGTTTTAATGCATATTTTAGGGTTTTTAAGCGCATAAGTGTTTGCATATTTAGTGTTTTTTTAGAGCTACAAGTCCTCTGCCTGAGTAACAAGTAATGTGGCATTCGTTGTGTTTGTTCGAATAGTGTATTTTGTTTATGATTCACACAAGACACGCTACTAAATATTGAATATTTATCATATCGAATAGATATTTCGCTTTAAGCATAAAAAAAAAATCTGTTGGGTTTATCGGTTCTCTCGCTTTGCAGTTTTACTCGTGGTTATTGTTTTTCTTTGCGTCTAAGCTATGTATATATTTATAATATTAATATAATATGTAATACAGTGTACATGCGTTTACTAAACAATACAATAATTATAACAAGTATAATTTGATATAGTATATATGCAGCATGCAAACGTTACTGTAGAGTCAGACCAAAACACAGCTGCAGTCTGTACGACTATACGATTTTGACAATCACAAAACGACAGTGGTGTTAAAATAGAGTGGATCGAGATCACCGGGGGGGGGGGGGGCATAACACTGATGAGCTTATAAATGCGATATACCTAATGTTAGAAAAGCCCAGTAATTTTCCAGCTGGTTTAAAGTGTGTTCAGTCGGACAACGCGGATCGTAGCGCCGCGTCAAGCATAACATAATAATAATAAATGAATAGGAAAAAAAAAGCTTTTCTCATTGAACAAAAAGAAAGGAAAGAATGTAAGACCCAGCGGGGCCGATGACATTTGTAATCGCTGACACTCGGATAATAAATTGAAATACACACATACAGACACACACACACACTTTTATATAATATGTATGTATGTATGTGACAGCTTTAGGTGTCTGCAATGGAATCGATCGGTTAGACCAGAAACCGGTGCGGGTATGTTTGGGGTGGTAGACTCCAAGTTGTCACTAGAGGATTACTCGAAATAACGTGCTTTCGTCGTGTGATGAAAATTGCAAATGGAATGGTATGTGTATAGCAAAATGACACATGGCACAAAAAAAAAAAGAAGCAATACAACTATTTTTTTCTTCAGTATGATTGCTTTTTTTTTCTCTAGATAATTCTCGTACACATAAGCTAATAATAATGTATAATTGTTATGTTTGGGGCGATGGTCACACTTTATTTTGCTGCGACGGACTTGGAAACGACAAAGGCTGACAAGGTGCAATAACACGAGTCGCTCGGTAACGGGAAAAATGTGTGTTTGTGTAACAATCAATTATTGTGTCTGAACCGAGCTTTGAAAACGTGCACGTGACAGTTTGATGGGCAGTTTAATTATTCAAACATAAAAAAACCTCAAACGGATATTTTTTCCCCGATCGATTTAAGGTTGTTTGACCCGACCGGGTCGTCGGACTTTGGCGAAATTTGTCTACGGACGACTAGCTATTGTCTAAAGATTTATTGAAAAATTATCGTTAATTAATCGAAACTGGCCTAGGACAGTACTTGCGTCGGTGCACATAACATGGATGTTTCGTTCTAAACGGTGCTGCAAACGCCTGTTCTACGACTAAACTGATCATCAGACTAGGTACTTATGTATGTATATAATATATACACGTTTATCGTTATTATAGCACTAGTATAAATTGTATATTATGTTTCTAAGTACAGACCGGTAGGGACTGATCGAGTCCAGAAATACTTGTCCTGTCCGGGAGAAGAATAGCCGGTGGTCTGGCCTTCGTATGTATAGAAAAAAAAAAACAAACAAAAAACGGTATAACAGGTGAATTTAAGAGAAAAACAAATTAAGTACAATGTTGAATTAAACAATAACAAGCTTGGTAGACACCCAGTGGTATTATATTATTAATATTATATTGGAGATGAGGGCGATTCGGGGACGACATGCTCGTCATGACAACATGTATGATGATCATTATTGAATAGGTCACAATAATATTGCGATGCCATTTTTACGGCCTACAAATGAAAAAAAATAAAAACCATAAAACTCTACCGTGCCACGTCTCGAAGATAATATAACAGGTATAACAGGACTTATAAAGTAAAAAAAAAAAATTGAAAAAAACAAAAACGGTCGTATAAACATCACGTGACAATAATAATATTGTCAAATGATCACAGCCATTGTCTTTATCTACGTGTGAACAATATGAAATATCAATATAGTAATAGGTAGAGGTAGTGTATATAGACTAATAGTAAACGAAGAATTCGAAAAAGATTGAAGATAATCGAATCGTAGGTTTATTAGAAGTATAGCAGAGAAAAAGCAAGGGTTCGTCGAGAAGGTGCAAGAAGAATAGAAAACCATTAAAAAAGTATTTATACATGTAATATATATATATATATATATATATATATATATATATGTATATACATACTTAAATAAATACATACATACATACATATATATATATATATATATATAGTTGTGTCGAATAATAATACATTTATTAGTAAAAGGAATCGACCGAAATGCACGCCATACGACCTGTAATCGCTTGTGGACGAATAGAGCTTCCCGAAGTCCGGAATCTATCAACTGTTTCAGTTTATCCGTTAAAGTAAATGACAAAGTATTAATTTCATGATTTTACCACAGATTAGACAAAACCAGATGGTTTGGTGCACTTTCCATTTAAGCAAAACCAAAACCCTCCTCAATTCAGACCTGAGCATCGCTGAATTTGCAAAGCGCACCATCCGGTGCTATCTAATCTGTGATTGTACAATCAGCTCTTATCGTCGTCGGTCACAGTCGCTTACAAGTATTTCGGTCGTTATTTTTACGCCGTGATATTATAGGAAATATATAAACAATTTTCTCTTAAAAATCTAAAAAATAATAATAATAATAACAACAACACATCAATAATAATAAGAGAATATCATAATAATGATGATGATGATATAATAATAATGATAACGTTATAAATTGTGACAATAAATATGTATAATATAAAGGTTTTTTTTGGAAAAGTAATTTTGGTGGGTTATTAATATAGGAAAATAATAATAATAATAAATATAAGGGATGTGTAGACGACACGGTTAATGTCATTTTTTGAAATAGAAATTCTTCTTGGCCGCCAAGACGGCTCCGGCCATCAAGCTCCGCCGACGTCCGGCCTGTTGGTCCCGTTGGTCGCCGTCGTCTTGGGCGTGGCTGGGCAACTCTAAAGGCTGCCCGAACGGTCTGGTGCCGGCCGCGTACCTGACCTGCTCTGTTTTGACAGGGCGACAGGGCAAGCGAGTGCGGGGCGAACGAGGAGAAAAAAAAATGAAAAAAAAAATAAAGTAAAAATCATAAAAAAAAAACCTCAAGGGAATAAGAACGGTATGTGAAAAAAAAATAATAACAATACAAGTAAATAATAAAGAATATTATAAGAACGGTAGCGATATTGTTGTTTGTAACTTTATAGGTAGGGAAAAAAAACAGAACTGGATTTTGATGTCACGCATGAATGAAGAATAAAATATGTAAGAAAAAGAAAAAAAAAAAAGAAAAAAAAAACCAATATCCGTACTTTCGGGTAACGATATCGACCGGCCTTGTGTTTGGGACCTGCCACCGAACATGGTAAAGCTCTTGACGCCGCCGAACAGTCTCCGCCTTCTGGGCGCTGCCGATTCTGGGAGTCTGCAGGAGGTCGAAGACGTGCCGACGACGTGTGATTCCGCTAGGATAGGACACACACGGTGCGCGAAATCAGAATATATATCCGCAATGGGCGTGTCGAATACATGGTATGATATTTAATAATTATTATAAATGGTACATTTTTTTATCAATATACCTACTATACCTAATAAGTGTATACGAGTGTATAATATATTACATATTGTGTAGGCGTAACCGAACTCGATTTGTGGACCGCGTGGGGAGGCAGCCATTTTGTGTAGAGATTTCATGGAAAGTAAAAATACTACACAGAATAGATAGAAGGCAGAATGGTCGCTACTTGACAATGTAAACAAAAAAGTGACGGCCGTGTTCCAATATCGTGCCTAATCGTAATAAATTATATCTATGTACGACTAAAAATAATAATGTATATAGATATAATATTTATTATGGCATTACACATTTGGAAGATGGCCGACGCGTTTTTGTGTGATAAGTTTACCGTGTTAATTTTTATCAGTATCCTCCCTTTGATAACAAGATGACATCTCCGTCGTAAATTCGATAAATCCCACGGAAAAAACAATAACCGTTCACAAAATTGCAGCCTCCTGCCAGTGGACATTTTCATGAGCAGTTACAGTTATAGTGTCATATATAATAAACTATATTGCTAACTAGTGATAGGAATTGAAGTCGACGTCCGCCATATTTGTGGGTATTATATATATATGTGATTATATGTTATCAACGTTGTTATAAACAGTGATAACAGTTATAAACATGTGATAAGGTTCTAATTTAGGAAAAATATGGCGGAAAATGGTAACTTCATAATTATCGCCATTGGTGGCATGTACACTTGACAATGTAGTTTATTATATATATATATATATATATATATATCTGAGCATGATGATCATATATATTAGAATAAATATCATGGAAAAAACGATAACTGTTCACAAAATGGTAGTCGACTATAGGCTATACGCGCTCCATGTAATAGCATGTTTTTCCATGTCCCAAGCAAATTCGGAATAGGGCCCTGGTACTCTCAAATTCCCAAACTGACAGAGCCCCTATCAGAGTCTAATCGTGATACATGGAAAGCAAATTTTGGAATGACACCCAGCGGTAAAACACACCCACGTTAAAAAGAATAACGTTCAGAGAATACAACATTGACGGCTTTGGTTTTGCTCGTTAAACAGAATTGATTAAATTAAATATTGTTCATAATACAGATTTGCATAGTACCTCTATCGAAAGTCTGTAATTTCTATGGGTTAGATTAGGATACCCTATAAGTGTAAACGAGGTGGTTGGGGATGCGATTGAAAATTATATCAGGTCTCTGTCAAATGGAAGCTTAGGACAAGAGTGGCCCAGTCCAAATAGTAGGGACGAAAGAGAAGGATATATTGATATATATTGACTTTAGGGCGACATTCGATTTTAATACACAGTAATATATTATACACTCATACGCATTACGTTTAAGTGCCGCCTAAGAGGTACCGGGCCGTATGAGAATCGTTATAATATTGTATAAAATGTAAAAAAAAAAAATAATCATTATTAATACATAATACTCTGACCGATGTACAACATATATATATATTATAATATATTTGTAGGAATTTGTGTACATTTATATGCCGTACACGATTACCGCGTGTTAAATAACGAAAACATTACAATACATATAGTATAGTGTAATTCGAAATTTTATATATCACTGTTTGTATGTATAAAAGTTCAGCTTGCCCAAAGTCGAGAAGCGATAACATGCAACTTTTATGAAAAAAAAAAAAAAAAATTGTGTATAAAAAACATAACATATATATATATATAATATTTTTAATATGTATAGAGGTAGGTAAGTAATAAAATAAAAGCGCTTTTGTTTATTTCGATTATTATGTACAGCAAGCAGAAAAAAAAATGTATAATATGTAATATGTATGATACATGTAGGTATATAATAATATAAAAAAACATATATATATATATATATATATGTTAATAATGATACTTTATAGTTGTTATTTACAAGTGTATATATGTATTATATTTATTTAATAATGCAGGGTGTTTCAAAAAGAACGGTGGGGTTTCAAACGGCTGTGGGTTGTGAAGTATTGGACTTACAGCACTGTGGTAGGGCTTAAAAGAAAAATGGAGGAGTTGACAAGTTTCGAATGACTGTCACTAGATGTCTCTGTCCCTAGATGTTTCAAAGTGGTAACTGAATTACACTTGACAACCCACAGCCGTTTGAAACCCCAGCATTCTTTTTGAAACACCCTGTATGTAACATATCGTAGTAAGTGTATGTAAATAGTAAAACGCAAAACAAAAAAAGTGTAGATAACGAGAGAGGATGAACGTGAGGGGTAATAAGTATCATGTCCGGCGCCGGTTGATCCGAGTGGATGCGGTTAGTTTAATATACATAAGTCACATAATATTTTCACTACACATACATATTATAATATCGTAACGAATGTTTAAATGTAAATGTATTTAGAACGGGATAGGGCGAGAGAGACACGAGACACAAGTATAAGTTCATACCTGGAAACGGTTTGGAGACGATGAGGAGTTTGGTGGCTGACGAAAAAAAAAAAAAAAATACAACAACCAAGAACAACACTTGGAGATGAAAGTAATATTTTTTAAAATGTTTTTTTTTTTTATAGACGTTCACACGTAAAATTGATAGAGACGCATATGTAACATTTTTTTGTGATAGCAGAATGAAATACAGGTATATATTATAGTATACCGCAATATTGTTTATAGAGTGTTCGATAAGTTTGGGTTTTTTCCCACTAAAGTTTCAAACGTGAAATGAGCTTATTGAACACCCTGTATATATATATACAGCCGCGCCCCTTTGTCAACGTATTATACCCGCTAAATGATTATCATAATGGCCAGAGAAATGAGATTAAAAAAGTGGGGGGGAAGGGTCATTGGGTTGTAACGGGGTACAATTAATATACGCTTTGCGTCGTGACGCAGTATAATACGTTAACGCGTAACATAATGATATAGTACGTATACAATATAGATATAGGCGAAAGTGATCAGAAATAGAGAGAAAGAGAGAGTGAGAGAGAGAGAAAGTGAGAAAGAGAGTGCGATAATTAATTAATAATTTTTTTTTTAACACAACACGAGCAACAAGCACAAGCAACACAAACACACTACGCACACACTACGCATGCATGACGATAATAATAAAAAAAAAAAGTTGAAAAATGAAAAAACAATGGTTGTCGACAACACACAATGGTGGTCGTGCAGACCTGAGCTGGACGCGATTGGCGGTGACGTGACGTTCAACGTGGCCGCGATGCTCGGTCTACCTAAACTGTTGGGCGCGTGCTGTTGGTGGTGTTGGGATCTGGGTTCGGCCGGCGGCCCGACAATGGGTTGCTGCCGGCCGCCGCCGCCGCCGCTGGCCCTCGGCGATGTCCGGATTTCGCCGGCCTGCTTCAACACCTGGTACACCTGGTCCACCTGTTCGGTCTGAGGCTGCTGACCACCGCCGCCGCCGGCAACACCACCACCACCGCCGTCCGCACCGGATATTACTGCGCATACGGGTTGAGAAAGAACAAAAAAAAAAAAACACCAAAACCAAAAAAAAAAAAATGTCTGCCAAACACCACACGGACCACAAAGACGAAACGTATTACAAAAAAAAATAAAATAAAATGTAAAAATGTATTCAGTGTAATATGGTTGTAGAGAAATGTAAGTATAAAATATTAATATGTATATATATAATCAAAAAAAATGTATAAACTAAAATCCAAAAATCGTTTGAAAAAAAATCGGTTTTTTTTTCTCAAAAGGTTTTTAAATTTCTTTTTTTTTTTTGTTTTTTTTTTGTTTTTGGTTTTGTGCATTTTTTCACACCATTCTGTGTAAAACAAACAGTTCGAAAACTCCACACGTCAGTATGTACATATAATAATAATAAACACATCTAACTCGAGTAAATATATTATATCTACAAAAAAAAAAAAAAAAAACAGAACAAATCATAAGAAAAAATATGATTATAATATGTTGTACGCTTTCAGCTGACAATGGATGTAGAGTAAAATATAATATACTAATTTATAGGTACACACAAAATGTAAGTAAGTACTCTGGTTATAGGTATATCTACTACTGCTAGGTACATCTACCGTAGCACAGTCGGTTATTATTATATATAATACTATTATGACTTTATTAGTTCACACGACGGTTTGTGGTTTAGGTAAAATCGCATTGGAATCGTTTAAATATTTATAATTTATAATATTGTGAATTTAAATTACAAGAAAAGACTGTATTTGAAAAAAATTGTGATTTTTTTTATTGTACTAGTGTAGAGTGAAATAGAGAATGTAAAAAAGGAATTTTGTTTTTATGCTCATTCAAAACGAGGACCGTATTTTATGTGAGCCAAACTGTAGTCGGTTTTTTGTTTAATACAATAAAGTTTTATCAGATAACATTATCAATATTGGTAAAATTGATATCGTCTCGTTTGACGAGTCACCTATTATAATTCATGACAAGCTAGTGCGAGTTGACACGTGTTCGGTCCATATTTCCTATGCCACACTACCGACTGTTGTTTTTAAGGTCAATAAATGTGCAAGTTTTACAACGGTGATTTGATGTAAAATACACAACAGCTGGCCAGACTACCGATTGTGATGTAAAAGCTTAATGGCCACTATAAACCGGGCGACATCCTTTTTCTGTGCCAAAACCTTATTCCCTTTAAGAATTTTTATAGTTCATACATTCAGGCCGGCTGATACGAAGATGATTAGTTAATGATCAGTCGAAGTAACAATTTACACTACCTATACCAAGTGTTCACTGTGTATGTTTTATGTATAAATAAAATATTAAAGATAAAGTACTATTGTGTCATACTGTGTTTACATCTCATAAAATGTGTTTTTTTTTTAAGAAATGAAGTGTACCTATCAAAATTTGGATCAGCTAACTACTAGGTACTTAGGTAAAATAAACCTAAGACTTGTGTTTTCTCCAGAGAGTCAGAATAAGTAAAATATTACGAAGTTAGCAAAAGGGCGAGCCACAGTGTGGCCAGAGTAACGAAATTAAATTTCTCTACTTCATATTTTTTAAAGTGTTTCACTACTGCGACCATGTGATGGCAACTATATGACTTATCATTTTTTATAATATTAAAACGGATTTGTTATTAGGCTAGATACAGAAAATTGTATGTTGCCAATTTTGTGTGTTACACTTTCACATTCAGTAAGATTAGAGACAGAGTTTGTATCATACTATCACGTTATCATTTTTATTCATCTATTGATCTGTATAGTTTTGATAATGGTGATATTGTGCAGTGTTTAAAAACTTAAAAATGTATTTATTTTTATAAATAAAGTAAGAATAATAAATAGTAAGAAATACTGATAACAAGTAATCAATATTAACGAAGGTTGATAGTGATAACATTACAGATGTCTGATGAGGTTTCTTTTGACCACACTGTAAAACAGAAGGATTTTTATTTTGATTATTTGGTCACACTGATCTGAGATGGTTAAAGTTTATTTACATTTTTTGTTTTTTTTCAAAAGTGCACTATTATTTATTCTGCGGTCATTCTGTCGCTCGACTTGTTGATTGCTTCGTCGCTGAGTACAAGACATTATAATATTATGTTACAGCTCTATAATATGTAGTTTTATACTATCTGTCTCTGTTTGTCCAGCTATAGAACTATGTATAATTTATTTAGTTATTCCGTGTAATATATGATAACGTTTCATCGCTTCAAGGACTTTTAATGAAATGTTTACCTTTCGCATGTAATTATTTTTTATCGCCATTTAATGACAAGGTAGTTTAGATAAGAAATGTCTTGAACGGAATTGACGGTCTTGAGAAATGTCTTGCTAAATAATTATCTAGCCTGGTTTTTTTTAAAAATTTTTATTGACGGACATAATAAATTTAAACCAACTGCAAAAACTGATTTGTTAAGTTTTGACAAGCCGTCAATCTTTTTTTTTTTGTTAAAATAATAATCGATACGTCGACCTCGTAAATCACCGCAACAGCCTAATTGTTTTTTTTAACCGAATTTTATCATTCTTCATAACGCCATCGCGTTTTCTATTGTTTGGCATTTGTGTCAAACGATTTGGAAAATAATCGAAACGAATTAAAAAATCATAACGAATAAAAAATGTGCTACCTAAACCCTAATGGTAATAAATTAACAGTAATAATCGTAGTTGGCTGAATGTTTAAGCGAAGTACAAATAAGCAACACGTTTCAACATTTTGACAAATGTTCCATTCGAAAACTATTTTCACTCACATTTTCGTCTACTTCGATTTTTTTTTCGAATTCATTTCCTGGCGATTTCTAAAAATGTCTACTCTGGCTACTGTGTTTGTGAAAACACATATCTTCTATATGGATTGTATTGCAATCAACGCCTGTCTGTCTGTCTGTATAACTTGTCAGGCTAATTGCATTTGTCTGATCTATTTATATGGCTGCGGCGCGGTTTAACGATTGCCGTTTACGGTACTTTGTCGGCTTGTCGCTACTTAAACAAATCCGACAAAGAAATCGGGTGCTCTTATGTCGCCCATAGACATATTTTTGTCAACAGCAACGGCTTTTGCGGACGGGGAGAAGGTGGGAAAAAAAACTTGACTCGAATACGGATTATCGGATTTAAAGAAGTACATAAGACACGGAAAGTTTTCGGCTAACAGAATTACTGTAGTTTTTCCAATGCGACGTTGGTGAAGTGCTCATCGAAAGAAAAAAACAGAATATCATGCGAATTTATTTTCCACGCCACTGCCAACTGAACAGACACCGTCATCAACGTCAAGGGCCGGTTTTTTATACCGTCCTACGACGAAAAAACATATTTTTACCTTCATAAAATATGTGTATTTCAAACGAATTCTTTTATACTATACAACAGTAAACTTTTTTTAGTGTGGAAAGCTAATTTTTAAAACATAAATGGTCGGTTAGGCGTATCAACGTTTGTTGGAATTTCTAATCAAACCATTTCCAGCAAGGGTTGGATTTCTAAGACGCCATCATCAAATTGACATAAAATTTGGATTCTGCGACCGTAATATAAAACTGACCGTTTTTGGAATAATTCTGAAACACTGTTATCTGTTAAAAGAAAAAAAATCAATTTACAACATAACCTAGGTGTTGTGGAAACTAAACATGGCGAAGGACCCGGAACGGTTGTCCCACACGCACACGTGTGGCCTCGTTTGGAACATTAAACGGATAGTCAGCAGCTACATGTGTTTGGCGAAAAAACATGTATGTAATTGTGGCCGGATTTCCTAGTACTATAATTATTTAGATTAAATCGATAGATACACCGTCGAAATGCGTTCGTAGAATAGACACGGTGACGTACATGGTTTGACCTTTTCAAGAAAAAAAAAATGTTATACTCCACCACTAATAAAACGTTTTATACAACAGACACAAAAACCGTGAAATGGAATGGAATGAAATCAGCGTGACCGCGGATTCGAGCATAGCCGTTTTATAATAATATCACAGATTAGAAATTATTATCTAATCCGTGATAACACAGTCAGTTATGATTGATAAGAGGAGTTTGTACAACGATAATGCAAAATAACTGCACAATAATTGATCTACTAATTCATGCGGCGTCTACACTGATAACTGGCACCTGAAATGGACGCGCCACCATGTTGTTTACAATTGCATGGAAAGTAAAACCGCTACGTTACTTTTCCATGATGAATGATAAAAAAAATGTTAGGTTACCTAACCGACTATGAAAAACAAACAAATTATTATTTTTGTACAAGTTAAAGATAAAGATGTAAACACAGTAAAATTGTAAGTTTAAAAAAAACCACAGTGAACAAACTGTATACGAAACTTCGTATATAAGACACTGTATTATCTATTATCTATATCTTTGTTATCTATTCGTGTTAGTGATCAAGCTCTAATCGCGCTGTATCCTGATATTATGTTATATTATGAAACTACAGCCGTTGGATTATTTAAAAAAAAAAAAATGAAATGTGTTCAATGTTAATCGACTATGCAATAGATTTTCACATATGTATAGATAAATAAACACATCAATCAAACCGAACAGCGTGCATGGATTTTGTACAAAAGAAAAAACATATATATATATAAAATTAAAATAAATAAAAAAATGAAATAAAAAAAAGATAAAAAGTGAAACAAAAGTCTGTAATAATAGTATGTATAATATATATATATATATTTTTCGTCGATATATTTACAACCCTAAACAATGTACATAGTGATTATGGTATGTACACGTGACGACTTTGGAAAGCTGAATTTTTTTGTGTAAAAAAAAAAAAAAAAATAATATTAAAAAATAAATAACGAAACAATAATAATAATAAATTTAACGTTTCAATAAATAAATATATAACGGAAAATTTCAAAAAATGTGAAAGAAAGTTATTGAAAAAATTTTTTTTTTTTTTATTCAGACCGTAAACTAGAGAAAAAAAAATTAATTAAAACCGTGTGTGTAGATATCAATAGTTGTAAATGTGTAAACACACACAGATACACAATATTGTTTTTTTTTTGTGCCCAGCACCCGTGATACGGCACTCGGCACTATATACTATATACGTCCTGCAATTATTATCCAAACAACTATAATAATAATAATGGTAAAGAAAAATTATAGAATCGTTTGACAACGATGAGTTATGTAGATTTTGATTAAAACATTTAAAAGCAACGCGTTTCGATAAGCTCACCTTCGTCGTCCATTGTTGCTGCCGAAGCCGAAGATGACACGTTCATGGCGGCCATTTTGGTTTCGATTTCCGACGTGGACTTTTGCCGGCGCAACAACCGCGACTTGACCTGACAACGGGTGGTGACTTTTTCCTGACAGTCCAAGTGCACGTTCATCTTGCACACCCGACATTTGAGACCTTGTCTGGTGTGCCCTGTGACAATTACAAAAAACATGCAATAATATTAACACTGGGTAAAACGAACCAAGAAGAATCAAGAAGACTAGCGACGGTGTGACCACTTTGAATGAAAACTTATAAATAGAAATTTATAAATACCGCACCCTGTATCACCAATTTCATACGACAAAAAAAAACATAGTTGTTACAAACTTAATAACGGATGTTATCCCTTATCACTTATATTTTGTCTCTTATCACATATATCTAATCTTTTAACATGCATACCTTATCACCCATGTCTTATCTCTAATCTAACAGAATGTGAAAGTTTAACCCGAAAATGGCAACACAAAATTCTTGTATCCAGCCCAATAACAATAATATATCCATGTTAATATTATAAACACTAATATCATATGTTTTGTATCATATGGTAGTGGTAGGGAAACAATTAAAAAATATGAACTGGAGAAATGTAATTTCGTTGTTCTGGTCACACGGTAGCTGGCGTTTTCGCTTACTTCGTAATATTTTACTTATTACGACACTCTGGTGGGGCGTTAAATTAAGTGAAAAAAAAAACTAATTAAACTTGTTAGCTTTTTTGTTTTCCAAAACGGTACAATCGATTACACTTCCGGCTAAGCGAACTGCGCAAATACTTATAATTTTTTTTTTTTTTTGATTGAATAATTAAAATAATTTTAAACGGCAAAGTAACAGCATTTTCCGATCGCTCGTTTTGCTACATTCGCCGAAGACAACTACTTGTAATAACATGCGGATGTGTCCAAGGGAAAAAACCATAAAGCAATAACATACAATATTATGTAACATTTAACTAATTAAAACCTAAATAATAATCTTATTCGACAATTTAAATTCTACATCATAATAGGTCAGGGGTTGGCTATAGTGTGTTGCAAAAAGTAGGACTTAAGTCAGTCTGTCAAAGATAGAAGAAAATAAATATCGTTCAACATATCGTGGTGATAGATATAAATGATAACAGTATTTTGAAAAAATATCGTTTTTAAATTTGAAAAAATATTAAATTTATTATTATTAATTTGTAAATAAGTTTTAGCTATTTATTTGTATTAATTAACAACAATGCCTAGTTGTTTTATTTGTTCAACAATAAAGACTTTTTTTTCCTTTATGTGGTCATACTGGTTTTAGTCCTACTTTTTACTTCGCTCTTGCATACAAGCTAGTATATTTAGTTAGTTTATCTTTTTTTATTATTACTCTTTATTCCGAAATTCCCAGAGAGGCGAACGACAGAGCAAAATGAATCCGTTTTGGAATATATATATATATTTTTTAAATCTCTATCGTTCAGTTTGTCTTAGGGCTGCGGCGCAAAGACAGGCACGGTGTTGACACCGAGAGCTGTGGATAATAAAATGTATATATTTCACAAACAAGACCGTGCAGAAAGGAGAACAGGGGGAACCACCGACGATAGAGCGTCAACCAAATTAGATTTTCGGGGCTTCCGCAAGTTTCGACGACGGTGTGGCCGTACACACACACAAATTGGATTCGATTAGGGGCTTCCAATGTACAACAACACCGCCTAGCCCTACACCGTCGTCTGTGCCGGCAGCACCGGATAAAACACTACGTGAACCGAATAGGGAATAATTCGATACATGCATAATATATATATATATATATACATGCCTTCTCCCGAATCCCTCTCCTTGCCTCTCCCGGTCTTCCAAAAGCACACACACACACATCCGCATCCGACAATTATTATTCGTACGTGTCCCGAAGAAACCACACAAATGGCAGCTGTAGCAGGTACACAGCAGCTATTTCCGTATAGCTCGGTAATCCGCAGGTATCCGAGCCCATGACATATTCGGATTTGGACGGCGAAACCGAAATGCCAGCAATGTTCCATTCGAGAATTTGCGGAATTTCCTACCGTAACTGATTCACCGCCTCGGGCCTTTTGCATACAATAATTGCGGTCGAATCGACGTACTGTTAAGTAAATGCACGTTTTATATTCAATATATAACACAGATTAGATAAAAAAATCAGAAGGTGCACTGTTCACTAGTAGGAGGCCGCCATTTTGTCACAGTCATTGTTTTGTCCATGATATTTATTGTTTTTTCTATGATTTATGTATATAATATATGCCCATAAATAATAAAAACACGGATAGGACATTTCCAATCGAGGCAACTCTATTTTTGCGGTACTGAATTGATAAGAAATTGAGGACGTTTGTTTACAGTACTACTAACCCGTGATAAAAATGGAATTCGAAGTCCGCCATTTTTGTGAGATTTAAGTGCGTATAAAATAATATTTATATATCTATGATTTTGTGTTACCAACTTAACTTATAACTGTTAAAAATATATTTACACGTGATAAGGTTCTAATTCCCACAAAGATTGCGGAAAATGGTATCTCCAATTATCTCTATTGGCGGCATGTACACTTAGCAATCGGTTTTATCAAATATATGAAGGTGTTGTCATCATGTTGTTATCGACTAACCTAACATTTTATCAAGTATTATGGAAAAGTAACGTAGAATTTTTACTTTTCATGAAAACGGTACACAAAATGGCTGCCTCCCGGGTTGGGACATTTTTCAATCCGAATATTATGCGTTCCACGTACTGAGTTCAGTGCCTCCTCGGCTTAGTGTGACCACGTTCTGGAAATGATATTGTTCTACAAATCTGGGCTTTGGTTTGTTTACACTTTCATTAATTCCCTTTCTTTAATAGGGATTGTGATCATCTGATTTTATCTAATCTGTGTTAATATATAGAAAATATTACTCGACTAAAACAAACTTGTATTTGCTTTACTCCGATATTATTAGAGCTGTCCAATAATCCTGTCACAATAGATGTCTTGTGCAATGCAGATATAAAAAAAGTATTTTACACGGTCTACGATTCTATTTAATAATAAATAAATTCAAAGCCTTTGGGGCAGGCAATCTCCAGTGTTCTCTCTTATAACTACTCGTTGACAGATTTCAATAGATAGATAATAAATAACATGATGATTAAAATTAGAATATCAACTAAATTAATCGTATTGCAGCCACAACAGGATCACTACAAAGTAGTCAGATATCTCATATTTATCAAATTTAGCAAAACTGTTTAATGTACAGAAAATATTTAGGATTTTCCAAAAATCTCAAGTGAAATTATTTAATAAAACCAAATAATTTCAGTTATACAGATATTATAAACCTTCAGATAAAAGGAATTCCTATTTGATGTATTACCGGAATTCTCAGACAGTGTAATAACCTGAATAATTTTAGTTTCTTCGAGGAAAATGGTTTTAAAAGTATAAAAAAAATTAATATTTTAACTTTTCTTATTTATTATGTTAAAATGTTTAACTACTACAGTATAATATAACTCAGTGCAAATCTACATACTTTTTTTTTTTTTTTTACTTGAACTTTAATAAGTTATTGTTTAATATTATATCAATAAATAAAAAAAAATGTATTTAGTTATTCATGTTATTTAAGTAAGCAAATACTCTTAAATAACCACAATACGCAGTTATTGTAAACGTTTTGCTGTAGTCAATACATTTTACTCTCAAGTTTTAGTTATAACAATTATTCTATTGTCTAGAAATATTTTGGAATTTCTTTTTCTTTTTTTTTTTGTGCTTGGAAAAATTGTTAAGCCTCTAAGTTTTACAAATATAAAAGTGAACGGGCACGTGACGTTTTTCAAGAGTTAATTTCCCAGACGGTTTTGTTAATTATTAAGGATAACGTCCAAATGTGGGAGTGACTTCTGGCTGTCACACCTGACTCGTTGCTCGTTGCATGATACACCTTATTGGAATTATAAATGAACACTTCTCGAGTTCATTATATCCTCGGTAATTAGTTGTTTCGCTCAAACTTGTAAGGTGGACATTTATATACTTTGTACCTTTCTTATATCTGACGATGAATCAAATCAAAGTATCTCTCACCGGGGGGTCACAATAGGTAAATTATTATGAAGTAAGCTAAAAGGCGACGAGCAGTGTGGCCAGAATGACGAAATTACATTTCTCTGATGCCTTTTTAAAAATTTGTTTCACTACTGACAGCAACCATGTGATACATAAAACACGTTGCTTATCAATTATAATATTATCATATGAATTTATGTATAATAAATTAGACCGTTAACTAGTGATAAGAATCGAAGTAGTCGTCGACGATATTTGTGGGGGATTTATGAGTGTATAAAATAATTTGTATATCTGTGATTCTGCGCTATCAATTAATCTTGTAATTGTTATAAACAGTGATAACAGTTATAAACACGTGATAAGGTTCTAATATTCCCACAAAGATGGCGGAAAACGGTAACTTCAATTATTTTTATTGGCAGCATGTACACACTAAGCAATGTAGTTTATAATATATATACATTTGTGTATGAAATTCAAATTGATCTGTATAGTTGATAACGCGAAGGATATTATACCGTGCAGCGTTGTGCAACTTGTAAAAAAAAAAGTGTTTATTTAAGTGGTCACACTGTCGCTCGCCTTCTTGATTGCTACGTTGCCGAGTACTAGGCGTTAAAATTTATTAGTTTTATACAATTATTGTAGTCTGTGGGATATAAAAAAAATAGCTGACAATTATTGTAAACGTTAAGCTAAAAGTTTTAATATCACGCTGTAATGGCGAGCGGTATTAATGGCGGTACCAGTTTGGAGTTTATCGGGATACATTTTGTTTGTCAAGAACTTTTCGATATTTCCTCCCAAAAACGAAGACAAATTATACAACATCCGACGTTTTACAACGACGCAATAAACCAAACCAATATCATTGTGCCACCGCCAGCGTCACGGTCTGCTGTGTAAAATACTTTTCGGGACAGTGAAGTTTATTTCGGTGATTTTTTTTTGATGGGCCAGATGGAAAAAAAAAAACAGAGTGAATTCTTTAACAACAACAACAACACCGCCGAGTCATTTGATACGACCAACCTTTTCAGTCGCCACTGACAAAAGCTCGAGATATAACGGTAAAGTATTGAATTACCTAAAAGAAAATATACCTATCGTGTAAATTGAATTTTACTTTGAACTTTCAAAATTTGTTCAAAAAACTACGCTAAACTACTTTTTTTAATGTCGACACAAATTAAAAACGTTTATGTTATAAAAAAAAATAACGAAATAAATAAATAAAATATATTTTTCATTTAATTCCTATATTTATTAAGTACTTAAATAGTATTCAATAAATTGTTTTATTTAATCCGTTATCGTCAGGTGGGTGTCACGTTTGTTGTTTTTATATCTAGTGTTTGTTTTTGTACATTTAAAATATGTATTTATGTCCTCTGTGCAGTTCGCAATCGTTTAAAACAAAATAAATTAAGATTTTTAGCTCAAAAACTTACGATACTATTATTTATAAAAAGAACAACATTGTTTTATTTGTAATTGACAACTGCTACTTTATCAAAATAAAATTACAAATGATTAATAGTGACATGTAATAATTAGACAACTTTTTTTTGGTCGAAACTTGATCAACACTTGATCTAATTTAAGAAATCAAAATATTATTCTTTTTTTACTTTTTATTAGACCATATAAATTACAACACATTAGTCCATAAAATTTGGGGTCAAAAGTGTACAACTATTACACAGCGCTTAAAAAAAATTTGTAATTGTAAAGCTTACCTCTTAGTACTTGAGAGCAAAAATCGCACGGTGTAATTTTCTTGTAAGTGTACTCTTGGAACTGATGAGCCGTCTCGGTGTTAGCCGAGAACTGTGGGTTTCCATCGCGGCCCGTTTTCCTATATACAAAAAACATACAACTATTGAGTGCACGATGGTCTTTTGGAAGTGGTCTGTTTGTTATTGTATAAAGTATAATAATATATTAGGTATATTACACCACACCCGACAAGCAGCAACGCTGCCGGGTATGGTTTAAACGGGCAGGACATCGCACCTTTGTCGATGGTTATATTATATCTTATTGTTATAATTTCTGAAACCTGTAAGCTCTACGTGGGCGCATGCTACATATTGTATACACACAGATAAAAAAGAATTAAAAAAGACCAGAGAGAAATATATTGGGAAATTGAAGCAAACGAAATTCAAGAGTGTACGCCCACTGTCTTCACCGATTAAATTAATAATAGGATTTTACACATTAAATAGATTTTGTGCTATTAGTACCGGACTCAGAAGGAACGTTGTCAAGTCACTACTTCTCCTTTGTTTTTTTTTACCCAAAAAAACGTTGATCCGTTAGCGTTTTTTTAATACACTGTGCATCAGAATATTTCCATGCTCAATCTACTGCAATGTTATGGTGAACCTACCACAATTCAAACCATCCGTCTTTACCTATCTAAAGGCTATGCCTTGTTGTAGGGATTACAGACCTCCACTCCCCCCCCTCTCTCTCTCTCCCCAATGCAACCTATTTCATATGGAGTTACTTGCTGCATCCAGCCAGTCTAAACGTTTCTGCTGAGAATGTTTTCCTCAGTTTTCTTCTCTCTTTGTGACCGTTGATTTCATAGCTATGATATAAACAACAAGCTAAGGTTCTTGTTAGTGAGCAGTTGTATTTTTTTAGTGAACGCTCTTTTTGCCGTTACTCTTGATGTTACACCTTCCTAAGTGTTTGTCCTGCTGTGTCTGGTTATCTATTTTTATGTTTATTATCTTCAGTAGCCACCATGACTTTTGTCTTCTCTATGCATGTGGTCAATGATTGTCATCTGCAATTCTGATTCAATGGATTATCCTCCCATTTGTCTTAACTCCATTACATTTGACCTTTATCTTTCAAGACTGTGAGTAACCTTGTCTCATTGCTCTGCGGATTTTGCAGAGAAGCTGAAATAGTCTATACTTCGTTGTTATCATACGCTTGTTATTGCCAATGAGGTAGCTGCTTAGCTCATCACAGCATTCTAGCCGTTTCGTTTGATCCGGATCTCGCCTGAAATAATAATGATAGCAACCCAATGTGTAAACAGTACCGTATGTGGGTCATATCCTGAGTTTGTGTATGCATTGAAATTATACACGGTCAACGGATATTGGAAAAATTCGCCACTCGCCACCAAAGATAATCGCTTAATTGACCGTAAATATATTGGGATACAGCGGCCGGACGGACTAATGATCGATTAACCCTATGGGAATTTTATAAATAATTACAATGTGGTTTTTCGTGCATTATAAGCATCAAGCAAAACCGAAACGACGAGGAGAGGCAATTTTTCAAACGGGTTTTGTCGAAAGGCAAACGTTTATTGGCTAATTATTATTGCTGATGAATCGCGTGCCAGTGTTAGTAGTTAAATCATTGGTTTTTAATTTATAATTTATACTTATACAATATGTTATTAAAGTCAAGGAAGGGTTGGTTATGTAGTAGACCAATTAGAACGTACGTTTAAAACGCGATTTACACGTGCGAAACTTTTCGTTTATAAAACATTGTTTCGCACGTGATTTTTACTGAAATTTGTTTTAGTCGACCTGGATATAAAATGTAAGTTTTAAAAACTTTAAGCGCTTGCAAGTTGTGTGAAGTAAAGGCGCGTTTATCAGCACAGTTATAGCGCGATGAATAAAATCCTACACGCTTTGGTGCGGAATATTTTAACGGGGACCAACACAAATACATGGGTGCTTATTTTCATTCCAAAACCGCCTGTAGGTGTATTTTTTTTTCTTTCCCACATTTACCCAATTCGTTTTCGTATATCCAATAGGGCTTACGGCTACTTACGGTTTTGTATTGTCTCCGTTTATTTTTTTTCGTTCGGAATGATCCTAAAAAAAAAGAAAAGAAAAAAAGCAGAGACAAAAACGCCTCAGAAAGAGAAATTTGTATTTTCTTCAAGTTTTCCTATCTTTTCGGTCACTATATCCTAAAGGCTGGCTATAGTAGCTTTAATGTGACAAAATCAGAAAGACTTAAGTCAGTCTGCCTAGTTAGAAAATATAAATTTACCGTTCACTATATCGTCATGATGATAAGATATCAACGATAACAGTGTCTTGGAGAAAATACTAATATTTTAACATAAGTCAATTGGATTGTAGCCTTCATAAGTTTCGCAGGGTTTTTAGTTTCTATTAACAATAGTCTTGTCTGCGTATAACTGTTAAGTTTTAGTGTTTAATAATTGAACTTAGGAAATATTAAGAATGAAAATATTAGGTCTAGAAATAATTTCAAGTATAGAGATGGACGCTAAACTCGGTTATCTGCTGTCTCTTATCGTATTCGGCTGTTTCTTATCACTTAACTCTTATCAGATGTATCTTATCAGCATCTGAAATCAGCTTTATCTTATCACAAACAGCAGAGTAACTTTTATACTTGTTCTTATCCTAAAGGTGAGCCACAAAAATATATTTTATCTTATAGAGCACCAACTGTTTAAACAATGAGAACTTTAATTTAATTTTGTGTCTATCGCGTACAAGCTAGTATATTATTATGTTAGTTCATCTCTTTATATTATTACTCTATACCGTATCCTTTACAATGGCGGCCACTAAACCGATGCTAACGGCCAATTTATGTGTAACTTAACAATTCAACTACGCTCATTAAAATTGGCGATCCTGATAATTTTACAGGTTAAAGCGATAGCTCATGGTATAATAATTATGACTGTTGAAGGTGATGTGTGCAATAATTTACAAACAACAGCTTTCTGGCGGTCATACAGATGAGATATTGTGTGAGACAACACGTGACGACGGAATAAAGGAAATAAGCAAACTACAACGCGAAAATAGGCGTTTAATAAATTCACATTGTGTAATAAAATCTGTTGTGGCGAATCATTAAACATAATTTGTATTTCATTGTTGTTGTTTACGCGTCCAAAACGTTTTCACTTAATTTTATTTTTATTAGTTTTGTGCTTGTGTCGATTAAAAACCTAAATTAGTTATTTCCAATAACTTTCAATACCAACAACGGCAGCCTGTGTTACCATTTTTTTCTTCATATAAAAGCAAACCGCCTTTTTTTTTTTAACAAACTCTTATAGTCACGTTCGATTACGCGTATATTTACTTAAAGATAGTCGACAAAGAAAAAATTATAGAGGAGGCCGTGGGTGGAGCACGTGCTGATTTCTTATATAACAAACATCTTAAGTTTTCAATTTGTTGGAGATTAAAAATAAAACCCATCGCCAATTCGTTTCTTTTTATGTCCGTCGACTTGACACGACAGCGAGGAAAAAAAACATCTTTAACTGTGTAAGTAACATTCATTGCTCAACACAAGTATTATAGTGGAAAAAAACAGTAGTTATTCTTACTTACTACTACTACTTATTATGAAAAATACATTATACTGAAATTGAGCGTCTCTGCCTGTATTGATAGTATTACACCGTCTCGAATTGCTTAGAAGGGTGCCTAATGCAATTATCGCGCAATTATTACCACTTGGTAGTCTACATGTGAACGGAATATATATATATATATATTAAGTAAATTTGCCTAGTACCGTGCCTTACATTCCGCTGAATTGTAATTCTGTTCTTAGCAGCGAGGTAATTTAATTTTCTACATGTCATACGGCTGACATGCATTTTTATTTATCCCTTACACGTGAAACAAGTATGTACTAAAATAATAGCAAATATGTTGGTAAGTTTATAAATAAAAACGGATTTAACCTTAATGGCGGAATCGACCGAATCATAATTGATATTGGCGCTAAACAAGCAAGCAATGTCAAGTTCACGTCAAACAAAAAAAAACATATTATTAATATTGTGAGAATAATAAGGGGCGATGATGGTTGGCGTTATAGTAGTCTGTTATATTTTTTTTGGCTTCATCGCAAAGCCGTTTATTCCTATGTGCTACTGTGCGGCAACACATTAATATGATTTGGCAAGTTTATTAAGTTGAACCACTGAACTCAAATACAATATGGTATTCAAATTGAAAAATGTCCTGACTTGGGAGGCAGCCATTTTGTGTACCGTTTTCATGGAAAGTAATATTGCTACGTTACTCTTCCATGATACATATTAAAATGTTAGATTAGGCGATGATAACATGATGATAATATGTTGATAACACTGTCTTATATTTGAAAAATCATGGAAAAAACAATAAATATCATTGACAAAACAATAACTGTACACATAATGGCAGCCTCTTAGTAGTGGACATTTTCATATCGAGTTTAGTGATTTTTGCGCTTGAAAGTTGGTTTTTTCACTCTCCTCTTGTCACGTTTGATTCGTCTCAAAAGTAACTGTTATACAATAATAATAATAATAATATTACCATCGTCAAAGCCACGGCGGCGTTATTCTGTGCAATAATTTTGGGTAAAGCGGTCGACCGGCTGTTTTGTTTGTAAACTAATATTATTATTATTATCATAACGAACCGCGTTTGTTACGACGGAAATCGTTAATCCCCGCAAAACGAAATGAAACCTTCTCTTTAATGAATATATTTTTCACTGTACAGCCGAAAATCGAAGGCCTCCGGGAAATTTATGCGCAAACCAGCCTAAGTGTGCTCCAAAGCCGGCCGAAAAGACAACAATAATAATTGCTATAAATATTATTAGCGGACCTTCACGGATGAAACTCTGCCTGAATGATAATGAACAAAGATCCACTGGAAAAATATTCTAAAATCAATGTCACCCTGTATACTAAATTTCAAGTTTGCCAACCTTTGATAGTCTTCACCCTCGTTTATAGTGTTTGAGTAATTTTTTGGAGTTTTCACATTCGTTAGACATGTATATATATATTTGACCTATGTTTAGACTTATTTTCGGCTCTAAGTTCTACAATTTTAACAAAAACTGCAAAAACCCCTTGTTCGAGGCATGCCTAATAAATATTTTATAAAAATGTCGACTGGATCGATCCGCCAATACCATATGGGCCAGCCGATTCGCTTTATACCCATTTTACTATATCCAATAAACTATGGAACAACAGTTATTATAATTTTAGATAAACATTTTTTATGACGCAAGCGAGACCCTCGGGTTATATGTTGTTTATATTTTATTTAACGGTACCTACTCCACATAAAGGTGGTCACTTGACGGAGGAATTCGCCTGCCAAAATATGGGTAATATATTACAAAATTGACCCATATATCATGCCATAGGCACAACAACACGGATCAATAAATATGATTAGAAAAAAAAAAACAATTTTCTTATCGGTCAAAATATTCGGAATTTTCTGTCCGCATTATTGTATTAGCCAATAGACTATATTATTGTTATTATACATAGAAAACTATTGGTTGGGAACATGCGATAGGGGTAAAACATAAAAAGAAGGCAAAATAACTATTGAAATAAAACACTTAACTTTATTTTAAACACTTTACCTGTTATATATAAAAATACACGAGAAGTGTTTGGCTTTTATCTCTGTTTAACAAGAGCGACTGACCCTGGTTTCAACCCGTCCAACTCGGATGGAACTGGGTTAATTTGCTATCCGATTGTGACTTTTGTTTGGAAATGATTATAGTGTAGTGTTATGTACCGTTCTCGTAAAGTTTTCACCGAGAGCAAGTTCAAACATATAGAATGGCGTAATCAAGCGACCGTTAAAAGTTAGTTTATGTTTCTGGAAAACGTTTGTATTAAGATCTGACACTCGTCTTACGGAAAAAGGCGATATAAAACTAACAGATTTATATCATGTTTTTTTTTATTTAGCGAAGAATATGCTTTTGTGCAGCCCAATTTTCCAAAAAGCGACACAGAATTAAAAAATTTAGGTTTTTAAAATTTTTTTTTATCTTTATTAATATGTACATCTTGCTTTGGCATAAAATATTCTAAAATTAGAACGATACAGAGAAGATTAGCATAGTCCCTACGAAAGGATGAAAAAAGTTTAGGTTAGGTTTAGGTTAGATTTAGGTAAGGTTTGGGTTAGGTTTAGGTTAGATTTAGGCAAGGTTAGGTTTAGGTTAGATTTAGGCAAGGTTAGGTTTAGGTTAGGTTAGGGTTAGGTTTAGGTTAGGTTGGTCCTATTTATCGTACTAGCGAAAAAAAAAGTAAACTCAGTTAAGAGTATCCACACTTCATCCAGATACATCAATACAAGGATATGTCCTGCAATCTAGAATCTCTAATAATCACTACATCTCTATTAATTCACCACCATAATCTCCATGATAATGACGTGAGCACTGTGACACTAAACGTGACGGACAATTTTTCAGAATGACTCCCAGCCTTAAGACATCTCCATGGGAATACTGTCGGTAAACCCTATCCTATTTGACGAATGAATTCACTAGATTAGAAAATCATAGACCTATTAGCACTATTAGCGACGAATGCAGGGAGTTTTTACAGCGTGAACCGGCCCACCAGATTTGTCTTTGCTAACATTTTTTTGCGTACAGAGTTTGAAAACGCTCAAAAAAATAATTGTACGATAAGTACCGCGGAACCGGGTTGACGTTTTTTAACCACCGAGAATGTTAGCTAGTGCACCGGTTACAGCAGGTGTAGGGCGTTGGGAAAGTATTCGGTTGACTACAAATAGCTTTTGAGATTGGAAAAAAAAAAAAGAAAAGACATTTGGAAGAAAAAGAACCGTACGGCCTTTTTGTGGTCTCCGACTTGTCTACAAGAACATAGTGGTTAAACCGTGCGGAGCGATAAATAGCGGTGTGTGCCTAGTGATTAATCGAAGGGCGGCTGAACGACACTGACAGATGGAAAAACTTTTATAGGCAATTTTTTTTGTAATTTTTTTTTTATCCGTTTAGCGATAGGATTTTAGGTGACACACGGTGGGAATTATTATATGTTTCTTTTTTTTTTTCATACCTAGTGGAAATTCGCCGGAGTAATATATTATGTATTTAATATTCCAGTGGGAAACCAGCTGCGTCCTCTGACGTGTGCAAGTTGTTGTGTAGGTATAATGTAATATATCTCGTTAAGTTTTGTTCGGAAGTTATACAACAAACGGTGGCATGTGACAACCTGCACGATAACATGACTACCACCCGGGTGTACGACAAAATTAATTGTGCGCTAAACAATATCCAAAGCGCACGGCCACGTCTAGAGAATCACAATACAATTCAATTATTAGACAACAAAGCGGTCGCTTGAACGCAATCAATATAATATTATATTGCTTATATAGTAGGTGTACTACTAGAGTTTCAATTGGAATTTTTTAATCGCATTAATTCAGTTTAATATGCGCAATATATTGTGCAAAGAAGAAATTATCGGTTATATTTCATAATAGAAACCAGGTGGTAGTAATAATTGTGAAGTGGATGTAACGGTCGACGCGTTTAACCTCACTTATGTGTGTAATAAAGTGTTTATGGAGACAACAAGTTTAGATTGCGTACAAAACAATAAACATACTCAACCGCAATTTTGATATGGCAGTTTTGGTTCGCTATTAATCGAGAATCCGGTGCAAAATAGATAGCTATTTTCTTATGTATATATTGTATCAAATTCCCCGGACGAAACGGATGATATCGGGTTTCCCCAAGGATTTTCCCGGGATAAACACAGAAGACATGTGTTCGGGCGACGTCTTGTAATATATACCAACCGTGTGAATTACTTAGCAGAAGCTTTTAACACACGGATAACTGCGAAATATCACAAACGGAAATTCCAGAAAAAATACCATAACGAAAAGTGACGCGCATTTACAAACGAGGAGAAGCTTTTTTTTTTTTTTTATCACCTGTACCTTTGCTATAATAATATTACACGCACACACTATGATAATAATATAATGTATTTCTTATATTTTCCTTTGCCGACATCGAACTGGACGAATCAATGCGTTAAAGGCGTAGGTTCCTTCCGTAACACACTCAAGGCCAGTGCCGGGACGCGTTATTTATCACTCTGTATACACACCGGCAAACCGACATTTGCCTAGTTCCGGGTACAAAATCCTCTTTTTAAAGTATAATACAAACATAATAACCGCAACAACAACAGCACCGACCTGACCTCGTCGAAGCGTTTAGACCGAAGAGTAATGACCGTTATAAAGAGATAAACTAACACAATATAATTATGGCTACTACCAGTATGACCTCACAAAAGAAAAAAAAAATGTCTTCGTTGTCGAGCGGTTGGTACTCCATAGTATGATAAAATATGTTTCTACAGACTGACTGTGGTTCTTCTGTTTGGGTCACATTAAAACTACTATAGCCGAATATTCATCATCTGCTTTTTATGATGTCCGTTTGCTTTGAGGGACGATAAAAAATAATTAAAAACAAAAAACTATGAAATATACATACATGTTAATATTATACACGGACTTCCGTATCGTGTACGTGTGCTTGACAATGTACATACATGTGTATTTGTTTAGGTATATATATATATATATAAAAAAAAAAAATGATATTTACTGTAAAAAACAAAAAAAGTTTCATTTGTATCATATATAATCGCAGGTCCTATAGTTTGGTCCTTTTCGACCCAAATTATACACATTGTATATGTTTATAGTGTGTACACAACACGTATTGTATTATGGGCAACAGGGTGTGTGTATATCGGTTGGGGGCGGCAAAACGTTCTAAAAGCGCTTTATAATACAATATTATATTATATAATACCGGACGTTTTGATAGCTGACGATGGATGATGGTATTTTTTTTCACACATGTAACAGAAGGGCAAGGGCAGGGGTTGCATTTTAAACGTCTTGAATTACTTTCTTTGGCGACCTTTTTTTTTTTTTTTATGTAAGACGTTTTGCAGAGCGTTAGCGTTAACAAAATGACTTTTGTTCGATATGAGTTAATATGCTGCTTAAATAATAAACGACCGAGCCACAAAGTTCTAGAACTATTCATTTCCGTGACGGACAACGAGCAGCAATGGCCGCTGCCGAAACCAATTAGATAGATTGTTTTTTTTTTGTTTGTTATTGCTATACTTACCTACCAACCCCTTGGCAGTGCTTTAACCTATTTTCATTAAACATTAACTTGTGCGTGAAAAATGAACTGTACATTACATTCACTTCATGTCAAACCTAACCAAGCCGGGTCGATAAGGTGCGATGTCCGGGCGAGGGCACAACCCACAATAATGTTAATAATAATCTGTTATCATTATCGTTTTATCTACAACACTTGTATAATGTCTAACAATAGAATATAATAAAATGCATAAAATAAATAACAAAAACGTTAATAATAATCATTACCTCATTGCGATTATGGTCGATACCGCATGGTACATTTGATGTTTCCTTTTAATTTTTTACAATTTTTTTTTTATCGAGGTTTAAATAAAGGTTTTTTTTTTATTTGGCGAGAGCACACACCAAGCAGCCAAACAAAATAATGAAAAAAAAAACACACAAAACATTATGTTAGTAAAGCTGAATAATAACAACAACAAAAAAAAATGAACTAAATTAGTACAATACACAATATATATATATATATATATATATATGTATATGACGTATATTATAATATGATAATAATAATAATATTATTATGAAAAACGGCAATGTCGGCTAATTAACTTTTGACTCGAGTTCAAGAATATATTATAATATTACCTATTATAATGTATTTACAACAGCTTGTGCACATCCTTCTGTCATCTTAGCTTGGCAAACGTTTTAAAGGAGAAAATACCTAACCTAACCGACTGATCTACTATTGCGCGTTATAACCGGAAAATTAGGGAAAACAAGGGATAAATGTTTGTGTTCACAGAGATAATATCTAGTTTACCATTAAAAAACGAATATATATTTGTTTTAGTTTTTTCTTTTAAAGTATTTTACGCGGTAATTGAACATCCATCCAGCAACTGTGCGGTATAAATTACCTCTAGTATGTTTTGCCAAACAATTATTCCTCGCAACGTGGCGGTTAGATAGGGAAACAACTATGGTTACACAGCTGACGATCATAATTTCACAGCGCCCTTAATTGCCTGGATAAACCTGACCCAAAAACGTCTCCTAAGAAACCGTGTCAACGGTGTAATCACATTAATTTAATAGCCCACCGCCGTAAAGTCTCGAGCTAACCAGTGATATGCAAGTTTGTTGGTACATATTATTATTATAGTTTTGAAATTCTGATACTGACCTTTGATATTGTTAACAATTTTCGCTTTAGTCTTTCAAGTTAAACTCATATTAAACAAGTTTTGTTTGATTTAAATAACGAACAATGAATAATATGTAATTTTTAGGAAATAAAAGTGATTTAAAATTTGAAACGAAATTAAATCGGTTTAGTGATAAGAGATCAGTGACAAGTGAAGGTGAGGGAAGGAAATTGTAAATAAATGGAGGGGGGAAATAAAATGAACATGGATAGGTTGGGTTAGGTTAGGCAAAAACAAAGGACATTTTTATAAAGACCAATTAGAGAGTCGCAACGATATCAGTGCAGCCGCATGAATTAGTGAAAAATTATTGTGCAGATATTAAATAATATTAATGTACAAACTCCTTATCAATCATACAAGATTTAAATGATAACCGACTATGTTATCACAGATTATATAACTACTATTATGGAATGTTATGCTTGAATCTGAAGTCACACTGATTTCATTTTGAGTCATGGTTTTTGTTTACATACATCTGTTTTCATAATATAGTCTGCGACATTGGTAAAACAGGGATTGCCAGTGAATAGAACTCCGTTTTTACATTTTACAAATACCCTTGCCCACAATGAATGTATTTAGTGTACTAAGCATTTGTGCAAGCCCCGATTGTGTGCTTCTCCGAAGTCGGATACAAAAAAAAAGAAAAAAGGTGGCACGGCGTGTACTTGAATATTTTATTTGTCACTTTTTCGGTTTTCGCAATGGCAGAGTTGCTTTTGTGCTTTTGTACAATGCCCATTGGCTTTCGTTATTTTTATCGAACGCACCACTTCCATTAACCTAACGAGGGCGGCACAACCCTGTATTCAACCTGATTGATTAAAGGGGCGAGTAATAAATAATAAAACTACCACACGGTGGTCAGCGAGCGGGACGTACCTCCCCCCCCCTAACTAACATACCACAAAAACAACACTGGTTAGGTTAGGTTATATTCATCGATTCGGTTTTCCCTTTTACACTTTTGCTGGGGCTACACAATCGACTAACCCCTCCCTCCCTGGGTATGTACAACTTTTTACTAAGTACATTACATATTACATGAACTCGAGTCGCCGCAAGCCCATTAACCGCCGTTGGCCGCCCATGTACGAACGTTCTACATCTGGCTAAGCCATCGGCTATCTAAGACGGTGCACGTCTTGTCCGTACACGAAAAATTCTTTACCCGGCGATAAGTCAGGAGGATCATCTATGCCCGGTTGCACCCCAAAATTGTCGTTATCTATCGGTTAATTATTTATCACCGTCATAAACTAACTTTTGTTGAACTTTGTCTTTTGTTAAATTTACAAGTGTTGCTCAATTGTTGTTTTATATTCAGGTAATTACCAGTAAGCTGGTTAACGAATAAATGGTATCAGCAGTAGGATGTAATATTATTATCTTACAGGGTCTATTCAATGATAAACTGATAACGCACATTTCCGTTATCACCACTTTAACGCAAAACATTGATAACAAAATTTAACTATACATACATTTTTACACACGGCGACAAATGACCCTGTAATTTAACTAGTGATAAAGTACATTTTTGACAACATATAAAATTGAAAACAAGGTTTTTATGCAACAGAATTTATTTTAACTCCAGTTAAACGAGTTTATCTCTGAGTAAATATTTGGTGCAACCCGGCACTAGTCTATTTTTGTAACTGGCAAAACCCCGTTTTCCGTTTATTAATAGTTTACTGAAATGGCCGTTAAAAATTCGATTTTATATTATCTTGGTCATGACCAAGATAAATTGTTTGGTCGCAAATCAATACATAATATAAGAAAGTTAAAATTACCATAACTTTAATTTTGACAAACATAGACTTGGATTCTTCTGCTTAGCGGGTAAAGAATTATTATCATATACATGTACAATGTAAACAGTTTAATATAATATAATATATGATGTCACCCGGCAATATGTAAAATTCAGATATTATTCTAATTGACGATTTGTAGTGGATAAAAAAAAAATATCTAATGAATTTAGGCAAATGACGTTAATTATCTAAAATTGAACATGAATAGTCGAATTTTATACAATTTCAAAACAAGTATAGACAAATTTTTATTATAATTTTTAATTTTTTCATTTATTGATTCATTGCATGAAAATAAAACTTTTATTTCAAATTTCTTGTAACAATACCGTTTTTTACAAGTTGCCGGTAAGGTAAACGTATACTTAATACAAATATTATAATAAGTATATGTTTATAGTGATTATTGTTATTGTCCTTGTAGAGTGTACATCGGTAAAATCATCTCATCGGCCCAAATATGATAGTATAATAATATGGTCAATGTTATATTATAAGCTCGGAATCCTAAGTATTCCAAATTATTTGTCCGTATCTAATAGGAGACTTTTTTTTTTCTACTAAAGTAATGTACATGAGAACTACTCGGTTATCGTAAGCTATCCGCTAAGTCCTAAGCGAAAACAATTAAATATACATAATATATTATATTTATATACATAAATAAAATAACTTTATACCTACTCAGCCGATGAGATAAAGTTTCCACTGCGGTGAAAATGAAAAACTCAATTAATCATCTGAAAATTTCGTATTAATGGGAAATAAATTATTCAAGCGCAATGCTCGATGAAGTATTTAAACTATAAAAAAAACTGTCAATATCTTGTATTTTTTTTTTACAACTATATTAATTATCTGCTTGCTGAAATATACACGAGCATTGCTTTTAAGGGCATTTCTATGGCGTTAAATTGTTTATTTTGTTTTCCAAATGTGACATTTTTTAAAGGATTTCGGCTAAGAGATAAAATAAAATAAAATTATAACGGTTAATCCAGTTTTTCAGTCCACCGCAGATAGTGTAGTGTACATTTTACCACTCGGGTATGCACTCATGTATGTAAATAAAACAATCTGAAAAGCTACATCAAACATATTTTTTTAATGATTAGTCGACTAGGTATTATATAAGAAATATTTGGAATTGGATGGCGTGTGTGCAGCAGACAAAACGAACAGAATATACGAATTAAAACAAAATCGTTTTGTTTGTAAGTGAAATTATTCTCAAACAGAGATTTTCGACATGGCCGCTCTCTGCGTAACGCCATTCAATCGAAAAATATCCTTTAAAGTTATCGAACGAGTTAATAGTTAATTTTACATAAGACAACGTCGTTTTTAATTTAATAAAAAAAATTTTAAAAACGAAACGAAAAAAAAACGTGCCTACTTCAAATACTTCCTATTGATCTATAATCGTCGTTTAAATGTTTATCGTGTGCTCGGGTTAACTCACTTTTCATCTTTTTGCGTCGGGTTGTTGTTGGGCGGTCCGCTGGTTGTCTTAAGGCTCTTGATGGCCTTCAACCACTTGGACTTCATACTTCCGCTGGACGAAGACGACAGTTTCCGGTCCCGAGCGTTCGACTCGGACGCCTCTAACTTGGACGCGAACAAGTCTTTCTGCAAGTAAAATAAAAATAAAAACAATGTTTGGAAATAAGTTTGAAAGTAATTGTTACCGTACTGCCAACACACAACTAACTACAATGGCCGATAACGGAGTCTACTAGTCTTGTATGAAAATTAAATTAAAACGTTTTTTGGATTAATTTTGAAAAACGATAAGCTGCAGTGTGACCGGAACGTCGAAATTGCATTTCTCCGGTAAATATGTAGTTTTACACAAAACATAAAATATGACTTATCAATATTATTATCACGTTATTATATTGTCATATGAGATTTGAATATTTATCTATCGATAAGAGCAGATGATATTGTGCGGTGTTTAGCGACAAAGTATTTTTTTTTTTTAAAGTGGTCACACTGCGGCAGTTATTTATGCAAAATCAATTGGCGCGCTTATTTGAAATTTACACCGAGCACGAGATAGAAGGTAATCGCGAACGAAATACATCCTGCTTTTCGCACAATGTGATGTGTTTTCTTCTTATAATATCGTGGGTGCGCGTGAAAAAAAAGTTAAGTCAACATTATGTGCAAAATGAGTTATATACACCTAAAAATTCAGAAAAAAAAACTCTATGATTTGTGCTGTATAGTTTAAGTCTAAGTGTAATATTCAATGAATAAAAAAAAAGTGTGTTTGTTGAGTTAAGTCACTATTTTTCTCATTTTAGTGTATTTTGTGATAAGTCGACTTAAATCTTTTTGTATTTACAATTTAATAGTGTAACAAGAGTTATGTCCTTTGTTACACTGACTTAAATCTTTTTGAACCACTTGTTTAGTGATAAAAGGGTTATGTCTATTTTCCCTCCATATTAAAATATGATATCAAGAGTGTTGTAATCAATATCATTAAAATAAGTATCCAGTTACGGTTGAAGATGATGTCGAAATGGATGAACAATATCTAGTTCAAGAAATACTAATTCGAGAAAATGTTAAGCCAAATCAAAAAGCTACAGTCTCTAGTAAAATATCTAGAAAAGCTAAAAATGACAAAAATAAACAAGTAAAACGTGCCTAAAATAAAAAGATTTTATTTTGTTACAACAATTATTAGTGTTAAAATGTATTAGGATGTCATATTAAAAAAATAAAATAATATTATTATTATTAAAATGACTTAACCCTTTTATAAAAAAAAAAAAATGAGTGAATTCAACTCAACAAGATTTAAGTCAATTATTTTTTTTAAACTTATAACAGCTTTTATGTTATACATTTTCATAAATTATAATTTATACAGGAAAGTACAAAACAAGTTGTTTTATTATCCTATTCAAAAAACATTTATTTTATTCTAATACCTGATCTTACACATTCTTCTAAACCTTATTTTCCATTTCCTAAAAAGTTCATAGTGGTTGACTTAACTCCTTTTTCACGCGCACCCACGATATAAGATCCTGCTAGTTTTTTTGCCGACATAAAGTCATCGTTGAAATTCACGAGGCGAATAATAATATGTTTTATCATGGGAAAACGGTACTCTAAAAAGTGGAAAACCGTTTACCGGCGAAATGGACAAACGTTATTTTCCGTCCAGCAAAATATACCACCCACATTGCGGCAATTTTTTTTTTTTGTCCATTTCCATTTGTACTTTCCCGTCGTTTATTTATTTATTTATTTTTTAATAGCATAGAAACATTTTGGCTTCGTTGACGTCAACGGCGGCCCAAACAAACGGTTCCATTTGCCGGGCAAAAGATATGTGCCACTTACATGGCGACGGTCACCGGAGTGACTTTTTATCGTTCCCACAGCCGCACATTATTGCGGTCTATATTATTTATATAATAGCGACCCATTAAGTCTGTTCAAACTCAGGCAATCTCAGGAATAATTCACGATAAAAAAAAAAAATGAAAAATTACAAAAAGAAACATAAAGACTGGCACCAGCGAACCGTGACGCGGTTTTGTCCACGCAAAAAAAAAAATTTGTGCATCTTGCCCAAAAATATAATAGCTAAATAAAAAAAAAAAACAGAAAAAATTGGATGGATATATTGCTCGTGTGTTTTACGTCACGCACACAAAAAAAAAATCACTGTTATAAATAGCAAGAACGTTTTATTTCTATAGCAAGTGCGATCGCAGTTTGAATTTGTTAAAAATATAATAATAATAGCGATAAAACGGATTAGACAAAACCATTTGCTGAACATGAAAACGAACCAAAACCCTCTCCTCAACTCCTCAACTTCAGAACTGTTTATCACTGAATTTATTATTGATTGCAATTACCGATATACTATGCAAATAATCGGATAACATATTTTGTTTTTTACAACAATTGTGTTTCTTTAATGTGGTCACACTGAATCGAGGGGGTTTCAGTTATCAGTAAACGACAATGTGCACCGTCTGGTTCCTATCTAATCTGTGATAATAATACAAAACAATTCTAGTACTTGCGGTTAATCTTTGAAACTATATGTGTTTTTTAGAATACCGTAAAAGAACATAATTCACATTTTAATTGAACATTTTCGGTTCACTCGGCTTCGTTTAATTAAGAAAAATGCGTTTTACGTTGACGACTATCAAGGACGCTGCAAACTTTGTAAATGACTTTACCGCATTATTTTAGACACATTCTATTCAACGTCAACGTTAATTTTATCCAAACAAATGATTTATATATAAAAAAAAAGGAAATACCGAAGAATAACAGTAAGTTGTAGTATATTTTCTTGGTCAATGTATAATTTTCAGCGTACATAAACTTTGTGAATATTTTACTATTAATTGTCATTATTAAATAATGCGATTTAAGATGATCTATACCGTACCCATAACATAGGCTGCTAATAAGGTTTCGACATGGGGTATACAAAGCAAATTAATGTGCTATTTATATTATTTCGTTGACAGCACATTATTTAACGAACAACGATTGGCAATTCGAGGCTTTAAAGTTGGCCGATAAATGGTTAAAACGACCTTCGAAACAGTCTAGCTGATCCCGTTTTGATGATATTAATATTGTCTTTCTATTCGTGTGAAATGTGCGTTATTATTGTAATTGGCCATAACACAGTAACGTCACTCGAGTTGTTCCACATTATAATATATCCCATTAATCCCTGCACTGACAACCGGCACGGATGCTAATTCGATAATAAATATAATATATTAAATAGCGCGTTTAACCGCGTTAGCTTTGGTCGCCAAATCCAGGGCGTTACGGTATAAACAACAATAATAATCAACAATGTATAACATTGTAAAAAAAAATATTGTCTAGAGTTATTAAAATTTGTAAAGCATCGTAGTGCGTTGTAAACTTGAACGAATCGCGAAGGTCGTAAAAGCTTGATAAATTCGAGTGAATTTTATCTCAACGATTTATAATAAAACGACATTTTGGAATTTGAACCAGTACATACGATTTAATTTGTTTCACTACTGCAAACATAGATATATATTTATATAATAAACTGGATTGTTGTGTGTATATGCCGCCAATATTGATAATTGAAGTTACCATTTTTCGCCATCTTTGTGGGAATTAGAACTTTATCACATGTTTATAACTGTTATCTCTGTAATTGTTCAAAAATGGCCGACGTCGACTTCAATTCTTATCACTAGTTAGCAATCTAATTTATTATACTATCAGCCGGTTTCACCAACTATTATTAAATACACTCTTAACAAAATGTTAGCTAACGATTCACTTAAATTTAACATCTGGGTAAATGAAGTAACTTTCACCATAACTTTGTTGATATTAAATTATATTTGTCAAGTTACCAAAATGTTTGTTGGGTTACCAAAGCGGTTACCGTTGATTCCAACGTTATCATTGGTAATCACGAAATGTGATAATTGATAATATTTTATAATCAAATCTCAATTAGTAATGCATAAATCGATTAATGGCATATTAACATGCTAATTAAGTTTTTAACTAGCTTATATCGGCTGATTAACTTAACAATCGTTTTATCAACGTGTTAAGGCTAAAAAATCTCGATGAAACCCAATTTTCAATTACTAATTGTTAAACATAATTAACAATAAGTTAAATCCTTAACAAATGTTGGTGAAATCGACTGTCAAAACGACTCATCAGTTATAATATTATCGATAAGGATTGTATACTGTGCAATGTTTGACAACTTATAAAAAAGTATTAATCATGGTTTAAAGTGGTCACACTGTCGCTCGCCTTCTTGATTACGACTTTGTTGCCGAGTACAGGGCATTATACGATATCACAGCTCTAAAATTTTTTATTTTATGATCAGAACACTTTTAGTGTACATTGATCAAACCGTAGAGACCAATTAATCATTAACGAGAAGTCAACCCTGGTGACAAATTACCAACATACACAAAAAATAATCACATATATTTCAACTGAACAATTAATCACAGGATCGGATGGGAATTGTTTTAAATCTTTACCGTCTACGTGTGTCTTAGCCCCTATGTAAGGCGTAAATAGTTATAAATCTAATTTCGTTTATTAATTTAAGTGTCTACACGATTTTCGACAATACTGAAATCTTCAACTCGTCTGAATCTATAGGGGTTTCCGCGTTGGACAACCAAGTATCCAGGGCAACAAACCCACGGATAAACGTCACGGCTGTCTGTTATTTAATTGAACGATTTGAAACCACTCAGACTGTTCACTGATTGAAAATTAATTATTTTTAAAGCTCTGGTAAACATAAAATCTTCGATGGAAAATTTCACCGTCCGTGTAAAAACAAATTTTATTTTCCACCAACAAATATTTTGTGCAGCCACAATTTTGTGAGACATATTCTGTCTAATGTGTGCACTCTCACAAAGGCTTATTCAACTCAGAGTTGTAGTATTGAATGATTTAATTGTAGTTATTTAACTTTTAAAATGTATTTAAGTGTTTTTTCTATGGTAACAATACAAAAGGCAGCATTTTCGAGGATAAACATATTTATTTTGTGTAGACACAATTAGAGGTCATACTTATTATATACACTGAGGATGTAA